AAAAACACTATTAGACAAATTTGGATGCAATGTATCCATTGGCAGATTAGTGCTATATCAGTTAACTTATAAGAGCTGGTTTTCCTTTGCTAAATGCATCATCACGGTGTTATAGCATGACGGTTACGTCAAGGCGATTTGCGAAAATTTGCTGTAACGATAACAAAAAATGGCGGATGGGAAAGACAGCATGTCCTCTTTCTCGCCTGTAGGCAAGATTCACAGATAAGATTTCCTTTTCAACTAGTTCCATTCGGTGACGTATATATGGATGGTTAAAGACTGGGTCAAATCTGCTAGGTGGTTTACTAGAAGCGGAATATAAGCTGTAAACTTACCGACTGAGATGTCCAAGTTCATATTTTTTAGTCCATTCTCGTGATTTCTCAGTATATGTGCCTCAAAGCCACTCAAACTATTAACAGTAAGTAAACTGTGTATAAACAAGCCATAAAATGACAAATCCAGAACAGGAACGTGGTCATATTGTAAATAATAAGGTTTCAAACGCAATGTCGTTAGACGACTACGTATGAATTCTATGGACGGTAACGTATTGTATTAGATGTACATTAGATATTTAGCGGACGGTTACTTGCATGTACATCTTTCAAGTTAAGGTTGCTAGTTCTGATAGCCTCTTTCCATGTAATTGTTATAATGGGTGGTAAGAAATTGAATATTGAATTGCTTATATTTGTTTTTAGGACTCGCAAGAGACGCTCTTGTTTGAGCCTCTTTAGGGCAAGGAAAAAATTGTGTCTTGCTTTATTTATGAAACCAATTTAAGTCAAAAAGATAGCAATGAAGAGGCGAAAGAAGAATTAGCATCAAGTACTAATGAATATGACAAAATTAATAACAATGAATCCGGGATACATATTTGAACGAGGTTCGCGTAACCGTCAATCAATTTAACCGCAAATTAAAAATACAATATTATGGCTAAAGTAGAACATATTAGGTGGTTTCCAATGCTCAATTGGCTTTTTATGATCGTATGTAGGTTACATCTATATACCCCGAGGTCGTTAGGCAATGTAGACCATGCCCTAACGACAAAAATAAACAAACTAAATTTTGTGTAGTTTTGAATTTCAAACTCAACAGTTTTTCGCTTATTTCATGTTATCCCCGGGCATCAATTTGCAAAGAATACGTTCAAAATATACATTACTAAATGCATCACCGAATGCGATGCCTACAAAAATCGTTCATCCTTTCATTGATACACAATAGAAGAAAATAATGCACCAACCTTAGTTTTCTGTTCCATCGCGGCCATTTTATTGGATAAATCAGTGATCGTAGTCGTCTAATCTCGTTTTAAGAGGTGTCGTAACCGTCATGCTATAACACCGTGATCATTGTCCCTGGCAGTGCATGAACCTCTACTGTCCATACTATATGTAAGCTCATTCGAATTTATAGCTTAATACTGTTTTCTGACATCAGTCAATCAAATTATGTTGGAGGCAGGCTTGAATAGCTGTGGACAAATCAAAATGCATGAACAATTTCATCTGAAGAGTAACTTAATTACTTATCTTTGAATAGAATGGCTATCTAGTAGATACTAAGCAGCCTCGCCCTCTGCGACGGGGCCATCACACCAAGGGTCGTGAATCCAACCAACATGTCCTCAACAAATAATCAAGCAGAAGAAACATGTTTCAATAATCAGAATTTTTTTTTATAATAAATACTCTTTCTTAAAATCATAGATAAATTTTCATTGTTATTCACGGCATAATCGCCCAGAAAGGGCATTTCTACTGCCGCTTTAAGTGAATTTAAATTACAATATAATATAACATTTAGTCAAAGTCATTATTAGAGTAAGAAAAATATATAATTTAGATACTATCTGTTTTTCTACCTGTCTGTACCCCCGTTGGTGCCCTGAATTTGAAATTACTATTTATCGATTATTTAATGAAATTCAAAACTGCCTTAAAGATTTTGGAATTGTTTTCATTTGTCAGATCTTTGTCGCCAAAAATTAGGAAATTTGTCTTATTTTTTAATGTTTTGTATTTAGTAACATCTAAGTTTAGTTCATGTTTAACCACCGCTAGCGCATTTGTTTCTCTCAGAGGGCAGGACAAGAGTTTATGCTGTGCTGTCTTAATAATCAGAATAATGCTTCAATAATTAGTAAGTATAGGGTGTCCCAAAAAATGAACCGATATATACACGGAATAACTAGATTAGTGGGTGATAAAGAAATATTCTCGAAATTTGATAACCGGACACACAAGTTCATAAATATCTGAACGTTTCACCAGGTAACTCTCTAGTTCTAGGGAAAGGAATGTGTTTTAAAACCACCCGACATATTAATGTCGTACCGAGACAAACATGAAGTCACTCTGTAAGCAATGAAATTCAGTCATTCAAGCCCGTAGCCAGCTATTGCCAAGGGGGGTGGTCACTTTTTTTATTTTAAGGGGTTTCACTTATGACAATTTAGGTTCAAAAATGGCGAAAGTCACTTACATATCTGAGTTTCCTAAAGCAACTCTTTTAGTACCATCGCCCATTTTGCAATGTTGAAATTGTATTCATTTATGCATCCTTCTTGCGAAAACAATTTCTGATCACCATGAGAAATCATGGACTTCTATCTTATCAGAAACAAAGCAAGGTTTACAAAGTGGTCGATACAAGCAAAATAAACGTATCGTTGATGCTAAAAAGACCAATGTTGTAATATTTTCTAAGAAAAAAAACAAAGAAAGATTTAGATTTTTGTATGATGGAGAACAACTCAAAATTGAAGACTCATTCAAGTATTTGGGAGTCTGGTTTTCTTATAATGTGAATTTTCGCAAGAATGTTAATTTATTATTACGAAATGCAGAAAATGCTATGTATGGTGTCTTAGGCAGATGTACGAGGGTTGTCCCAGAAGTAATGCACTATATGCTCTAACTTTATCAATAATTGATATTTTTCCATGAAATTTTCAGTAATGTTCCAGAGACATTTTGATTATTCTAAAAAAATTTCATGTGGACTGATACAACTATATTGATGTTATAATAAAATCAAGTTGGTGAGTTTGGGTAGGGCGGAGCAGGTTATACAGTCACACCAAAAGGAATAAAAAATTTAAAATATGAAATATTTCATCAACAAAGACCATTTTGTGTAACTATAAGAAGTATGCTCAGAAATACATTTTAAGATACCAAATTACTCTGAGCACATCCTTAGATTTGATGGATGTATATTGCACAGTGTCCCATTTCACATTTTCTCAAAATATTGCCATTTGCATGCTGTGTACTTTTGTTGCCTGATGCCTGTCAGAAAGGTGAGATGGTTGTCAGAATGTCCTCTGGTTGACTCGATGAGTTCAGAGGGGGTGAAGAGTAAGTTATCTTCTCAGAAGCTTTAGGTAAAGCAAATGCTAAGTGTATTAATACCGTCAGTAAGCAGATTGAAGGATATTTCATTGGAATTAATCAGGCTTAAAATAAGAGACCAATTGTTCACTACATGAAATATGTGCGTCAACAATTCCATAATGTCCTCAATTTTTTCTTCTGGATATTAAATCTTAGGATACCACATATTGGTCCATTGTATCGTATTTCTATAATTAATCAGGCTTCAATATGCCTTTCAATGTAGTTCATATTCCATCAAAACAAGTCTTCTAGTTTCTAGAAAACCCATGGTCATCATTACATTAGACACAAAGAAGCATTTAGAATATGTTCCTGATTTGTTGTGAATGAAAGCAATAAAACATACTTAAAATTCTGGAGGTTGAAACTGAAGGTTGCTCAAAAATCGCATTGAAAATGATATCAAATCCAAGTTAATCATGAATATATTGTTTATAACTTTTCAGAATGATTAAACAGGTTGTGAAGGGGAAATTGACAACGTAACATTTGCTCCAAAATCTCAGAAATTTAAAAAATGCAGGTTGTAAATGTATATCCAAGTATCATATTCCCGGGATCATATAACATATAAATTCTTACAAAAACAGAATTGTTAACAGAAAATTTGGCATCAAGAAAAAGGAAGTTTACGTTAATTCTGAGACCTCTCAAAGTGAAGCTTTATTATACTCAAAGAGAAAGTATTTCAGAATAGAATGCAGATATTGTATCTTTTTTATTTGTGCCATTCCCATCATTTTTTGAAGTCGTGGCCATTTTGGAAAAATATTTTTTTAAACCGCGAGATACAAAAAAGACATCCACCCACATAATGTTTCATAACTTCTTTGAGAAAATTCTGCCCTGTTTGTTCTCCATTTTGCAACTCCACAAGAAGTTTCAGATGACTAACTCACCTAGATGCACATTTATGAGCTTTACAAAATGTGTCGTCTATTTAGAGTCAGAACTGCAGAATGAGCCTCAAGGCAAGCAAGGGATTTTATGGGACATAATTTTTCATGTTGTTAGTCCATAATATGTTAATAGACAAACAAGAAATGCAATGTAATGTGGGTGTCATTTTTTGTGTCACTCTGTACAACTGCTTACAATCATGCATTTTTCAACCAAAAATCAGTCTCACAATATTTGATGACTGCACTGAAAGGATAGGGTGGATTGAGAGGCGGATGGATACAGACAGATGAATGCACAGACAAATTGACAGATGAACAGCTTCTCTATATCGCTCTAACGGAAAGTTCGGTGGAATAGTAACGGTGACCTATGACGAGTAAATACTTTTAAAGATAAATGAGTGTTCATTGGTCAGTATCAAGGGAAGGTAACGGCCGTCACTTTCGCATCAAAGATGGTGGACGGAAAGTGTCGGTTTTGATATTTTTAGTTTTCATCGAATTTAACTACTTTACAGTCGACGTAATCAGACTCATATGACATGAGAACTATGGAATATGATAATTTGTTCATATATCATGCGTGAGCACCACAGTTACCTTCCCTTAAGCGGTGGAAGATATCCTTGAACTGTGGCGACTACGCATGGTATATGAACAAATGATCATACCAATGCCCATTTGTGCAAATAAAATAAGGCAACAAGAAATAATACAAGGCATATAGATACAAAATATCATCACATGCCATAACATACAGACGCCATGATTTGTTACATTCGCCTACTGCCAAACACCGAACACTAACCGCCGTCCACAAAAAAGTTGGAGACTAAAACAATATGTCACCATGTGTGGTGGTGACATAATATACACACACTAAATAAGTTGTGACAAGTTGTGACAAAATCTCTCTTGTATAATAACTTATTGAAATGCCTATGAGGCATGAACAACTAAATAAATAAGGAGTTATTCTATTAACATGTTAAATATTTAATATTTATCAATCAGTAACATGTATGCCTCAGCATTTTTCTTCAGCTTTATTTTTGTCAGTCTCTGGTGAACTGTAAGCCTTGAGCTGTTTCCCTCCATCATATAACTCTTTGATCTTTCCGTACATGAACACAAAGAAAAATAACAAATCGTCATACTGTCCTATATATTCTGATGGCACGAAGCTTTGGTGATATTCCAGCAGGAAATAATAAATGGCCTCAATTGTTGCTAAATATGTACGTGGTTTGTCCTTTTGGTGTCGCCAAAACTTAGTTTCCCTACTTTTTAACTCTATACATTGTAAACCTGAAATATATACATGTAGATCAGATTTTCTTATTAATTTTTCATCAATTTAGATATACATGTTACACATAGTGGCAATATTTTCAATATGACCACTCAATTCAAAACGGCCTCTAGCTTTTGTTAAAAATGTAATCTTTGATAACTCAGATACCATTTGACAGATTTTGGTTCAAATTTCATATGTTGATGACTTTTGGACATGTAAGTTGAAAACCCAATTTTTATTAAACTAAAATAAGCCTATAAAGGAATCTAAATAATGAAATATACATACTGTAGGTTAACATTGTCATGAAGTATTCAGTAAAAATTGCATGCATAGAACTTTAAATATGGAAATACTTATACTTTTCTTACTGAATATCTTACAACCTCAATTTCATAAAAATAATCTTAACATAGAGTACAGTAAAACCTGTCCTAGTGAACACCTCTCTCTAGTGAACACCTGTGTCTAGTGGCACCTCTTCTAAACTACTCAACTGAGTGTCTCTCTGTAGTGAACACTTACCTACAGTGAACATATTTTTGTGGTTCCACAGGTGTTCATACAGTATTACTGTATTTCCAATTATGACTAGGTGATGTCAAATGCCAGTTATGGCTAAAACAAAAAACAAAACACCACCAGTTCTAGGATGTGTTATGATAACGTGTTGGGACATTACCTTTTGGTAGTCACTTTACATACCTTTGAGCCTCTCATCATTGTAGATCTTCTTGGTCTGATTCCATGTGCTATCAATGAACACAACAGTGTCATATGGACTGGTGTACTTATCTCCTATACCAGCACACTGGGTCTTGTCTGTCGCGATATCTGTTTTAATCACTTTATAAGGTGGTTCCTTTATTTCATCGCTAGCTTCTGTGTCCTGGATGGTGCTGTCATCTTTATGTAGAGGTGCACATTGTTTTATAAGTTGCTCAAATGTTAGAGATTCCTTACAGGGAAACACCAAAAGTGTCTGGAAAAATACATTTTCATTATATTTTCTGTATGTAAGGACAAAAAAGCTTTCTGTACTGTAAATTGTTTCAAAATATTTTTACAATCTGTTACAGACACTTATTTTTATAAAAGAAATAATTCTTTATCTACAGGGTGTCATATACCAATGTCTCCATAGTATGTGTCTTATATCATTTTAAAGATTATCCAAAGTTATATTGATCTGCCAAGGATCATGGTCTACACTCTTTATAAGAGAATTAATTCTTTATCTACATGTGTATAGCATATCAGCTTCAAAACTGTAATCTCATTTGAGGAACTCAGAACAGGATTAGAATTCACTTATGTTTTTAAGGTTATCATCCCCTCACTATTATTTGTCATATCATAAGTTACAAGGTTATATGTGCATGGTGCAATGTTCTAGAGCAATATAGTGCTGTTATGTTCTGGTGTCTCCCTTTGATTTATCATAGTCAGGTATACAAGGATATGTGTGTATGGTGCAATGCTGTCCTGGTGCCTACCTTTGATTTATCATAGTGAGGTATACAAAGATATGTGTGTCAGGTGCAATGCTGTTCTGGTGCCTACCTTTGATTTATCATAGTCAGGTATACAAAGATATGTGTGCATGGTGCCACGTTCTGGAGCAGTATAGTGCCGTTCTGGTGCCTACCTTTGATTTATCATAGTCAGGTATACAAGGATATGTGTGTATGGTGTAATGCTGTTCTGGTGCCTACCTTTGATTTATCATAGTCAGGTATACAAGGATATATGTGTATGGTGCAATGCTGTTCTGGTGCCTACCTTTGATTTATCATAGTCAGGTATACAAGGATATGTGTGTATGGTGTAATGCTGTTCTGGTGCCTACCTTTGATTTATCATAGTCAGGTATACAAGGATATGTGTGTATGGTGCAATGCTGTTCTGGTGCCTACCTTTGATTTATCATAGTCAGGTATACAAGGATATGTGTGTATGGTGCAATGCTGTACTGGTGCCTACCTTAGATTTATCATAGTCAGGTATACATGTGTGTATGGTGCAATGCTGTTCTGGTGCCTACCTTTGATTTATCATAGTCAGGTATGCGAGGATATATGTGTATGGTGCAATGCTGTTCTGGTGCCTACCTTTGATTTATCATAGTGAGGTATACAAAGATATGTGTGTCAGGTGCAATGCTGTTCTGGTGCCTACCTTTGATTTATCATAGTGAGGTATACAAAGATATGTGTGTCAGGTGCAATGCTGTTCTGGTGCCTACCTTTGATTTATCATAGTCAGGTATACAAAGATATGTGTGCATGGTGCAATGTTCTGGAGCAGTATAGTGCCGTTCTGGTGCCTACCTTTGATTTATCATAGTCAGGTATACAAGGATATGTGTGTATGGTGCAATGTTCTGGTGCAACAACTGCTGCGTGAACTGCTGTACTCTTGCCATCAATCTCATTCCTATGCTTTATAATTTCAACCTTCACTGGAAGCTGAAATGTAAGTTAAAAATTATAATGTACACTGATTATAGATTGATCTCTTAGACATCTAAGTATTTAGATGCAATAATTAGTCATGCATGTGCCCCTCATATACATGTAGATATTGAAGAAGGCAAACATTTGATGCAAGACTTTATCACTTCATTTCTTTACATTGCTTACCATGACAATCCCTTATTTGAAATCATGCTCTTAAAAGTAGAAGTGATGAGTATCAGAATGAGTTCCTTATTGCAGTGTGGATTATACCATATAAGAGGGTTATTAAATGGGAGGTTTGGGATACAGGGTATATCCTGAGGGAAATACAATATTTCTTGAGGGTTACACCCTGAATCTAAAACTGAACATTAACTACATAAATGTACTTAATCATATACTTATTAGATTAATTTTTTTATCAATTGCACGAAAATGCACTGAATGAAATTCCCGAGATTGCTGAGCGGAAGATACACCAGATGATAAAGTAGGATATATACAGGGTGTCCAATAAATAAGGTGAAAGATATTGTAACTTTCTTAATATTGCATCAATCTTGATGAAATTTTCAGAGTTTGTAGTCCAAACCTTTTTACCCTTATTCTGTGAATTTAAAGCGTCTTTTATTTGATTGGCCAGAGTTGTGGTTGCTATAGCAACCGAAACAACAAAAAGGCGGGGCAAGTTTGTTTACGTCACAACTTTCCAAAACATATTTATTCTTACTGATAGCTTTATTCATATTCCAAGGTCTATTACTACCACCAATACAATATAAAAAAACAGTCCTAAAGTCCCATTGTTATGAAAATAAGCTATTTAACATAATTTCCATCTCTAGCTATACACTTCTTATGCCTATTCACCCACTCTCTAAACACATTTTCAAACCCATTCTTGCCCATTTTCTGAAGTCTTGCTAAGACATGCGATCTGAGTTCATCAGTGCTTCCAAAGTCACGCTTGAGTTCTGCATATAAGTAAAAGTCATTGGGTGCAAGGTCTGGGGAATATGGAGGGTGTGCAAGTAGGGGTAGCCCCAGTGCCCTAATAGTTTCACTAGTGAGCATAGCTGTGTGTGAACTCAGATCATGAATAAGTATGAATAAAGCTATCAGAAAGAATAAATATGTTTTAGAAAGTTGTGACGTAAACAAACTTGCCCCGCCTTTTTGTTGTTTCAGTTACTATAGCAACCACAACTCTGGCCAATCAAATAGAAGACGCTTTGAATTCACAGAATAAAGGTAAAAAGGTTTGGGCTACAAACTCTGAAAATTTCATCAAGATTGGTGCAATATTAAGAAAGTTACAATATCTTTCACCTTATTTATTGGACACCCTGTATATATATCCCCCTCACCTCAGATATCCATTATATTCCTGCATGTTATTTACCTAAAATACTACTAAGTCTACGATAAATGCTTGAAAAAAAATAAGTTAATAAATTTTATCTCAAGTTTGTGATATTAAATTGATAATGGCAAAGAGAACCTGAACAGTTGGTATCATTCCTTTTGTCTCTTCTAGTGGAATACAACAGCTGTAGCAATAGTACTTTCTAGACTGTCCACATTTTTTACACTTCAATCGTCCCTCCACACTGTGAAGCCCAGCGGAGTCTGATATCTTCAAACCTGGGAATGGATTTTCTTCCATGACAAACTTTTGTTTCTTGTTTCAATGTCTCTAGTGTTTTTGATCTGTACTTTTGGTCTGTGCTCTATAATTCAAAAGACGTACAATGTTAGTGAGTACAGTAAATATGACCATTAAACTGAGCTCATCTGTACAGTGCATATTTGTATTTATTACATGTATGTCACTGTCTGATTGGTCCATTTCTACATGTGACTAAAAAATAATATAGAAATATTTAATTCTATTGAGGTGAATACCTGTGCAACATACCCTGAAGGGCTAGTGAAATATCATCTTGTGAAAGTGTCACAGTTATTAACCAAAAATAGAATTAAATAATTGTTTTATTATTCACTGCTCACTCACATTAATGGAATAACAAACCAATGATATCTGCTCATCAACAGCAGTAAAAATGGAGAAAGTTTATAAGTGAAATTATGCTCTCAAAAACAATTTCTCAATCATTATTTTGTCAAAATATTCCCAAATCATGAAATATAAGAAAGATCCGCTGAAGGATTTAGGAGTTAAAGTTTTGATGATATGGTTCACCACATGTGTGTTTATTAGATTTGACGCGTAATCTTTCAATCATGTGACAAGAGCATGAGACAAGAACCAATCATGTCAATTGTTTATGTGGTGAAAGACCTTCCCTCCGCAGTCACGGGAGTAAGTCACCTCGCTCTCTCTAATGAAGAGGGAGGGGTGACTAACTCCCTGTGTGTTGAAGATTAGCATTTCCACAGAGTATGGTTCTCCACACAAGTCCATAATCAAATCAGTACATAATCAAATAATATCACGTTTCTCTTCTTGATCATTCACAACAATTTCATGATAATTGACGGAAAATATTGAAACACAGCCCCTGTGTAGGCTATTGAAAAAATAAATTGTGTTCAGAAAACAGTTGTTTGATAAAGCAAGTCTCAATCAATATCAATAACCTTTTAGAATGTTCGCAAAATTTTACTATATTTGTATAATATATATTAACAAAATCCTAGGGCGTGGGAAGTTTCTTATATTAATAAAATAGAGGAGATCTACTTACACATAATAGCGTGGAAAAAGTTAATCTGCCATTTTGTTTCCGGTAAAAAAGGTCACATGGCAGTCACGTGACACCAAAAATGTAAACAAAAGGTTGGCACAAGGGGGGGGGGGGGGGGGGGGCTCTTGGTTGGCACTTTTCGGATCAGCATGTCACCTCTAAGTTTGCACTGTAGTATTTTGTTAGAAGAGGTCCATATTAAATTTTAATCGCTTTGACAAACACAAGAGAAAGCTACTTGTGTAGATGGACGTGGAAAGTATGCCAAATTTTGAAAGGACCCATTTTCCCCTGATATTTGTGACTGAATTTGCCCGGCCCGTTGTTTGATGCCCTCCCGTCACAGAAAATGATGTGTGTAAAGGGACCCCGAGTTGTTTATAGAATGAGTTGGGGGAATTTTTTCGTGCATTTGCGCTTGTGTTTTCCATCTAAAAAAGCATCAATACACTTTAAAACATTTTATTGACAATAATGTAATAAAACCCGGGCCCTCTCTCTGAACAAATACGTGGTAGCGTGGCTAGGGCCGGGAATATTATGAAACTAAATTTTGACTTGATCTTGAATTGAGTTAATCAAATTATTTGCTTGGTCATTAAAGGAAATTTGGAATAATATAATACTGGAAGGTGCTGATGCCTTTAAATGACAAACTGGACCAAAATAGTGCTTACTGTGGAAGGGGGTGATTGCAATATAAAATGATTGAAATTGAAACTTAAACACAACTTGCACCTAAGTATTCTCAACAGATCGCAATAATGAGCTTGATATGACCCCTTAAATATATGGGCTTTAGAGAAGTTGAAACAATCTGTTCAAAATCAACCTTAGATCAAATTGACCACTTTACGCAAAACAACAGACAGAGAAATTAAGATTATATAATTTTAATAATGATATAAATCTGAATATATAGAATATACTGTATAAAATGGTATATTTACAGAGGAATATTTACATAATCAGAGTCTCGAAGTTCGAACGAATAAGAAACTGTTATACTCTCAACAGGAACAATCTTATTATTGAACTTACTCTTGATTAAGAATCTCACCAATCTCACTAACTATCTCATTCCCAACATTTAACTCAACTTACATGACAAAAGTTCTCTGCACTACATATATGCATGACCTGAACTAATCAACACTTCAATGACCATGAACACCTTAAAATAATGGAACGCTCAAAAAGCAGAAATTCATTGGAAATACATTGATACACACTGATCTCTGAGCCAAATAACAGAGGATATTCCTTACAGAGCCTGACAGAAATTCACTTGAATATTCAAGACTAAAGTTGGAAAGTATAAAAAATGAGTTTAAACTGAAACACCCTTATCCCTCGAAATGCATCAAGGTTCCGAGATCTCAAAACCACGAGGTTGACTGAGAACTTAAGGAACTGAGACAATGAGATTTCAGTTATAAACTGGAAACAAAAAGTAAGCCATGGTTACCAGACTGAAATCTACATTATAGCCTAGTCTTGTTTATAATCCTAAAATATCCATCCATAATTCTGGTTTTCCAAGTTCATTTCCCAACTCGAGCAATTCATTAGGTTTCTCCTTTGTTTGTCCCAATTCACTTATCAGTCTCAAATTCAACTCTAGCAATCCAGGACCTTTCTCCCATGTTTCTCACACGCTCACTATTCCAGCCTCAAAACTACATTCTGTCCTTAACCCTAAAAATATTACTTACTTCACAAAATATAACAATCAGCTAGAGCTAACACCATTGGTCAATGCATTAAATACTTATCCCCCTAACTTGACTCTCATTGGCTAAGCTTCTTTCTCTTTAAAACACTTTTAGGACTGATGGTCCTTGTAAAATCACATTATAAACAAAATAACATTTGAAACAAGTATCTAAAAGATAATGCACAAACTCAATATGAAATAAAATGAATGTACAAATAAAAGTACAAAGTAATGATGCCAGGATCATTACAATAAGATTGCACCATATTAATCTCTACTTTAACATTTTGAGTAGATACTCATCTTTCATTTTATGAGAAATTGATAAAACATTGGCGGAGTTTGATAATTTTTAGAACATTTCATCCAGAGTACGCAATTAAAAATGGACGTACAATAACATTGCCGTTTTTGGGCTTATCACTTGAAAGGCACTATGCATTTGTATTATCATATATTAATATGACGAATCGATTGTAATATGATAGGACGCTAATTTTACCCTTAGACTTCATTTTGTATATAAATGTAAAATAATTTGGGAAATCCACTAAAAGTTCGGAGGTTTCTCCATGGAGTTCTGATCATTCGAAGCCCATGGTACAATACATTGCATGATGCCAAATCTATCGTACACTCCCCTCCATAAGTTTTGCAACCCTAACTCCCTTACATTACACTGCGTGTTAAAGCCTCTTTATATTTGAATTTTTATTTACATAACCAGCAAAAATACAAATGATAAAGGTGAAAATGTATCTTGGCTTCTTTTCCAATGTCCCTGAAGGTCTATGGCAAGTGATTTTAGATGGTCATATCTTCAGTAGTTTGTTCAAAACTGATTTCAACTTACTTCAAATTGACCAAACTTTAAAAAATCATATGTCTATCTGACCTCAAACTTGAGATTTCACCTTCAATTTTTGATCAAAATACTTTACCGGCCGGTCGCCGGCCGATGAATCGAAGCAAATGTGACCTAGGCATTATGTGAGATTAGTACGATGAGTACACAAAGAACACCGCACCCTTCAAAACTTTTCATAACATATTCATATGCATCAGTGCACAGTCATGGCCAATGCTCATAGTCTCGTTTGAAACATTTTACTTAATGAACTCAGGAAGTAACATCCGATTTAAATTACATGGATTGATAATTTACATTATATGCCTCATATAACTATCTATAGCTCTCACAGAAAACACTATACAACGTTGAAAATATGTATATCATCAATCTGAAGATTAGTTATGATTTCTATCATTTGAAAATGAATGCAAATCCTAGCATTTATTAGCGTATTCGAATGAAAGGGGTATCTTGCTTTGGTCTCTACTTTATTGCCCTTCAGAAACCACGATTTTACTTTCTGTACACGTCCTTGATCCTTTTGCAGTGATTTCTAGATATGATGAGCATCAAACTGCAAAATGGTGAGATCGAGCAGAACGGACAGGGGAGCACTCTTTAGTACTACTTTGTCCCTTTAAATGTTTCTCTTACACCGATAAAGATACATAGGAACCCTTGCAAAAGAACTGATATTTTCTTGATTGAAATCAGTTCAGATTATGAAAGGGACACTTATTTCAGAGAAACGTTAGGAATTAAATGTGAGATTTGCAATTTTCATATAACTATTGAACACCATGAAAATTGTTATGGCCATTTAAAAACAGGTGTCCACTTTACCCCGCCAAAGACCGCTTTTTTACAGTAATTTTTTACTTTTTGTACGGTCGACTATTGGTCGAGCAGAACGGACAAGGGAGCACTTTTTAGTACTACATGTACTTTGTCCTCTTACACCGATAAAAATACATAGGTAGGAACCCTTGCAACAACCTATAAAATTGACCTTGAGTGCGAACCTAAGGATCGCCGTCATGGGTCCCCTGCGACCACATTGCGCCTACCTTGGTTTGTGTCAAGAAAAACGACACCCACCGTAGGAATGTCCTACGCTGACCATGCGTCATGATGTTAAGGCCGTATGGAAATTGTAGTTTTACAATTAACCAAGTAAAGAATCCGATCACAGAAATTCTAAATGCAGAAATGATAGCCAGTACGGTCGGTCGCCGTAGCAAATGTGACGGCTTTAATCTTATTACTATAGCAATGAACAATAAGTTCATGTCACCCTGATACCGTCATTGTTTGTTATGAATATACTTTTATACAGGAAAGTATGGTTCAACAAACTCGTGTCGGAAGTTTAGCTTTTCCTCATTTCTGGTTTAAACTTGTGGAGCGGGCGTGAATTGGAACATAAAACTGTTTTTGTTCTTTTAATTCTTGAAAATATATTGTTCTTCTGTTTGTTAAGAGCTATTTTCACGAAGCATTTTGGTTTGGAAATCGTAAAAAATGCTAGCAATTTCCAATCCTAAAACCCAATATCTCTAATACCAGCTATATAATATTTGTTCATTGTCTGATGAGTCAGTTAATTTTTCGGCCATGTTTTGATGAAAAGAAATTTAAGTCATAATTCTGACATGATGATATAATCTGATTTTTCCTTGTAAAAGAGTCAAGAAATGTTTTGTTGTTTTTGTCAACAGTATCTAATTCAAAACATTTAACAAACCATCAAAACGGGCATCAAAACATGAACTAACGTCATTTGTTATATAATGCGTGAACTGAACGCTTTGAAGGCTATCTTGACCTTCCAATATACACAGTGATCAACGTTAACGCGCCGGTATTCTCTTCCGATGCGTCATGCGACAAAATGAACACCCTGCTTGTCAGTAAAATGGGGGACATCGACAAGGATTTGTTAGATGTGAGTAGTTTTACCTGTTTTTAGACGTAATGTAACTTTACTTTACACATACCATTGTACTATATTCCGAGATTATGCGAGCATGTACCTTAATTTGAAGCGGAAAAGCTCGATGTGTTACAAACGAGATGTTAAAACAACAACACATATATTTTGCTAGGAAATGGTGTATTTCGACGAATATTTCGATAGTCCATATATAATTTATTATTTGTACCTATATAGCAAGCTAAATTTTCCATAGACAGTCTATTTTAAAAATAAACCAAGACACCCAATACGTGAACGTGTAGAATTATGGTTCTCTGGAGATACGTTTTCTCTACGTAATATTCACTTGCCCACCTGAGTATAATGTAAAAGAAAAATAGCTGTAATTAGGTCCCTAGAAATAAAGAGAGGGGGCAGAATTGTTCTGTTGAAAACATGCAGCTTAACCTCCATATTAGGAAGTTTAAGCTTGCATATAAAATCGAAACGCCAACCTATACGTACAGTATGACCAATCGCCCATACAAATGCACCGCTTAAATATTTTCCATTTACGTTTGGGTGGTGAAAAAGATTGCAAGCTTATACTCCTTATTATTTGTGTGTTAACGGCATCGTCATTTTCAGCAGCTTCCTCTTGTATCTCGAGTATCCTGTTTGGCGTGAAATCAAGCGGTGCGTTTTAAAACATCGTTGATTTATGCCGGTGCGTTACACTTTGGGAACTTTGGGAAGACATATTTTGAAATATTAATTGACACCTATACAATGCTCGGGTCGTAAGATTTTATCACCAGGTTGTTCAATATAAATAATTATGTAAAAATAAAGAAACAGATCCTCCGTCCGCCATGACGGACATAGAACCGATACTTTAACGATACTCATCGCGACATAAGCAGACTGACATAAGAATGTGGGAAATCGGTGAAGCTAAGCTTGAACTCATTTTGTTCAGCTCATTTGACACATTTCCTGAAAGTCAACTATATTAATCGACGAGTGTCAAATCAGTCTTCATTCAAAGAAGAGGACAAATATTTTTTTTACTTTAAGCAGAGATAAGAAATCAGACTGAAAAGTACAATATTACGAAATTTTCTTCTCACAATTAGGAGTCAATCTACTGAAACGTACAAGAGAGAAAAACGTATTCGAAATTTTGAAATGTCAAATATTCCAGGTAAGTGTGAATAATAATACTTATAAAATAGTTACACTTTTGTATTTTTTTTTCACTTTAATGATTCATATTTTCGTTCCAATAATTGTTTTGCAGTTTTCGTTCCATATATGTTTTGCAGTTATTTTTTAATTTTCAATTACAGTTTGGTTCTTGTGTACCTTATTCTGCACCACTCTGTCCAGCTACACCGATGCATTTCCCCAACACACAGACTGCAGTAAGTCTTGCTATAGAATGGTATTGTCCGGAATTTTGATCCTAAATTACCAAATTATTTTTCATTTATCTGGAAGGAATATAGCCAAGATCTAAAATATTTTTTTATGATCTTTAATCTCAGCAACAATGGACTTTTTACAAGATGTACAGACTTTTTTTGAAAATAGCAAAGCATGAATAGCTTGCCCACATAGTAAGCAATATGATACAATTAAAATTCTCCCACCTTTTTTAATTTCAAAAGGCAGATTAATTCACTAATTACACGAGCGAATTTTAAGTTTTCATATTTAAGAAAAGAAAATTAATGTCCAAGTAAACTGATGGTACAAATTAGATTTTGAATTAAAAGAATTATGAAGTGAAAACTTACAGACATGCCCTTTCCCTTTAAGGTACTTGTTATTACTTTTAATTACGCACTTCATTCTGACAAACTCTGCATGGTATAAGACTAAACCTATCTGATCCAAAATAAAAACAAACAATTATCAATCACTGAAAAGCAAAGAAATTCTAACTAGAAGCTAGTCTAACTCGTAAATGAATCAAAAAGTCTTGAAATATCAAATAATATGCTTCTTTTGATTGCATTTAATTAATTTGTATCTCCAGGTAATCCGATAGACGTCGCCGTTATAGGGGGTGGAATAGGTGGCGCATATGCAGCTTGGAAGTTAAAGGAAAGCAAACAGTCCATTTACTTATTCGAATATTCCAACAGAATAGGAGGTCGTGTATACAGCCGAAAACTACCAGGTATAACCCTTAAGCCTTTAACTTTATAAAGTAATGGAATAAGAACTAAAGGGTTGAGACAATAGCGAGACCCCGAGCGAGACAAAGCAAATAACAGAAACATCTAAAGTACCAGTACAACCAATCAAAATAAAACATAACCCCCAAAATATGAACTAACCCACAAAGAAACTAATTGTCTGATAATTTTTATAAATTTCATCAATTTTTTATTTCATTGATCCGTTATGGTGTTCATCTTCCATCTAATCTAATTAGTCAATCTGATTATTATAGCATTATCCGTAATTTCTATTATCTCGATGCATCATGGACGCTATCTGAAGTACTTATTTTTTTATATTCCAGGTATTGACTACAGAATGGCGGAGATAGGGGCGATGAGATTCATTCCCATGATCGAAACCAACGCTGGGACAATGGGACACGTTTTTGTCAGCAAAGCCATAGCGTCCCTCAACTTGACAATCATGGATTTTCAAGACTACAGAGGTGATTATAAGTCCAACCTTCAGAACAACATCTGGTATCTCAGAGGGACACATATGAAATATAACGACCTAGGGAGTTCTAAAGTACCTTATAAAATGTACCAAGATGAATTGGGGAAAGCTCCAAGCCAGCTGCGTAGAAAGATCTATGAGGCCAGTGTCCCAAATCCTGCTTCAAGTGTTGATTTCAATCCAGTTGATGAAGAAGATAAAGATGGCGTTGACTTATTTAGACAAAGGTAATTGTCAATATTACTTATACTGACTGAAATGAGTTTGAATCACTATGAATTAATATTAAACAAGACTATATTTAAAATATTAAACAAGACCATATTTAAATCATTTTAGGTACGACAGAATCTGGCATAAATATGGTGGCTCAAACGAAGCATTGGAATACGTTACAGACGCTATGGGAATTGATCTGTCTCACATGAACGCTGCGTTTGCTGTGCCAGCGTCTCCCCAAGGAGTATTTGATGAGATGAGATTCAAAACGCTCAAGGGCGGAATGAGCACTCTCCCTACGACAATGGCGAATCAGTTTGAAGATAGTAGCCCAGAAAGGTAAAACTCTAAATGAGATTCTCTGCGACATTCTCCTTTAAGTTCAAATAGAGACTAAAGATAAAGATGCCATTTGAAACCACAATTTTACTATGAATGAATAAACTTTCAGACATCAAGTCCATATGAACCATAAGTTGGTACGAATAGAAGGACGAGGGCAGAACCAGCTACTGAGTTTCCAGATCACAACCACCAGGAATTATATCACATCAGACACCAGGGTGAGTCTTGTGTAGTCCGTGTTCTACATTTTTTGTCTGTGGTCATCTACTCGGGGATCAGCTTCATAACTATAGATTAATGTAATTCTCAGTTTGTACTAAGTTTGAACTAAACAAATCCTTCATGTTTTCCAGGAACAGGCCACTGTGTGTGCAAAGCGTGTCATCCTGGCTCTACCCAGAGATGCTCTTATGGACATCGACTGGCAACCCCTCCACGGCAATGTTTTTATCGAAAATGGACTTAACGCTGTTCGCGGAATCGAAGCATTTCGAATGTACCTTGGCTACGAGAACCCATGGTGGGAGAATCTAGGCATTACGACAGGAAGATCCATCACCACGCTTCCCGTCAGGCAGATGATATACATGGGCCAAGAGAAACCCTCGACTGGTATAGTGCAAGACCTGAACAGGAAGTCAATGATGTTGGTGTACCCTGTTCAGCCACAGGCTTCATTCTGGGATGACTCCACGTTGAACAGTCATCTGGCTGTCAATCCTCTCGCTGACAACATGCTTACTAGTGAGTACAACATATCCGAGACGATTTTATCCGAGGCACAAAACCAGCTCGCAGAGGTACATCAACTTCGTCGTGAAGACTTAGCACGTCCATACACAGGCGTGATGCATTATTGGAAACACGGTGGACCCCAAGGCCCAGCCTTCTACGCCTGGAGGGCTGGCTACAATTGGGAAATCATCTCTAAGTTAATGATCAAGCCATTTGCAGATGAGAACGTGCACATTGTCGGAAGTTGCTACAGCGGTAAGCAAGCGTGGATGGAGGGGGCTTTAGACTCAGTGGAAGAGCTATTAGATGAGCATTACAACCAGCACGAAGATAAATGGATAGAGAACAATAGTATCATTAGACGTAGACGAAGTGTCCACTCCAGGGCACAGGGTGGGATAGCAGATATGTCGGTGGATACGTTCTCAGATGGCTACTACAATAGAGAAAGTCCAACCACCAGCTCCTCACCAGTTCAGTTGGTACTTTCCAACGTCATTTTCATGGTTAGCGCACTATGCATGCTACATTAGGTTAACATTAATATCTGTACAATACTAATGTTAATCTAGAAAATTTTGCTATTGTGCAGATTTTTTATTCGTTCCTAATTTTCCTAACTGAATTATCAAATCGGACGTGTCCTTGTGATTGCAGTTGTTAAAATCCCAGTAATATATTGACAAACCTAGGCCTATATATTTTTGCGCATCAATTACAATTCAAGATAATTTAATTCGCAATGATATCTAGATTTACAGTATTTCTACTACAATAAATCCTTCCATTGGTTTAACCTCATTCCCTCATTGGAATTACCTATTTATCAAAGTCAATATTTACGCTCAAGTATGAACATCTTCGAGCTTTAAAAGATGATTCCTAGAGCCAGCAAATGATGGCATCTCTGTATTTAAAGTGTGCGCCAAAGTTTAAAACTGCGCAGGCGCACCACTCTCGCTAAACTATATAAAGAGATTGCCCGGTACACGATTCAGAGGTAAGCCAGGAAGGCGAACGATCTTCGTCTCGTGATGATTTCCCATATAATCTTAACCAGGGAAGTTTCAACATTGAAATTGAAAATTACAATTAGATATACTTTGTAGATGTTATTTATGAAGCTATTTAGTGTTTGCATCAATCAAATGGCTCATTTTGAACATATAAAACGTATTTGTGTTTTGTTTCCCAGGGAATTGTATTGTATGTAGTACACACATAAATAGTGTACATTATACTTGAATAGCCTGGTTTACATAATATTGAAGGGCATGCTGATTACATGCACACGAGTACATGAATGAAGGCCTAATATTGATATACGTAGCTTGCATACCTAAATAAAAAATAAACCCTTCTAATCCCCTAATGTAAACACGGCGGTATACGTAGCCCGATTAATCGGGGACTTTAAGTGAGCACACTACCTAATAAGTAAATTACATACATTTTACACATTTGCAGTATTTTACGTTACCATGAATTTAATGAAATTATATTTAAAATGTCAGAGATCACATTGCTGGTTGTTTAGTGTAAAGTTATATACTAAATCAATAATTTACCTTGTCTTGTTATTCTTTTAGTTTAAGCCCGGCTCCAGGGCTTTTCCTCTTTTCCCCTTCAGATTTCAGTATATATTATACCGTTATTTAGACTAATTTAATTAATTCAAAAATAGTAAGTAAAATCGGTATGAATTTGAGTACTAAAGTTATGAATTGAAATTCAGTTTCGATCATTTGGCAATTAAATGTTTTCATGCTGCAATGTATTATTAAAAGGATATTTATGTCCTGTAAAAACTGCTTCCTCAGTTGGACTACTGCTGAGTATCAAATGTAAAAACATGTTTAAATTAAAGGTATTAGAAGGGATATATTATGAGTTGTGATTTAGTTTAAAAACGTTTGCTCTCGTGATTCATGACATTCAATTTAAGAACACAAATAATATTGACTTTAGCTCAGGGTAATCCTTAATGTTCCAGGTTACCTGGCAAAACATTGAATTGAAAAAAAAACAGGACGTCCCTTTTTAAAATTCTAACGAATTTGGACATTTCTGAATCTTGAATCTACAATATCATCTTGAGTCCATTCCTCAAAAAATAAAGTGAATTGGGACTACTAAGGGAGACGTTGGCATAATTTTTGAAAAGATCTAACATTTTATATTATCTTTTCCTTCTAATTCCTTAAAGCTTAACCTTTTGATTACCAGGGCAATTTGCCAGTTTTTCCAACTACCTTTATTCTACAACATGAGAGGGTTAATTTTGTAAAAATAAAATGACCAATAAGACACAGTGAAAACTGGATTTTTTTTAGATATTGCCAATTTGATATTGACATTTTGTTACTTTTGCCTCTTGGTATTCAAAAGGTTAAGTATGCTATTAAAGGAAGGAAAGTTGGTCTTATAGGTATTATGATTAATATTTTGCAATATAGTTGAAATAGATTAGTAAACATGTATATATTTAACAGGTATTTAAAAATTAACTTATAAATTATTTTAAATATTTATTGTATTTATCTTATTTATGAAAAATTACTGTTATACTATTTATTGTGTGTAGATATCATAATGACTAATTATCCCAACGAACGACGTTTGGTAGGGATATAGTGAAGCCCTCTGTCCGTCCGTTCTCAAATATTGTATTTTCTTTATGATTTGTGCACTCGAAACTCTTCGATGGACACCCAAATGCTTAAAGTAACCAGTGAAACTTCTGCTATATTTCCAGTGTATGTCTTTTTAATCAAGTGTGGAGTAGATGGTAAATATTATATTGTGACATACAGATTCAGGAATTTAGTGTTCGTTGAGATTTGCTACTCCGTGGAGTTGTCGATTTCAAGTACTAGTTTCTCAACTATTAAACTCCCATTTTCGATATGTTACAGGTTTCATAAGAGGAGCAGCAGAAGAAAACAAGAAACATTTATGTCTTTTGAACAAGTTTCGTAAATTTTGTTATTGTTTTGAGATTTGAGAAGTTAGCGGGGACAAGGTCGCAATACTGCGAGGTTTACAGTAATATAACTGATATGCTGCTCAATAAAAATGTATTTATCAATTAAAATCGACATTGAGTGCAGGAAGTTGAAAAATATGGAAAATATATATTTTATAAGTGTTGTAGTTATTCAAGTGTAAAGTGTTCAATTGTGAAATTAAATTAAAATGTGTTTAATCAAGTAAAAGACAGGCGTAAACATTGCATTTATTTTCACGCCTGAATTTGTAGTGGCCAACTGCATCCGTTGTGCGCTCATCATCCAAATCAAGATGCAGTCAAACAGGAAGAGAACTGAACTCATATGTAAAATGACTCAAACTGAATTTATTCTGAACACATCTGCAATGTTTCTGAGTATTCTACAATAAATCATGGGCTTTCAACCATTTTTCTTCTCTGGCTACGCAGTGCTTTCTTGGTTGGCATATGGGGCAAGCCCATGAATGTAAAATTATCTGAAAATATTTAAGGACAGGGTGCATGTTGGGAAATTTTCTGCATTCCTCAATTGAGTCACATGTTATTTTTCAAAGAAGAATAACTCCTTCCCCACATTGTCTACATCTTCCAGGTTTGCACGAAGAGTGCACTTATGTGCCTAGAAAAGCCTTGTGAGAAGATTTGTTTTGTAAAATGTATAAAAAACGAAAAAATTCAGTGAAAAAAATTTCTGAAAATTTTCTGAATCTTTTCACTGAATTTTCTTGTTTTTTATACACTTTATCAAAACATTCTTCTCACAAGTCTTTTCTAGGCACATAAGAGCACTCTTTGTGCAAAACTGGAAGATATAGACAATATGGGGAAGGAGTGATTCTTGTTTGAAAAATAACATGTGACTCAATTGAGGAATGCAGAAAATTTCCCATCATGCACCCTGACCTTAAGATGTTAGAATATAATGTTTGAAATAAATTATTATTTTTACTGCAATTCTTTTGTCTTGTCACTTTATACGAAAAATATATACTTTTTGGTAAACTGTAATAGGGTGATATGCAACATTTATCAACTTCTGTCAACTGGTGGGTGGTTTATCGGTTGTCTTTGAACTTTCTACAAGACGTTTTACATCGGCTAGAAAATAATGCAAGGCGAATGCTACGCACAAATGGTAATAAAATGAAAATAAATAAATTAGTACCGAGAAATTATGTTTTTTACTATAGACACACTGATAGACAAAACGGACTTTTATCCTTTGTTATTTAGTCATCGAGTAATTTGTACATTATGTTTCGCACTGTAATAGTCAATTTTAAGTTCAAGAAACCTCTCGTTATAATTGTCATTTGCTATATTCGTGTCACCTCTGTATTTAGATTATCATAGTTCGGTTTGACATTACTAGAAGAGTCTTCATTATTCTCTTTCAAACGTTCACCAACAACATAACCATGATTGTCGTGTCCAGCATCAGTCGCTGTATGTATCCGTCCATTCCTTTGGGCTATTTCCATACTTTGGTCATCATACTTTTTCCTGAAATAATGAAACAGTAATGTGACAATACTGGTGAGGTCGCTAACACAGTTAATAAGTCTCTCCTATGTTACATATACAACACATGTACATTATTATTTATAGGTACATATTTCTAGGAAAACGCTATTCAAAATGAGGAATACATAAACGAGTTTTTATGCCAAAAGAACTCAACAATACATGTATAGTTATCAATCATTGGACATAATTATTGTTTCCTAAATATAAACATACAAGAAATGATACATAAAACATACATAAAACTACATAAAAATCTTGAGTTTTCATGTGAACGAAATATAAACTATTATATTTTTGAGTATTTTGAAGCGGGAAACAAGCCGAAATGTACCCTCCTTATAAAGGTTTCCTTCTAAATCTGACTTTGACTCTCATTTAACGAAATGAAATAATGGGGGAACTCTGGCCAGTGTACGTACGTGCCAAATAGTTCCCCGTCTTCAATAGTTTCTGGTAGTTTCTTTCCAAGTGTCTCTGGTAGAAATAAAGCTAAGAAGCCAGATACTACTGTGGTACTTCCGAATATAACAGATGGTAGGGGTAACCACACGCTATCCTAAAATATGAAATAAATTAAAACACTTAGCACTCTTTATCAATGAGTTCCGATTGCGACATGTACTAAAAGTGATTGCAAGAAATTGTTCGAATTTACGCGAGGTTTGGTTTTCACTTGGTTCAGTTTTTCGCGCATGTGCAAAAACGAAAGTACTTCATTCCCATGATTGAATTGATTTTCTGCAATTGGTTCGGTTTTATCTTATACCATACGAAAGCTTTCTGCCACCAAATTGCTGGATTTAATGTGCATGCGCAAAAACGAACCAAAATGGAACCTCGCGCAGAGTGCCCCTTGTGAAATGTTCTCCAACAGGAATACGATCTGCCGGAGTGACACTAAATAGCAATTACCAGTTGGCCGAGTTGCTGTGATGCCATTGCAGAGATCCTCGCGACCATAGAGGCTGAACCCACTGTAACTGCCCTGATGCCAGTAGGAAACATCTCGGATGTGTACGTATAGATGATCTGGAACGAAGCGGCCGCTCCTATCTTACCAACATTCGACAATATAACGACAAAATATTGCAAATCTAAAAATAAAGATTGTTTGGCATGTAAGATTAGAATATTACACGTGGCATTTCCATTACAGAGTACGCTATAGAACTTCCTTGTGTCATGAAGTATATCACATCTGAGAAGCTGCAATGCACCATTGAAAGAAAATTTGAAACGAATCGTTATTTAGTCGACTGATTATGTTTGGACATTTGTATTGTTGACTAGCTTTGCATAAACAACACTTACTTCGTTGATATAGAAATGGAATGCATAAAAGACAAGCTATTCCTCCAAATATCAATGCACCAACCAATGGCCATTTCCTTCCTACTCTTCCTATCGAATTAATACAGAAGAGCCAAGCAATGATGTCTGCCACAGCAGAGATGGTAGTGTTCACGAACACACTCCCAGCGAGACCACCACTGTTGAGCGATAACCCATAGTACACCGCAGTCACGAACCTACATTAGACATTTCAAGTATGCTAAGTGCGTGCCTCCGTCAATCAGCTTAGCATATTTGAATGCATTAATTCAAGGTATATATCGGTTGTCCCAAAAATGAGACACTTTTTGACAAGTATTTTCTCGGCAACTGATTGATCAAATTCACTAAAAATTCGTACAGAGTAGCCCGAGAGTATCGTTAGCAAGGTGTAAAAATATGATAAAGATTAAGTAAATATTGATAGGATGGCAAGATCCCATACCGGAGCAACGCAATGAGAACTTCATAGCGTTTGTACCAAAAAATGGGAAGCAATTTGACAAGTAATTTCCCAGCAATAGATCAGCCAAATTCGTTGAAAACTTTACTTGAGGCACTTTATGGTATTTTCTACTAGTGTCATGAATATGTAAGAGATTGGTTTCATATAATACATATTTTTGAAAGTATGTCAAAATAACCAGTATCAATGCAAAAGTCACTTATTAATCTATATATTTTAACAATATCACCTCCCATGAATTTTGAGAATGCATGGATTTGGGATATTTGGGAAGAAACAGTATAGAGTTCTCATCGCAGAGCTCCGATATGGGAATTTTCGATATGCTATTTTGAATTTCTAAGGATTCTTTATACAAATTTTCAGTGAGTTTGGTTCATCGGTCGCCGAGAAAATACTTGTCAAAAAGTCTTTTTGAGACACCCAATATGGTCGAACGAGCAGAAACAGTAGTTTTCAGTGCATTATGGTTTCATATATAATCAATTGGACGATGCTAGTACATGCACATTCTCTTAGATTTCCATAGTTAATAAGGGGAAACGGTCATAAAGTATCATAAATGATTGGCCAGTTGGGTATTTATGCATGTCTCAGAGTTATGTAAAAAGAACATTGCGTTTACCATATTGTACACATAATGAAGTAGCGTGCCCGTATTCTTGGTGTTCGAACAAGGTCTACTATTGTCCCCTTTGTCCTGCTGTCATTCTCACCATCCAATTTATCAATTGTATCATTCTTAATATATTCTTCAGTGAAATCTATTTTATCAGGCATTGTTCGACCATTAACTTCTGCCATATACGTTAGTATCTTTATGGCTTCGTCTTGACGTTTCTGGGACACTAGCCATCTAGGAGATTCTGGGATGATCCTGTGTTTAAAAAAACAGTCGAATAATCAAATGTGCACATTAGTATAAGACTACATACCAGAAGAACAATGAGAAAAATATCTCACTCACTGTAACATGAGTTAAATTTTGTTTTACACATCTGGTCCTTTCTGCTTTTTCATTTTGAAAAACGTTATCTTATTCTTTATGACCCTTATTAACATGAACGTTTGATTAACCGTGTCGTGGCTTAATTAAAGACATTCTATCATGTAACATCACTACATATTAACTGATTGCGTACATACCAGAAAAATGAGAAGAAAACAAGACGTGGTACAGCCATGACCACCTGTAGGTTTTCGAATTCCCTTGCCCCATATGCCAACCCAGAAAGCACTGCGTAGCCAGAGAGGAAAAATGGTGCAATGAAAACTTTGCTTCTGTACACAGCTCCAATATTTTCTACAACTGAACATAAAAATGATAATGACATAAAATTGATAATGAGATTGACGTGTGTATTAATATTCCTAATAGATGTACGTAATAAGCAGTTGGTGTTACATTTGGTTGGAATCCCTGATGCATATGCCTAACAATCAGGAAACGTTACATGCACATTGGAACAAAATCAAATATGGTAACTTACTGTATACTAAGGCTATGATATATATTGCAATTGCAGATCCACCAACAGCAAAGCGACAAATACAGAAAAGTGGGTAGTTTGGCATAAACGCTCCAGCGAATGCAAATATAAATTCAATGACTATCATAGCCATCAAAGCCACCTTCCTTCCAAATCTGAAATAAATTGATAAAATGCATCTGAACTGGACTACGTTACGGCAAAATAATTTGAATTTGAGGAAACAGTAAAATATTGCCACAAACATCCGTTTTGTAATATCTTAGAGACATGTATCGAAATGGGATTATTTTACCTATCAGAGATAACCCCAGATAGTAATGATCCGACCAGCATGCCCCCTATGTATATAGTTGATACAAGAGGTCCTTGCCAATCTATGTCACAGACAATATCCCACTATAACATACCATAATGACATTAAAAGCATGTGTATTGATAAACTTAACCAAAGCTTCTAGGTTCTTTAGAATTTCTATGATCAATTTTTCAACTGTTGGTTGATTGACATTGATGTGCAAACCAAAATAGGAGGGAGTAAAATAATGATCTTTGGGGAATCTCATTGATAATATCTAACCAAAGATTAATGATATAAAGTATCTGTTCGTTATTGATAATACCCAAATTCATGCTATACTTTAAATAATGTTTAAAAATACTTTGTACATCTGGTTATATTTGCCAGGCTTTTTGGACAAAATGTCGAACGCAGTCGAAATATCGAGAAAACATATGTTAAAATGGACGTATGTGAAAAAATGTCTTTACATGAAAAAGGGATACACATACTTTGCTTAATAATGTTGACACATGAAGACTTCTATCGTATACCCAACCGCTATCACATTTGATCCTACGGGCGCCATTTAGTCGCACACTTCTGTTCCAACTCATTAGTTCCTCGTAAGAATATTCACTGTAGTTTAGAGAATAGTAATGGCAAGACGTGTATCGATCTGAACCATCTTGCTGGCGGTCTAATGGAATACTAATGTACTTTTGTCTCGCATGAGATAAGTTTGAAAGCGCTGGTACATTGCACCAATGCTGTTGTCTTCCTACCAAATAATTGTTCGCCATGGACTGCCAACCGCTTGGCATCGCACCTTGCATGGAAAGGGTAGAAAGAAAAAAATGCATTATATGAACTGAATTGGGTCTATACAAAGTTGTAGTGACAGTCTCTGAAGGATCCGTTGTGTTTTGAGTTATATAAAGACAAATTGTGTCCTCCTTGTACAGATTCTTCAGACTCGTTCAAAACAGTAGATCCCATTTAGATACAGTACACAAACTTTATATATACACCTACAACTTGAGATGTGCTTTTGACGATCTTAAATCATATGAAAAAATATGCTACAAAAACCTTTGTTACAACCACTGCAAGGTTCTCAGTCTTGAAGTTTAGGCCAACACATTTTGAATCACGATAAGCGCTAATTTGAAAAAATGTATGTAAAGCACAAAGGACAATGAAAAAGGAACCATCGGGAAAAATGTAACGAAATTGAAAGAAAATAGATAAGAAACAAAGGAAAGCACAACTCGTTCTCCAGTACCCCGCCCAATGTCCAGCTTAATTTTTGTCGTAAAATACATTGCCTCGAAAAACTGTTTCTTGCCTCTGCCTTCTTAAAATTACCTTTGTTATTGACTTAATTTAGGAACATAATATGTTCTGTTTTGGTTCGGTGGATTTATAAAAATGTTTTTACTTAGCCCTATTAGGATGTATAATCCCCATTGGTACGGCCCAAATCCTCCAACATGCTCCTGTAAAACTTCATCAAATCTCATTGTCGTAAAGTTGGTGCTACTGCCAGACTCAGATTTATTGCATTTAGTGATCTTCAGATTATATCTTTGTATTTCGTATTATTGAAATGATATTTAACTTTATCCATGGTATTGCGATTAAATACGATAATACATTTGAACCTCAAGCTACCACTTTCTTCCCTGAAATATGCAAATCTATCAATTGTGTTTCAACATTTGACTACATTTTATGGCTGAATCTTCGGGTGTATTATGTACTATTATAAATGCGCTCTTGGCATATAAGTTACAAACACGAGGTGCACTTGAGTTGAAATATATTTACAGCCTTACTATCTTGTTATCTCTAATTTATTATAGCTCATCGCAGATAGAATTAAACATTAATTATTTCACCTTCAATCAATGACATCTAATCATGTTAGCCTATTTATTAATAAAAAGGCATGCACGGGGTGTGACAAGGAGCCTGGAGGAGGCATTGAATCGGAGGAGAGTTAACGTTGATATTGGTCAATACTGGTATAAAAAACAAAATGTAGAAATGCAAGAGACAAAAAGACTTGCAAGAAGAGGCAAATAGTCGAGTTTCCATAAGTTGCCTCAAGTCTGTTTAGCATATTTTAAAAAAGATACCGGGGGAAAACTAGACATGGGAAAAGACGCTTGATTTTTCTCTAATATAAAATAAAGTTGTACTGAGTTTCACTTACTATATAGTTTCATAGAAAATTTTGCCGATTTCAATTTTATCATATCTCTCAAGGGCCCGCTTCTAACATGAGCTCATTGCTCGCCATGTCAGCGGGGCCCGGATAGTCCCCGTGAGCCTCGGAGGCTAACAGCATAGGCTACATGCGATAGAAATACTTTTTAAATAAAGAGGACGGGCCAATCAATCTGTGTTTATTCATACCAAGTCGAGAGAAATGTTAATAAGTTGTACAGCTGCTGCCATCTTTATATCGGCCCAAAACCTATCATGCTAGCAGCATTATCATCATTCATTGTATTACTGGATATCTGGATATTAGGCTATAGTCGCGGGATGGGCTTTCAAGTCCCCTTAGTGTCGGGTATAATAAAGGAAAATTTCCGATCTTGATAAAACAATTCTCCTCCACTTGTAAGACCCCATTATGCAATGTATAGTCTTGTGTATGTTATCGGGATGCCGGATATCAAGTTGACAAACTAGAAAAGTGCAAAGTCAGCGACGAAAATACCAGAACTGACGAGCATGAACTACCATGTACAGCCATAAGATTGTGAAGCACTGGAACAATGTTCCAGAGTATGCACCTGTGCAACCTGAAGTACCATTAACCTGGGGCTTATGTAGAACCGCCAGATGACACTGAGACCCATTAACGTCCAATGACCTTTCGAGAAAACAACTCCCCCCGCCCCTCCTTTCCTTCCGACATATTATATTAGACTTTCTTCATCCTCATTCCAGAATAATTTGTATACCTGTATACAGGTATAAATAGTTTGACGCCAAAAAGTTGTATAAAGGCAGATAGGGGTGACAAAATTACAAGCAACATGTACACTATTCGATCATTACAATCTCAAATACAATATCTCCCAAAAGATTCACGATATGTTATAAATTGTTGAAGTTATCATGGATTCAAAGAGCAAAAATGGTGCAAATTACAAATTACAAAGTGCAAATTCTTCCAAATAATTAGAATGGTGACCATTCTTATACATTATTGTAAAACCGTAAGTTTTCCTGAAATAAAGTGTATACTTTGGGGGATTTTTAGAAAATAGACATGACAAGGACTGACATGAGCCAGAAATATTCCAAAATTGCAACAGTTTTTTTGTTGGCCTGCTCGTTAGATCTGATTCTCTCTTTAATATGATCAGTAGGTGTTAAGGTTTAAATTGTATTATATTCAAATACTATCACTGTTAAACTATAATCTGCTTTAATGGGCGTATTACAGCCTTTTGCAGTGTTGTAGATGTAAGCTTAGATGTAGGGCTAGCTCAACGTAGGCCCTAATTCCGGCGAGATCGTTTTGTAAGCATAATATAATCACAGTGATAATGGTCCTTATTGGTGGGTATGGGATGGTTTGATCATCCTTGGTCGGAATCTGTGGCTCGACAAAAGTAAGGAAATGGGTACAATGAGCTATATACAGGGTGTCAAATAAGTTCCGTCCCCCTCTACAGCAAATAAACAACAATGGTACCAAGTGTGATATATCATTGGAAAGGTCTTCAAAAGTTACAGTTGACATATATCTGACACATGTCAATCAACCTCAAAATATTTTTACATCGTATCAATCGAGATGACCATAGGCCTAGAAACATGTCAATTTGGCAGGGTTTTAAGAATTGCCGGTATAAGAAAAGTCAAAGGACCTAAAGATGACAACATATGTACATGGCAATGGATTAAACCAATTTCTGGATATGGTTAGATGTGTAGAAAATAGAGTTGCAAAGAAAGTGGTGAAACCTTTTTGTTACAAGTGTTGTCGCGATTAATCGATACATCGCGATAAACATCGAATGTACGATTATGGCACATCGCGACAACACTAAGTGGAATGCGAAAAAAGGTTACTTTTTGACATATTTCTGAGGTCATATCCTTCTCATTTTGATGCAATAAAAGCTGCTTAAGGAGGGTAAATTAACTATAAAAGATATCGTGAAAATATGCAAAAATTTCATCCAAAATACTTGAGGGTTGGTGAGTAAACAGAACTTTGGATGATCTTTCCAATGGTATATCACACTAGCTACCATATATTAAGGTTTTGGCTGTAGCAGGGGGACGGGACTTATTTGACACCCTGTAGAGAAGAAGGAACCACTGCCATTTGGAATTAGGCAAGCCGACTAATGTACAAACATGAATTTAAAACTTTTAAAATTCGCGCTAAAAATCTAAATTATGATTGGTCAATTTTTCCGGAAGTGAACCCTTTTCGCTTCAGAAAACTTTTAACTTTAAATTTGTTGACGAAACAATTTACCTAAATTTGGATGAAATAGCTGTATATTCTTGGAACAGGAAGATATTGTTGTATGTAAGTGACACTTGTTTTATTAAAACGCAATATAGATCATTGTACTTATTTGCTAAATACAAGTTTATAGAGGTAAATTGGGGGTCGAAATTCGAATGTTTTTTGATGGGTGATGATCACAGGAATTTGTATCAAGTTTGGTCTCTGTTGGCCTATTTGGGAGGCCTTACACTCAGTACATTATGTAACTTAGGCCTATTGAGCTTATACCACTTTATAATGTACTGATCATGAGTGTGAGGACTCCCGAAGAACCCCATAGACTCCAGGATCAAAAATACTGGTCAACTTCCTGTTGATGATCTGAGGACGGACACAGATGACACTACCCTGGGTAGTGAAGAGTGTGGGGCCTCCGGACTTTAACATGCATACATATTAACGAGATCATTCGACTTCCTGCAGAAGAAGTGAGTAAGGTCCCATAATACTATCATATTCTTTCGTACTTACATGTACTTTTGTAATCATACCCATCACAGCCAATCTCCGTGAAAAATGGTGTAACTACTTTTCCTAATGATTTTAATCGAAATATATGCACTTTTATGGTATGAGTCGGAGTGACATTTTTTTATCAAAACTTATGATATGCCAGTAAAATTAATACATGTGTACAACATTGTGTTACTGACTTAGAGGTGCCTGAAGTATGTGGGGGTATCCAAAATGGCCTCTCACCAAAGTGATAAGTGAACATAGATTTTCTGTTCATTATAAACAGTTGAAGTACAGTCGATATGTAACATATTAGAACATGTCTTTGATATAACTACTTTAATAAAAAATACCTAATCTCACGATCCATCTTTAGTCTTTCAAAAATTGCAGGATATGATCACATGAAAAATCATGAGCATGTGCTCTCTCAGGTTCAAGCATGTACAGAGCAAAATTTGAAATTGTGGAAATGGCGTTTATTTCGTTTTAGCATCAGTTAAACATCATCATTTCTAAACTATGTTAATACATTTTAAGTTACTCGATCAAAACTTGTAGAGATTAATCATACAACAACATCAAACATTCTGAGATCAATTTCAAAAGCAAATGAGGCCTGTTTATAAAATTGGTTATCGAACTTGCCAATACGAAAGCTCATCTTTGGGAAATCTCTCCCTGACTTCCTGTAACAAGTTTTTAAAAATAACCAGAAAGATCTTGAAAGCCCATCGTCTCTTGAAAGCCCAAGATTAAACTGTTGCAAAATTCTTCAAAACAGCAGGTGATTTTGATAAGAACATCCAGAGAAAATAGCATATATTGATGACTGCTCAGCTGCGAATAAAACCCAGGGATGTTTTATTACATATGGGTGAAATCTTTCTATTTTCAATAACATTCCATTTGGTCATCAATAATGGCCAGTATTTTGTATTGTATTTCATTATATTATATCATCCTAGCTACCTAATCTGACTCAGAAACATAATTATTCCCAACCTTTACCAATATGATGTAGAAATTAATAACCATGAACTCCATATATGTACTATACAGCATCTATTTGAACATTAGCTGTTTTGCATAGACGAGAATATAGAGATGAGTACAATACCTTTGAGAGAAAATAATTACCATTATGTACAGCTAGAACAGAAGGATGTATCGGGAAACATTATTGGGAATCTGCACAGTGTAGATGTTCTAGACTAGTTGAAAATTATTCTGCTTAGTAGTCGGAAGTATCGACAAGGTGGAAAAAAGCAGTTCAGAGTTCAAGTTTAAAATTCATTCAGGATTTAGGAAGTCTAGGGAACATTTTCACAAATAAAACAAGTAATTTTTGTTTGGTAAGTTGATTTGTATGATTTGTATTATATTACTCATATGATTTATTTCTGTTCAGTTTATCAGAAAAAACAACATAAATGCTCATAAGATATCTGGGTTTGTAGTAATAAAAGTGTAATAATGATCGTTTAAGAGCATTAAAATGACTTTGAATTTTTTTGCTTTAGCAGATTTCTATATAAGCATTTCGATTCATTGTTTATTTGCTTTTTCTGAATCAAATTCATGCATAGAATAGAGATAAAATGTCATGAATAAAATACTTAATAAAGGAAAGTATTTGTGAAACATTTACCAATATGTTAAATATTGAACCAGAGTTTCATTCTACACGAGCTTTAACACAAGCTTTAACTTCAATTTTAAAAAAGTTTATTGATGGTGCAAGTTACAAATTAAAAATTATACTGTGGAGCAATTATTTGGGTAAAATAAATATGGGGAAAATAATCAAATTACTATCATTAACTCAACATTTTTTTCCATCATAATTTATGATACTATTACCGTTCTTTTATTATCATTCAGATGGATGATAATTTTTATATTTTTTTATTATAAATTATTGTACTTTGTCAATATTCCATGACATATGATAATAATTCATATTGATTTTTACCACTTATCACTTCTAATTCAAGGTTAATTTGTATGTAGATCATTTGTATGATAGCAATAAGTGCATTCACTTTGAATGCATATCAGAAGTTATATACATGTACGTAACATGTTGTGCAATATATGTAGAAATAGCATACTGTTTTTTGTATTGGAATTCAGCCTTTGCAACATATCCACAGAAGGCAGATTGTATTACTTCCCATCTCATGCTACTACCAATGGAGAAACCTTTACATTATGAATTATTCAGATAGAAAACATTGATCGATGTAAAGTACTAAAAGGCTTAGTATTTGACTTGTGTGAGCTATATAATAGATAACAAAATATCATATATTATTATTAAAACATACCTGAAAATACATCTCTCATTACTTGTTAAATGGATCAGTCAAAATGAATCAGGGTATGCTTAAGCTCTTTTTTATAACATGAAGAAATGGATAGATTATATATTTTCTTAAATTTTGTTTATTTGGTCATGGATAAGAAGTTCTGCATGATACTATATGTATATTTAGATTTACTGTTTATTAATATACCTATACTGTACATGTGGCTTCTATCCAGGTATTTAGTTCATAGATATATACTTGTAATATGCAGTACTTTTAGATCTAAATTACCAAGACCTAATTTAAAGTCAAGTCTTACTCCACCATTATTGAAAAAGCCCAGGATATTATGTCCATATGCAATCAATTTTTTTATTAAGTCAATTGATGATAAGAGCACAGTTGGATTTGGCAATTGTAACTAGGATATAATAAACCCTGAACTAAGCTATAACATACTCTGAACTTATAGTAACATATATACTGAACTAAGATGTTAGGCATCCTGAACCAAGGTTTAATATCCTGAACTAAGATCTGCAGCAATTTGCAAGGATGATCATTAATAAATCACATGCACATAAATGTTAAAAGTAAAACTGCAATGGAAGTGGCCAACTGTATACAGTAGTTTAAAAAAAACTCAGCAATGTATTCATTTTTATATACATGTAGAATGAATATTGGCAAAAGTGACCTTATATAGAATGGTTTTTATACACAAGTATGGTTTTCACACGATATAGAAAAACATAGCTATATGACCATACAGGTATTTTATATGAAATGTATTCACATAGAAACATTTGATCAGTTTCTTTAAACGGATTTTGAAAAAGAAAACTTAAAGTTATAAATTGGGATCTGTTGATATAAATGATTTAATTTCTGTTTTCCAGGTGTATGATGACTTACTATAGGGATGCTTAACTTAAAATATTCAAAAATGGATAAGTAACTTGAGTTATACAGTATAACAGATTAATGCAAACTTAACATGCAAGAGCCTTCTTGTTGAAATAGAAGATAGCAATATGCACTGAATGCAGCCATCTGAATAGAGAAAACCATTAATGCTGCCGAGAATACATTAGAGGATTTGTGACAATACAGAATGGCAGAAGCAGAAAAAGTTAACGGGAATGCATTAAGAATGGAGGATTATGGAACAATATCGGGAATGCCTGAATCAAAAATGTCTGACGATAGACTGGGATTCATGGGCAGGGATGAGCTGGAGGTAAGTTTGGAGTGATGTATTTTGGTTTTACTCTGAATCACCATCAGTTGTCATACAACCCTCTTACAATTACAGCTAGTTTTTACATTTGCTGATAAGATCTCAGTGTATATTGTAAATGTTTCTTTCATTGGCTTTCATAATATGAAATGAATATTAAGTACAGTAAAACATGTCTAAGTGGTACCTCTAAAACATGTTCCACTTGGGATCCACTTGGGACAGGAGGTGTTCCACTTATAGAGGTTCATTAACATTAAGTCAGTTGGTCTTGGGACTCTAAAAAGTGTTCTACTAACAGAGGTGTTCCACTTCTAGAGGTGTTTCACTTTACAAGTTTCACTGTACTTATCTGGAAGAAAATGGTACTTTTCATTTTCTGACTATATGTTCTGATTAGATTTAGTCTAAAAATCATTTAGAGCGTTAACTAATTTGAGGTCTTGAGAAGGGTTATATTTTTTCTACCAGATTGGTATAATTAGACTAAGTGGGGTGAGCTTGTATTATCATTTACACTTTGTTGTTAACGCAATTATTCAGCTGTACTCAAAATCAATATCTTTATAACTGTATGTGAATCTATTTATTCTTGTTTTTAGGTTAATTAATCTAATTCATTCTTGATTAAAACCAAAATTCAAGTTGTATATGATGAGAAGATAAAAAGAAATAATTGGATCTACAGTCTACACAGATTGCAGATTGTACTTAAAACATTGTTTTTATTTATTCAATCACATCAGCCATTTAATATTGTATATCCAGATATATAAGTGTCAAAAGGGACTTGTTAGCATTTAATCTAAGGCTGATAGGGAATGCAGTTCTAAGCTATTGTTTTTAATTGTATTTACATTACAGTATGGTGGCAGTTATTCCATTTTTAATGACCTACAATTCTCAGAACGGAAATGAGAATTTCTTAATTGAAGTAAATTAACTAACTTCAGAAATAAGCAATGTCAGTTTTTATGAAGGGAGAAAGTGACCTCTGTACATGCACTTTCTTCATTTATGTGGGTGAACGACAGGGGATATTGTGTCTATTGGAGTGTCCTGACATTTTTACAAATTAACTTCACAGGACGAAGAAGTGAGTAAATTATCTTAGGGGATTTGTTACATTATAGCTGGTGTGGGCGGAAGTCTCCTTTGAGTCAAGTCATACCATCCCAATGCTGTGGATGTCTAGACTGTTTCTTTCATTTCCAGACAGTTCATCATCTTGAAGTACAATAATAATTTTGTCTCTTCCGCCCCTATCTCTTTCAATTCATCTATTGTGACTTGTATATATCTTTTATTGTATATAATTAGCAAAACTTTCAGGAGATTATCCCCTATCCTTCTACAAAATCAATGATTAATCATATACTTCTGCTCTGCTAATGTTTTCCTATAAGTGAAAGGATGATATAACAGCGCTTGTCTGTTAGCAATCATAGAATGAAAGATAAAACACCCCAAAGCTATAAATATGTACTCATTCATCAATATTTTGTGATTAATGTCATTTCGAAACATGGACCCTCATGGAACATCAGTCTACAAGGAACAGTGTAACAGTTTTAGCCTCTATGGAATTTTTTCTTTCTGTGGGTTTTACTGTATAATAAGTGACAGTTATTTGAATTGCACTGAGCTGCAACATAAGAGGCAGACACTATTAATCAGTAAAACAATGGAAAAATCAACAGGAGGAAATCCTCTCTATGGCCCTTAATGTCCTCTGTAGCAGGCTGAAGAGTCTGGTCAACAAATTAATGTCGATCCAATATAGTTTCTAATTCCCCCATGCTGCTTTTATGAGTTTTTTTCTTAAGTCAATGCCTTGCTTTAGAAATGTATATGCATTTTTAGAAAGTTCAATATATTCAGAAATTTTACTCTAAAGAAATGCACATAAAAAAAGTGTAATTCGCTTCTACCTAAGTAGCAGTTAAAATAATTGCACCGATGTAAAATAAAATCAAAGACTTGTAGCCCATTCAAAAATGTTCTTTACAAGTTATTTTGTCAAAACAGCCAATTTTTATGAAACTTTTTTTATCAAATGATTTATTTTTAAATTAAATAGAATTGTTTAAGGATTTAAGTACTGGACTAAATGTTTCTAAAATGTATCACAGATGGACCATTGCTTACTTAAAACTAGACAAAATGCAAGCATACAATCCATGAGTCATATACCACGGTGTTATAGCATGACGGATACGCCACCTCTGAAAACGAGGTTAGTCTAATACGATCACTGATTTATCCAATAAAATGGCCACGATGAAACAGAAAGCTAAGATAGGTGCATTATTTTCTACTACTGCGTATCAATAAAAGCATGAAAGATTTATGTAAGCGTCGCATTCGGTGATGCATTCAGTAATGTTTCTTTTGAACGTAGTCTTTGCAAATCGACGCCCATGGATAACATGAAATAAGCGAAAAACTGTCGAGTTTGAAATTCAAAACCTCATAAGTTTAATAATTTGTTTCCTTTCCTCGTTAGGGCATGCTCTACATTGCGCAACAACCTTGGTGTATATAAATGTAACCTACATACGATCATACAAAGCCAATTAAGCAATTGTAAACCACTTAATATGTTCTACTCAAGCCATAATAATGTATTTTGAATTTGCGGATACGCCAAAAATTGATAGACAGTTACGCGAACCTCGTTCATATATGTAACATCGAATCATTTCATATCGCTTGTGATGTTTTTCAACCGGATTTGAGTTTTGTAAGCTATAATAGATGAAATCGTATTATTACCACCTTGCAGGGCCTGTTCTAGGGGTTTTAGTACTAGTTGAGAAGGCATTTAAATTGCTATATTGACGTGAGCAATATTGTGTCGGGCGTTAATGACTTTAGTCGGGCAATAATGACATTATCCGCCCGGCTATGCTTCCCGGGAAAAGTGATATCGTTCAGTGCTTAAGATTTTCTAGTTCAAATTTACTATTTCAACCCTGGGCATTAACGGTGGTAATAATAGTAATAACGAAATTTCAAAGGGCAATATAGTGAAATATTGGACCAAGGGCCGCAGGCCCAAGGTCCAATATTTCACTATTTTGCCCGCTATTATGACTTGACAGGAACTTGCATGTAACCGTCCGCTAACCTCTAATGTAAAACTAATACAATGCGTTGCTGTCCATAAAAAATCATGCAATACATACGTATCTGTCTAACGACCTTGCGATTGAAACCTTATTATCTACAATATTCACCACATTTCCGTTCTGCATTTGTCATTTTATGGCTTGTTTATACACAGTTTACGTACAGTTAGTATTGTGAGTGGCTCTGAGGCACATATACTGAGAAAACACAAAAAAGGACTAAAAATTATGAACTTCGAAATCTCAGCCGGGTAGGTTTACAGCTTATATTCTGCTTCTTGTAGACCACACGACAGATTTAACTCAATCTTTATAACCATTCACATATGCATCACCGAATGGAACTAGTTGAAAAGGAAAACTTACCTGTGAATCTTGCCTACAGGCGAAAAAGAGGACATGCTGTCTTTCCCGTCCGCCATTTTTTGTTATCGTTACCGCAAAATTTGGCCAATTGCCTTGTCGTATCTGTCATGCTATAACACCGTGTATACAGTACAAACAAAGCATTATGTCCCAGTGCTCAAATCCTATTCACAAACAGCAAAACAGCTTTATAAAACAAAATAAAATTCAACTTCAGGCAAGCAGGTCATTTTGGCATCTGGCCAATTTCCATCCAATTTCTAGATTGCTGTCCTGAAATTGTACCTTCTCCTTCTGAATCTAATTTTTATTCCAAGATATTCTATCCTTAGAAAATAAAAGTAATATACCAGCAGGCGAATGAACAAGATATCCATCTTTAAATTATTAAATTGATGAAGGCAATAATCATCGTATGATATCAACTGCAGTATTCTGCCGAGCTTGCATTAAAAGTAGGTTTAAAATTCTCATTATTTTCAAGATTCTTTGAAATTTTTTGAGATCTTCTAATTTTCAATTAGAAGGAAGACTACAAAATCTCAAATTGGTGCAATGCCCTCTTGCTTCTTTGCATGGTAGATCACTTCAAGCATGTCAGTTTATAGTGATAGTAATATATTTTAAATTCTATGTATGTATTACAGGTAGGCATGACTGACGATGGTTCACATATGAAGACAGGCTATGACCCTACTGCTGATAAAGCTTGTTACTTCAATGATGGCAAACGTAGAATAGGTAGGTACATTCTCATACTTAAAGTGCAGTTTGCAATATATTAATATTCAAGGCAGGGTGTCCCAAAAGAAAAATTAAGATATGCCTGGTGTCCAAAGAGAAAAGTTTATAAATTCTTGTATTAGAAATCTGTGAGTTATTCTATGAACCAAATATGGATGCGATTGATGTTTAGTTAGTATTCTTATAAAGCTGATTCCAGTCATCTATTCATTTTGAGGCCATCTCTCTTGTGATATGAAGCTTATGAAATTTTGGTTAATCAGATCACCAAAATACAGTTGCGGCATACTCAAGTAGCTCTGAGATATGTGATGAAAATGTCATCCAGTCATCTGTAATATGTAATCTATCCCACAGGACAAGGTCCTTGAGAGAAAGGTTACATTTACACCTATGAAATTAGCATTTCAGATGCATGGATTTGCATCAATAAAGAATTCTTTATCTTTCGATTTTTATTTCAATACATTTATATAATGTTGATCGCCTTGAATTGTCCAAGTGGATCATAGAAGTGTAAATACAATAACACTTGTTCAGAGTCTGACCTTAACTTTTTTTACCAGTAGCAAGGATTTGCTACCTTCTACCAAAACAAGGAGCAAATTCCCATATTCAAGTAGCAACAAAAATGCTCCAAGAAAACATTATCAGGTAGCAAATTGCTCCTCAAATTCTATTCATGTCTTATAATGAATCCCCGGTTATTTCTCGCCTTTTTGCACTGAACGAAACGACCATTTTTTACGTTCAAGAGTCGTCTGAGAACAATTTGTGGTTTTGCGATGAAAAAATATCGAGAGTGGTAAGTTCCATTGATTCTATGCGATAGAAGGGTTGAAATACATGAGATCTATTGCGTAAATTTGAGGTAGCAAGAATTTGCTCCCGGCTACGAAGTTTTTGGAGCAAAATGTGAAATCAGGTGGCAAATTTGCTCCTTGCTACCGCTAAGATCGAACCCTGTTGTTATTGGTAAGTGATAAGTTCAGGGGCTACAAAATGCACTTGTTTCACTTTGGAATAATTAAAAATGAACTTCAATTGCAGGATTTATATATGCATATTTTTCTGGTGTAACATTTAAAAATGGTTTGAATCATTAGTAGTGCTGCTTAAGTTATACTGAGTTCAATCAACAGAGCAAGCCAAATGAGTTCAAAGTAAAAAGTACAATAGCAAAAAGTTATCGGTTCATAGGTACCTTTGTGTTTAGACTACACTTAGATACCCATAGACATACCATGATACTGCATGTGTATTGGCTCATCATCTCTATGTCTTTCTAAAGATAATGCACAAAGGGCAATATTTGTTAAACAAAAAACACCCCAAACCCCTATAAGCAATTGAGATGCTCTTGAGGAATTCCTAGAACATTCTCTATTAAGCCAAAAATGCCATGACAATCCATACGTTAATCCCACGGGATTTTGAAACTGAATTACAATACAATATTAAGACTCGTTTCTTCCATTCTATTTGGTGAACTATACTGTTGATTAATTTATGATACATCTTTCCACTCTATCCTTGCTGCCTATTCTTGTATATGCACAACTATTGAGATAATTGTCTTTTAGAAAGCCATCGTGTCAATGGAATTTTACATTAAGCAGAGGCGTTGGAAATATTTTTCAATTTGTGCAAAATTGTACGAAATTGCTTATTGCAACGTATAATGTGGAGAGGTTTTAACAAACTTAAGTTGGCAATTCCCTGTTGGCATTTATTATTGGTCATAATAGAGAACATTTATCTCCCCTTGCTCGTGAAATAATATAGAAACTCATAGATGACAACTCTCACTGGAATTGAATTATTTTACATGTTAAGTCAGTAAAGTAGTGTGCTTGTATTATATTACTTAATGCATTTATATTATCACCCATTGTACGTTCAATTCATAGACTACAAGGCTTCTTCAGGTTTCAGATTATAAACCAGAGTATAATAGATGTGTCATTTTTATTAAGTCCATTGTGTATTTTATATTGTATTACATGTACTTTTTATGTTAAAAGTGGGTTCGTTTACCTTAAACTTATCATGAATTAAAGCCCTTGAGGTGAAGAAAGATGTTAATTCTAACAAGAAATGTTAATTCTAAGAAGAAATCTATGGACCTACCCACACCTTACCATCATGTGAATCATTTTGGACAGAAATGCAATGCTCGAACCAAAGACTGAGAAGTTGATTATTACTAGAAACTCTAACAGCCTTGATTTAATCAGAGAGTTTAAAAGAAACAATTTTCTGAAAATATTTAAAAAATATATTGATTTACTTATTGCTTCTTTAATTAACAAGATTCTGCAAATGAGACTTACTAAGAAACCCAATTATAACTTATACAAATGTATTGGTTAAAAGGAATGTTTGATTCTATACTGAAATATGACTTATTAGTGATTATTACTGATTGGCTGTAGGATGCGCTAATGAGCTTATATTAATCTGTTTGATAAGATAGAATCAAATCCAATAATGGTATTGCTGTTTCATCTGTCATCTTTCTTCATAAAACTGCTATTTCATTTCATTCATACTTTATTAATTTTGCTTGTATTTGTTCTCAAGTTCTCAATTTCTGAAGTTAATCAATCTTTATGAAAGTGTCAAGGGATTTTGTGTAACATTGAAAAATGGCTAATAGCTTCAATTCGCATCTTAGATTATTCAATTTAAACTAAAAAATATGTCTATTTTGATTTTATTTCCAGATTTTATTTTGGTGTATGAAGAATGTGTGGCTGAAGTAGCAAAGAAAATAGAATCAAATGATGACGAGGATGGTGTTAGAAAGAGACAAAAAGACAAATCAGACAAGGAGAAAAAAGAATCTTGGAGAAAAAAGTTTCTTATTAATTTACAACGAGCTGGGCTTGAACTTGAGGAGGTTAGTAAAAATGATGCTAACTAGCTGATCAGAAAGTGATATAAAACTACAATATGTACATATATGTACAATATGTACAATATGTACATACCAAACTTTCAATGCTCTCCCAGTTTTTAAGCAATACCTTACGTACTTGGAAGAAAGAAGAAATTTTTTTGCAAGAGCTTGACTTTAGAAAATGTTTTTTTTACAAAAATTGAGTTAAGACTAATGTTGTGCATGTTTAGATTTTTATTTTTAAGGTTCATACAACATACATGTATATCACGTATACGTATCACAAATGTCTGAGACTGTTTTATCTTGATACACTGTAAGCTCATTGTGCCGTATCAATCTAATTATTTCAAGAAAGCCTTATAGGTATCAGACATTCGAACTATAAGGTATTGTGTTTCTAATTGACTCGTTTCCTAAAGCCCCCTCGGTCATTTCTGAATAATAGTATGGCAGGAGAATCTCCTCATACTTTTGATTGACCAACAATATTCAAAAAAAAGATGTTTTGATATCATTTTCTTAATTATCTTCAGATCTTCAGGCAGTGAAATGTTTGGTTTATACTTCTTTTTTTACTATACACATAAATATGAATATGTCGTGAAACTTGAGAAATGCATTAATTTTACTATAACCTGAACTTTGTGAATGATTTAGAGGCAAAGTCTCGCAAGTTGCTAAGATATGCAAGCAAAAACCCATTCTCCTGCCTTCATCTCAACTAATCTCGTAATCAACTTTGCCATATATGGAACATTGCCCATTTAAGGAGAAATTGTTTCATTATGCATACATGATGAATGTTGCATTAGGAACACCAGTAAGTTGATTAATTGAAAAATAGACACTTTATTCCATCTGATACAACTTACATGGACTACATGTTACAACAAAATAATTAATAAAATGATATATAGTTATCTGATGCAGATATCTGACATATCTTCCTCATATGTCACTTTGGTATGATGGTGTACCTGAATTAGATGATTTGAAGGTGTTGTTTTCCAAAATTTGCACGAAATGTGAGAGGAATGGTCATTCCACAATGCATTGCGTCTTAGGCTTAAATTCTTTTCACACATTGCAAAATATTTTTACCATGTCACTTAATGAAGATGAAATCACCCAAAGAACATATTTTTAATGAAACTTTTTGCAAGGGTCAAGTTAGCAAAGAATCAATTTCAATCTGTAGAGTTAAGTTGTCACCTAGACAACCACATAACAAATGACCTTGGATTCGTTGATTGGTTATATAATGCACTGCAGTTATATCCAATACTGTGCTCGGATTGGCTGGAATCAGACACACCTTGCCTAGCTATATATTGAATTACATAAATGAAAGTGCTTCTCACAATTCAAAGTCCTCAGCTAAATGTTGAGGACTTTGCACATGTTTTTTCTATTGATATTTTTCTCTTTTGAATTCTGATTCAGTTTTAACCATTGAAAATGAAACTTTAAAATGGTAAATATATCTGAGTGAGTACTTGTATGTAGATCAATACTTTGGTACAGTGAGAACATCATAAATATTTTATAATCAATGAATTTTTATGAATTGTACATGGAACCTCCAAGCGATAATTCATTATACAGCAAAGGTTTATTTGGATCATAGTATATTGGATTTATATGGAAATTAATACTTCTGGGAGCCTTAGCATACCTTATGATGATGAATGAGTACATTCATAACCTCTCAAACACTTCTGTCTGTGAGATACACCTTGCTTCTCTACTCAACTACAGTCCAATTGTTTCTATTACTTTTTGTTTGACATTTAATGTTGTGTGTCTGATTACAGTGAGTGGCTGTAGCCAGCTTTTGCCAAAGGGGGTTACATTTTTATAAAATTCCAGGGGGATCAGATTTGACAATTGTGGCCCAAAATCACATGAAAGGTGGTCAAATGGTGAATAATTGCATGGTTTTGAAAGAATATTTGGCCAGGGGAGGTTTGCTTAAATTTTATAATATTAATTCTTCAAGATCTTCTTGTACAAAGAATATTTCTTTTACATCTTTGATGTTCTATAATATTTAAATGTGAAAGCAAGTTATGATATTTCCTTCAAACTGAATCATCATTATCAAAGAATCAAATATTGATTGTTTGATTGAGAAAATAAATACATATAATGATGTCACGAAGGTGTTGAAATATAAACGTGCATCAGTAGTAATGTAATTGATTCATTTACATATTTTATTAATGTCAGCTAAATACAGAATGATATAATGATCACCCGCATGCAAGCATGTCTACCATGTATTATTAAGATTAACAATTCATGTACATTTTCATGAAATTGTGTTAGGAAAACAATTATAGAGTTTATGCCATTTTTTCATCTTCGCACTCTTGGTCTTCAGTGTTTTCATCCGAACTCGTTCGACCGACTGAAGCCGAGTGAACAAAGATGCCATTTTTTATAAAAAAACTATTTTTTATATTTTAACTTGCATAATTCACTTTGCTGAGCCGAACTGAGTTCATTTTTATGAAAAAGTTTTCTATATTAACTTGAGGGATTCACTTTGCAGGGATGAGTGCCTACTTCTATATAAACTGATTATCATTCATGTATTGTATATCACAGAATAATGAACTCATACATGTCTGTTCAACTAAGAACAATATGCCAGAGCCTATTTCATCAAATATAGCATTCCCCAGTGGCTTGTGTGCTGTCTCAGCTTCATGTACAAAGACTTAATTACATTACAGGATGTTGTGCAAGGAGAGAAAAAGATGACGTTTTACCAGAAAATTTACGCCCCTTGGGATGTGCTGTGTTTTTATGCTGAAGACCTCAATATGCGAGCTCCATTACAGGTTGGTTGTTATTTTTGTAGTCAGTGCTCTTGTTAATTTTCCTACTGCTTTATGTCGCAGTCATATTTGCTCTATAGCTGGATACTGTGGTACTATACCGTGCAGTCAGAATATTAAAATATGCCACGGGCCATTACGTATGTGGCTGCTAAAGTGCATGACTGTTGGAAATTGGAATGCTGAGGCCCTGTATTGGCCTTAGATATTTGAACTTCACAGCCACTGCTGAAAACTGGGGGATTAAAGTGAAAATATATATGAATTTCTCTCATCATTAGACAGTCTGGTTATTTCAACTCATATGTTAGCAAAAGTAAGGCATTGGTCAATACTAGGGAAACAATGACTTCATAGGAAATGACCATTGCATAGAAAATCATCCCTCTTTCGACAACAAGCTCTTGTTGGCTCAGTGAGTTCAGAGTCTTCTCTTAAACTCAAAAAGTGAAGATAAAGGTATCTTTTAAGAACCTGAGCCTGAGGCATAAGATGTTTGGTTAGAGTAGCCAAAATCATGCACTTCATTACAGGCTTTATGATCCATTAATCCAAATGTTTCACAAAATAAATTTGCATCAACACATACACTTGTCCTTAATCATCTGAAACCTCTAACTAATTAGCATCTCTTTCGATGTTCATCTCCTGAAATTGTGGTAATATGGAAAAACAATGACAATAATGAATTTTATCTCAAGAGGTAATAATATGTATAGAGAATAACTGCATAGTATATTGTCTTAGGGACAAATCTTGTCAGATATTACATACTAAGATTACAAATGAATGGATACCAAAGAATAGAGTGTTCATGTCTTGTCTTCATATAGAATATAATACGTGTGTTATATAACAATATGATACTATTGCTATGTGCTAAACATGATCTCCTTTAACCATCTGCGCTAATAATTGATCTATCTCAAATATGATATTATATAATGCCCTCACACACATTGTGGTAAAAAAGAGAGAAAATCACAAGTCTTTCGTTTGCTAGTAAGCCCCACTCGCGCATTATAACATTCAGGATGTTGTTAGTTTTTGAAGAATATATTTTTTCTCAACCCCTTTAATTCAGCTCTTACTTACTCAACCCCTTTAATTCAGCTCTTACTCATCCCCTTTAATTTAGCTCTTACTGACTCATCCCCTTTAATTCAGCTCTAACTTACTCATCCCCTTTTAATTCAGCTCTTACTCACTCAACCCCTTTAATTCAGCTCTTACTTACTCATCCCCTTTAATTCAGCTCTAACTTACTCATCCCCTTTAATCCAGCTCTTACTTACTCATCCCCTTTAATTCAGCAGTTAACATTCCCATCCCCTTTAATTCAGCTCTTACTTATTCATCCCCTTTAATTCAGCAGTTAACATTCCCATTCCCTTTAATTCAGCTCTTACTTACTCATCCCCTTTAATTCAGCAGTTAACATTCCCATCCCCTTTAATTCAGCTCTTACTTATACTCATCCCCTTTAATTCAACAGTTAATATTCCCATCCCCTTTAATTCAGCTCTTACTTACTCATCCCCTTTAATTCAGCAGTTAACATTCCCATCCCCTTTAATGAATCACTTCCATTCAAATACATGCTACTGTAAAATTGAATGAAACTATAAGGCAGCATATTTTCCAACTTTTCTGCGATGCTCACGAGGGTATCTCCAGGCTTAGCACCATTTGCAATAATAAACACAAACTTTTTTTCTTATTATCATGCAATGTCAAAAAGTCAAGTGATTTATTAGAATTATTATCTTTCAGCAAGGTAGATATTACATTAAGAAATTATAGGAAATCTATACAGGTGAGGTCGATGGCACATAAACATATCAAACTCAGATTAAACAGTTTCTTGATAAAACTGAGAAAAAAACTCACTGAAAAAGAATGAGGGAAGTCGTCTAATATTTTTAAATTATAATGAACATTTCTATAATTCTGAAAATTGATTAGATTAACTTTTAATCGAGATAAATGTCTAATTGTTAAGTGGTAGAATGAAATATCTTTTAAGGGAGGCTTATAAAATACAAATTGAGTGAGTCTGGGAAGTAACACATGTGTGTTTTATTAAAGGAGACTGCAAGTATAGATTTACCATGCAGTTATAGATATTGAATTAATCTTTAATGATGTCAGCCAATTATTCCTACATTTGAGCTTGCTCTCTACAGGGTGGTCACAAAAAAAGTATACCCAGTTCTATTTGATGGAGGACAAATGAGGCTTTTTATTGCTACCTTGAGATTTCAAAAAATTGCTCAGGATTCTAATTATCTGGCTTTAAGGTTGGGTATACTTTTTTGTGCACACCCTGTATTTCATACACTACTATCTACCTCTATTGTGTTTTGTCATATGTTGTATAAGTTGTTTTCTCACTGAATTACTCGTTCGGAAGAATCTACGCTAAAAAACTCCTTGTTGAGTTGCAGTTACACTAAGTTAGATTCTATTTGTGTTGACTCTAGAACCACATATCTTACAAGGTAGTCTAGTTTAAAATCAATCGATTATTTATATATGAAGACCATTGTACACCCCTTCCTCCTCGGCTGAGTTAAAAGGAGTGGTACAGGGCCTCAATGCTAAGATAATTAAGCACCCTCTCGACAGTGTTTAATCCAAGATACAAGAGAAAACAGGTGGCAAGTAATTCAGTCAGTAGCCACTTTACCTTGATTGCTGTATGTATAATGCAGGTATTTTCCAGTTGATCTGATATTCCTGACAAGTTGCAGAGTCGATGAATATTAATGTCTAGTCTCCATTTACATTATACAAATAGCCTAGGATGATACCGTTAAAGCTCTGCAAACTATTTTTCATATTTGACAAGTTAATACTTGGAAGCAGAACTGTAATTACATTTTCCATTCTCTAATAAGTACAAATTATGTAATATTACAAAAAAGAAAAAAAGATGAACTACTGAGGCCACAAAAATGGGTTTTTTTCTCGTCACTCGAGTTTAGATCAGTCAGCTTATGCATGATATTTTACATCTTCTAATAAGAGCAAATTATGGAATATTACAAAAAATAATAAAAACATAACTATTGAGGTCACTAATTTTTTTTCTCGTCACTCAAGTTAAGATCAGCCAGTTGTGCCTAATTTTTTAAATTATTCGCAAATTTTATCATTTTTGGTATGTACAGTAAAACCAGTGTAAGTGAAATTAGGGGTGTCACAAGAAAAAAATATTTCAGGACAGGATTAGAATTATCCATTTCGGGACGGGACATTCAGGATGGGATGGGATCAATACACCTAATACACTCTACTATACCTAACCCCTACAATTGCATAAGATACTCTGTTTGTCTAATTGTATTGTTTAGTATATTTTTGAAAGTACCTTATTACCACCTAACAGTCATAAAAACAAATAACATAATCATTACTAATAAGCGAAATGGGTTGCTCATGAACACCAAATGCAAGGTATTGTAGAGACTTTTGTGTTATATCATTTTATGTTAAATCAATTACTTATGCATGATCCTATTCATAGAGGTGTACCACTTCCAAAAGTGGTCCACTTTACAGGTTTTACAGAATAACAAGTAATGTTAATATTTCCAAAATTAGTTGAATGTTTTCTCATCGAATAGGTCATTTTTGAGGTAGATAATGTACTTGTTGTCCATGGTATATGGTTGTTATTCACCTGTCTGTATCATATTAGGGATACCAAGCAGTATATCAAGTCGAAGAGTTGTATACGCTGCCCAGGAGTTGTATACGCTATCCATGAGTTGTATATGTTCTCAAGAGTTGTTTACCATGAGTGTTAGTTTTTTTGCAGTTATACAATGCTATTATACAATCATTTAAAGCACTTAGGATGGGATAATCTCGATATCAAATCCCTACTAGTGAATAATTTCTTTGTATCAAGAGATATGACTTTTCATAAAGTGATATTTGTTGAGGTTTTTTGTGAAAATATGATATGCCGACGGAGAATGGTGAATGCTGATGGAAAATATATCTTTTCGTGTTATTTAATTTGATCTCTATGTTCTCCAATCTCTACCATAGGATGACTGTTATTGAGTGCGAGGCATTGATGAAATGATCATGTTATTTTGGATTAATTCCATATGGTTAATCATGCAATATGCACCATAAAATAAATAATATCAATAAATAATTTCTTTGTTCTGTAAAAGTATCATTTATATCAATGCTGTTTGACTATTATTATTAACAGTTCAATACAGGAATTTCACATGTACTGTACATCTATGTCAACTTGCATCACCTGTCTTTGTTCTACACCTGGTTATCCTTTTTTACCTCACCTTATTTCCTTATCTTATTACCCAACCTTATTATCCTATCCTTTTACCTCACCTTATTTCCTTATTACCTCGACTTATTAACCTATCTATTTACCTCACCTCATTTCCTTATCTTATTACCTCACATTATTATCCTATCTTATTTTCTCACCTTATTATCCTATCCTTTTACCTCACATTTTTTCCTCATTACCTCACCTTACTATTTACCTCACCTTATTTCCTTATTACCTCACCTTATTAACCTATCTATTTACCTCACCTCATTTCCTTATCTTATTACCTCACCTTATTATCCCATCTTTTTGCCTCACCTTATTTCCTAACTTATTTCCTCACCTTATTATCCTATCATTTTACCTCACTTTATTACCTCACCTTTGAGGTGACTTTCAAAAATGAAAACTATTCTTTAATGAGCTTAGTCACAATACCCTTACATTAATCTTCATTGTCGCATCTTACGGGTTTCCTGGATGACGACAATGAGTCAAGAGCAATTAGAGTAATTCCTTACCTTATGTGAAACTTATTCCCCAAGTAGACTGTAGCTTGTATTAACACCCAAAAATGCATTTTTCATTGGCTTAATACAGAAATAAAAAGGGGAATTCACAAAATGAGTGAGATTAGTCTGAGCAATTCAGCCGTTTGAAATATTTCATGAGAAGGTAAAGGATAAAGGAAAAGGCAATTTTTTATCTCCATTATGTCTTATCTAAAGTCATTGTGAATCCTTCCGCATAAACTCACCTTTATTTTCATTGAACCATAAACGATAATGTTTGTTATATATGGATATTGTTTCCATGGCAGTTTGCAGGTGTTTCGACAAATCAGTACTGAGTTAGCTGGAAATCCTAATGCCTGCCATAAAACCTACCCTCTGAGTTTCAGGAGTACAAATTAGTAAAATACAGTTTTGATGAAGATATGTTTTTTAGTTGGTGGTATTTTTCTTATGTAATTTTATATACATGTAATATTTTGTTTTACATTAAAGCATATCTATAATTTATGAATGATTATTGATTTGTTTTATTGTGCTAAATATAGAATATTTTCAATAGTAAATGAATAAACGCAAGGAGCACACGCGTCTCGAACTCGCAACCTCGTGGTAACGGCCCCAATCGCCTAGCCTAAACGTGCTGGCACTCAAGCCCTCTCGGCCAACTCGACAACCCCAAAAAAGGTTGTTTTGTTTGTCGATCTGACTTGAGGCAGCTGATAGTATTTTTCATGTACAGCCCATTTCCACCCTGCTATAGCATGACGGTTACGCCACCTCTGAAAACGAGGTTGGACAGCTACGTTCACTGATTTATCCAATAAAATGGCCGAGATGGAACAGAAAACTAAGGTTGGTGCATTATTTTCTACTTCTGTGTATCAATGAAAGGATGAACGATTTATGTAAGCATCGCATTCGGAGATGCATTTAGTAATATATATTTTGAACGTAGTCTTTACAAATTGATGCCAGGGTTTCACAGAGATACATAGTCTAAAACCATGTTAAGGTGCTATGGAAGTTAACAGGAAATGACAAAACAGGAAGTGACAATTTTTTTTGCATTTTTAGATATTTTTTGAATAAAGATAACAGAGTTCTGGTTTGACCTTCAGTCAATTTAACTATTTCCACATATCATTTACATGACCAGGATCACAATGTGCATGGTCAGAATGACCCTAAACCTGATGAAATAACCTTTTTAGCCCTTTGAAAGTGTGACTGAAAAAAAGCTAAAAGTAGGAGCGTAGGGATAGTCACTGAACAGAATCTTTTGAATTTTTCAGAAAATGTGCCCAATATAATGCTCTAACTAGTACAATCTTTGAAATTTTAGAAAATTGTCATAAACAAAAATGGCGGTCATAAAAAGGAAAATAGATCGCTTTTCAAATCAGTTTTTTCATTTTTTCTCTTTTTCTATGAATGATATCAAATTTTCAAAGATTGTATCATTTAGAGCAATATGTTGGGCACATTTTCTGAAATATTCAAAAGATTCTGTTCAGTGACCTTCCCTACGCTCATACTTTTAGCTTTTTTTCAGTCACACTTTCAAAGGGCTAAAAAGGTTATTTCATCATGTTTAGGGTCATTCTGACCATGCACATTGTGATCCTGGTCATGTAAATGATAAGTTGAAATAGTAAATTGACTGGAGGTCAAACCAGAACTCTGTTATCTTTATTCAAAAAATATCTAAAAATGCAAAAAAAATTGTCACTTCCTGTTTTGTCATTTCCTGTTAACTTCCATAGCACCTTAAAAGTATCATTATAAACCTGAAGTGGAAGGACTTGCGAACGGTTCGCCCACCCATCATCCATAAAGTCACGTGACAGACTATATATAGGGTGATAGTTTGGATTATCCAAATACAGTAGTTTCAACGTCACGTCATATGAATAACCCTCTGAAAAATAAAGTCTATGTCTATCATGTGCTTAATTATTTTTTATTTCTTAACCCTTATATTCATAGTCAATTTAAAGCTTATCCGATGTGTCGAGGAACAGTTTTTTTAAAAATTTCGGCCTATGCAAACATGAAAATTGAACATGTATCTTAAGGTCTGTACAATTTCCGAAATGGAAAAACAGATTTTAGTATCGGAAAGTAAATCAATACAATTAATTCTAAGAAGATATGAAGAATACACCAATGACCATATCATTCTTTAAAAAATGTTTTGCTAAGGTTTATTATAATGTTGCTTCTATACTTCAGCATCTTTTGCCAGTGTAACTACCTGAAAGATAATTTAAATTCATTATAGTCAGTATGCTGTATATACTGTTTAAGTTATTATATATGCCAAAATGAATTCTCGTCCTGAAATAAGCTAACATTATCATTTTTCACAAAGTAGATTCTTTAGGCAGGTTAATTTAATTCATAATGAGTACTGTTCTCATTCCCGGGTTTGCATTGCACTAATTGAAATATATTTGGGTAGTGTAGTGTTGTGGCAACATTATTCGGTATGCATCATTTTTATTATACAAGTAATATAATTCTATATACCATGTTCTAGTTTACCTCCGTACGTTTTTTTATTATTTTTTGGTGTGGCGGAGTAAGTCTAATGAGACAAAACATTGTTCGAAATGCATTATGTCGAACATAATACGAACAATACAACAATACCAGATGAAATGACACTCTTCATTTTGCTATTTTCCCCCCATCAGATCTATCAACACATTGTACCCTTTGCAGTCGTTGGACTTCACTTCTTAAAAGAGAGCTTTGTCTTCGGTAGTTTATAACTAGACTCTGCGCGCAGGGTAAACACATTGTGCCGTTTCGTGTAATTGTTCTGCAGCATAAGTCATTATAGAGAGGAATTTTTAATTGAAGATTAATTCAAATGTGCCAAGTGTGTCTTAGCCAATCAGATTGGCGTATTTCAGTTCATCAATTCAAGGTATCTATAGTTAACTGAGCAAAATATTTTTATACAGTACATTAGGGGCGGGGTCAAAATATCAATGTTCATATGGAGACAAAAGTAATTTCGTTTGGACAACAACCCCCCACCCCCCCTCTAGACGAAAGCTTAGGTCACTTCAAAAAAACATTGATTAATAATCGTATCCTATTTGCCGGGTTATTATTACGGTGAATTAACACACATTCGCAATTTAACTGCATTGAACTCTATTTGAAAAATGATCGAATTATCGTCTTTATCTACCGATATTTTGGACCTGTCACACAAAAAAGCTCACGAACTATTGAAAACAAGCCTTTTTATCAGAACATAGTGCCAGAAAAAGTGGGTAAGTCCAATTATTTTTTGTATATCAGATCCGAATTATCGATGTTTTTTTGGTCAACGAAAGTGCCCAAAAACCCCCTCCCCCCTCGCGAAAGTACTTTCGTCTCCATATGAACATCGATATTTTGACCCCGCCCCTTACGGTTTGATTAGGAACTGAGCAGTGTCATTTTTGGTTAAAGAGTGACATCATCACAGTGCATTATGATTTTATGAAGAACTAGATTAATGTCATTTTTTGAGTTGCGATAAGAAAAACTTGTATCATTCTTTATTGCATTTTAAAGCATTCAATCATACGAGTATATTAACCCATCCTGGTAATGTACTCAGACTTCGCCCCGTGCATTATTTGCACGGGTAAGGCCATGCAATCATGTCTAAATTTCCTCTAAAGAATGTTACAAAATTATTTTTCCTTAAATAAAACACCAACCCGATGGCTTATGAATATTGTACATATTTCATTTTTATTTCACAAGATCATGGGACTCTTTATTCATACTCTATCTAAAGTTACGAGAAAAGGAATCAAGGACCATAAGTACACAACATCAAAAAACAAAATGTAGCATTCAGTTTAGCTACAGTTTTATGAATTGCAATGATAAAATGTCACCAAAATTAGGGCTCATATCTAAGATCTTCGTTAGCTTAGCCTGCAATTCGTCAAAATTGCTCATAGATATCATATATCTAACAATTCAGGAAAAAGATTTAGTATCTTTTTATAACGGCGTATTAATTTTCAAGACCCTCACAAGAATTTTCTCAATTGCCATTCCAAGGGGTCTTGGTGCTTCCTCTTGAAAGTAATGTAACATTGGGCGGTCACCAGTCACATTTGTGAACTCAATATTTGCCCAGTCCTTCACTGTATCTGCCATTGCAGGAGTTAGTATACCAGGGTATGCAAGAATTGCATGCTTGGGGAATCTCTTGGTCTTGGCAAGCCACGATGAATACTTTTTCGTCATCTTGTTCACAAAGCAGCTACGCTGCTCTGATTTTCTGGGAAGATCTCTTGGAAAAGTAAGCATAGGACGTCTCGATTCACCAGGTTCCAAAAAAGGCACTAAATATTCGGCTTTATCTTTGTCAGACAAAACGCCAGGCAATAGTTCGTAAAACAAGTCAAAGAATGCATTTTCTTCTAAAACTAGCTTTTCTCCCGCTGGCGACCTAAATTCTTTAAATATGGGCATGCTATCGTACATAGCATCTAAATTTTCGGAATATGTCACAAGTGCCTCAAAAAAGGTCAAAGACTGAACACGGCGTTTGTTGTTCATTGCCCAGTTGAATCCTAATGGACCTCCCCAGTCATGTACAACAAGGTTGATCTTGCGTGGAAACTTCATCAATGTGAACCATTCATTTATATAACGTACATGATCTGATACATAGTACCACGAATTAGGAATTTTTGATGAATGTCCCATTCCAATCAGATCAGGCGCAACGCAACGTATCCCATGTTGAATGAGATACGGTGCAATATTTCTCCATAGATACGCAGCAGTGGGGTTTCCGTGTAATAAAACAACTACATATTTGGCATCTACCGGGCCCGAATCCAAATAGCTCATGTTTCCATTTAAAACATGGATGTTTTTTCTTGTGGCGAGAAAGTTACTGGCCATAATAGTTACTTCATCGTCCGTTAAGGCAAGACAATCTGAAAAATCCATTCAGATTAAATATTATCGAAACTGGAAGAATTTGGACTAAATAATCCTTTGAAATATTGGAAGCTTTTAAGCAGCCTCAGAAGACAGTAAAACATCTAACCCTTCTGATATAATTATAGAGGCATCTGAATTGAAAAATCATGCATTTTTTCTAAACTGTTTTCAAATGACAATACTGATGACAAAGACGTTTTGAAAATATTGAAAAAACTAGAAAACGAGTCTAATTTTGACGAACTTAGTTACAGGATAATATATGAAGAGATCAATACGGTAGTGAACCAACTTAAAAATAAAAAGGCTTCGGGTAAACGTGGAATACCTCCTAGTCTAACAACAACGCGAACATCAGTTTTGAGCCTGCAAATTATGTTCCTTGGGCTCAAACCACGATTCTAACGTCGTGAACAAGAAATCTCAAGCCGTGCATCATCATTTCCTTGGTCCCGAACATATTTCTTCACTCGCGAACAGAGATCTGTGCTCGCGAACCACAAACCAGATTGTAAAAAGTCTGTAATTTTATTTGTATTATTACGTATAACTTACTACTTTGCGATCCCATGCATTGACATTTTCAGTGAAAGGGCTAGGTGATAAAAACAAAAACATGGCTTTTCATTGGCTGCAGAGTTTATGACTGAGATTAAAATAAACATGTACACGTATCAAGGGCTTATTTAATACCCAGGGCTTAGTTGTGTACCAAATGAAACGACACAACATCAGGGGCTTTATATGATCTGCATTACACAATGGTGTATAGAGGGGTCAGTTTTCTCCCTTACCCAGCTCTATACCGCGGTATAAGGTGACCTGATTATGCAAATGAGAAGACCCCGTTGGTTTCTCGCCAGAACAATCAAAACAATCAAAGCGTGTCAAGCGGTGACAGACCGTGAAGACTAGGGTCCCCACTTTGAACCAAGCTCTGTTAAGCTTACCTACGCTTTGAGTCAAGCTTTGCTGAGCTTTGTAATGCTTTGTTAAAGGAACATTCCTGGCCAGGCCATTTCTCTCCTAATATGGTAGCTATAACCATATATATACTTTCCATATTTTGCAAAACAGGGAAAACTTTTAATATAGTCAATATTGATCACTTGAAAATGTAGTGCTGAATTCCAGTAGGCTGCCATCTTTAAGTATTTCACTCAGGAAGTGATGTCATCGACTCTCAACTTTGCATATAACATTATAAGGAGCTATTTAGAATTACAAAAACCAGCTGTGCATTCTTTTTCAATTTTGTCTATGATTTAATCCTTCTATAAGACTCTTCTATTATTCTAAGCTGACAAACTCTGAAAATATTTTTGCACATAAAGTAAGAACCACTTGTCTAGAAGTGATTTTGTGCTACTTCCCTATACTGTTATATGCAAGGTCATGGAAGTTGAGAGTCGATGACATCACTTCCTGAGTAAAATCTTAAAAGATGGCAGCTTACTCAAAATGAGCACTACATTTTTAAATTATCAATATTGACTATATTAAACATTTCCTTGTGTTTTGCGAAATATGGAAAGTATATATATATGATTATAGCTATCACATCAGGATAGAAAAGGTTTGGCCAGGAATGTTCCTTTAAGCTTTGATACGCTCTTGGCACTTTAATCAATTTGTGACAGAGCACTCAAAACTTTTAAACAGTTTAAAAAATTTTGGCGCTCTTGCCGAATGTCCCGCTTTACTCCGAGGTTTTCCATGATCTATTACGATCCTGACGCTTTAATCAAGCTTTGTTACGCTTTGGTGCTTTAAAGCGCTGTTGGTGTGAACTTAGCTTTTCCAATCACCAACATGAGCTGGCATATTCAGCTCTGGATTTCATGTCCAAAGGGGGTCAAAATATGTTTGGAAGCGAGGAAATGGTGCTATGCGACCACATATTTCACGTCCGCTACATGAGAATCATTGTTTGAGCACAAAGAATGTAGTTCGCAAAGTTAGAACTGATGTTCGCATTGTTGGAAGTCATATATTACTTTTTATCATTTTGTCACAAGTTTACCCAACGATGAATTTAAGTATTGCATTTCAAAATGACAAGGCAAAATTAATGTGCTGAGATTAAATTATCTATGTAAAATAATTATTAATTGATATGTCTAATTAATAAGATAACTTATTGAGATGATTTATTGATTACCATCATTTAAAGCTGAGGTAAATCATCCTTTAGTAAAATGTGAGTCCTATTATGGCCCGTCTTTTAAAACCAGAACTTTAGAAACGTTTAATGATGCCTAGCCATCGAAAATGTACAGTGACAAAATTTACGGGTGTACACTTGTACACTGTATGTTGTCATGTTTGAAGCAAAAATTGTGTTGTAGGTTTTAAAAGATTTATCTAAGGAATATTATGAAGTATTTCATGTTTAATTTCATGTGCATGCTCTTAGTAAGACTTTTAAATTTCTAATTAGTTTAACAGATTATCTAGCAGAGCACAAGTTTTTTTCTAGGTAATTCCACCAACGTACATGTAAATGCAACCAACATTTTCCAACTGGTCATTAATGTGGGTGCAATTACCTAGAAAAATTGTTAGCATTGCTCGAGGACCTATTAATGTATTTAGAAAGTCTTGCAAAGAGCATGCACATGAAATTAAACATGAAATACTTCATCATATTTCTTAGAAATACCTTTTGAAATCTACATCCAGTGTTCGCGTTGACGCCGTTTTTTCTCGTTTTTACGGAAATTTCAAGAGGTTGGACGGAAAAATCAGAAATAACTTACGTCCTTGGGACGCAAAGATTCTACACCACCATCAGGTAACTTTTACTGCAGCGTAGAAGTGATAAAACATGATTTTCTGAAGAATTTTCAGATCGTCTACTTCCTTGATCTCGATAATGTTTATGTCTGCAAATCTGATTGGCTACGAAGTGTCTCAGTATATTCGCGGGGTTTCTAGTCTGAAACGCAGCATTTGATTGGCTATGGTGCCCTCCGAGTCATTCCGGAGTATACCGAAGCTGGATAATCTGTTGTACGCAAACATTAGTTTCAAAATTGAGATTTGAGACTTGTTTTTCACGATAACCTTAATTACTTCCACTAGGAACCGTTAGATATCGATCTAATGTTATACATCAATATAATTATTTAATGATAGATCAACGTTTTTCATCTAAAAGTCGTCAGAGAAAGGAGAAATGTTATAAAAAGAAACAAAAAGTTCACGACCTTGACACGACCTTGAAGATCGCTGGTTGGTAAAATGTGAAAACAACTCTTAATTTGAATATTTCTTTCATTCATTTCGAAGAATTTTGGTATAGCATTAGTAAAGAATTGTGTGAAAAGGACCAAATGATAGATATTTATCGGGAGAATGCATATAATTACAATACATGTCATTTTATCCGGTTTTAGCGGAAGCACTCTATTATCGCCCACTTTACTTTCACTTTAATATTAATAACAAAATATGAGGGACGCAAAAAATATTAGACGGGACTCACATTTTCCAAATGTGTTGCGTCCCTGGGACTCAGAAATTTAAATGGCTAGCGCGAACACTGTACATCACAACTTTTGCTTCAAACATGACAACATACAGTTAAGGTGTAAACCTGTATATTTTATTTTGTACGTTGTCGATGGCTAGGCGTGTCAATAAGAAATTCAGAATTCTGTGAGAATTGTGTTAAACCGGAACTTAGAGTTAAAAACCACCGCCAATCCCTCATAGCTGAGAAGTATTAAACACTAGTTTTATTCAAATAAATAAAAGAACCTCATAACTCTGCATGTCACTTATACTTCCACAACATTTCTTAATTTCATCTAGTCGCCATATTGTGGCATTAAAAAGTTATAAAAGAAAAGTGTTATATTTAAGAGCATGATATGTTAGCATATTTTAGAAAAAAATAAATCGTGAGGTGCTCACAGTATTTTATGAAAAATTCTGTTATACCCCATTGCGGATAAGGCTTCCGATCTTCCGTAATTATTTTGAATAGGAAAATAAAAGAGATTGAGAAGTAACTCCTAGCAACTCAAGACAGTTATAAATACATATGAATAACAGACTTACCATTTAAAAGATTCACTACAATTGCAACGTAAATACAGAAATATATAATCCGTGTCATCATGCAACTCTCGCATTTGTTAAACACCGTGGTCAGAGGTAACGCGGCGCAGTCAAGCATATCTATTCAAAACGAGGCTGCAACGCGGCAAAGACACAAAATGGCCACTCAGTGGAAGGTCGAAAGGGCGGTAAGTTTATTCATAAGCTTCATACACTAGTTTGTGTCTGGTACAGTTATAATAGCATATACCATTCGGTGGAGAACTTCACAGAGTATGTCTATATGAAGCTTCTTGAAATTTAGTCAATCAGGGAAATACATTCCAAGTCAATCACTTACTGAAATTTGACAATTGTGGCATTTTTCTAGCTTAAATTCTATGTTTTTGACTTTGTCACTTGACACATATCTATTAAATCACGTATACCACGGTAATCTCTATTTCTTCAAAGTTTCATCACTGTTTGCCTTCTGTTAACCGATTCTGGGTGGAAAACCAGGTATATTTTGGAAACGCAGTTCAGACACTTCGGCAACGCGGGTTCAGACATCATACATATTTGACAAAACTGGAAACGCAGTGACAGCAATGCAGCTGATGTTCTATCGTGTACGATAATTACATTATCAAAGCATTCTCTATCTGCTTTTTTCAGGACAAAAACACCAAGATAATTATGCACCAGATGGGATGTAATGAGTTAGATACATAATGCAAAACTTCTTTGTACTTTACAATACAGAGAAAGTTGATGCCTGCACCGCGTTGCCATACAATTTAATCTATGCTGTCGACGCGTTGCCATAATTGCTGAAAATGACTGCGCCGCGTTTCCGGCTAGTTCAATTTTGTAAGCAGATTGCGATGAAAATAAACAAAAGTTTCAATCTTAATTTGTAATGTACATTCTATAAGTATCAGGCTATTGAATGTCAATGTTAAATTTGCTCATGAGTGGCGAAATACCTCCTTAATTGGAATAAGAAGATAGGTCAAGAGAAATAGGATCGGGAAATCATATCTGCGTTGACTATTTCTTTACTCTGGTCAATGCCTGAACAGAAATTCTTATAGCTTTACATACCTTAAGGGGTTGATCACCGAGTGTGAAGCATGAGTTTTCCAAAACTTACCTATGTTTCGAGGAAACAGAGGACGAAGTGCCTCCGATAATTGGAGTTGCCTCCATTTTGTGTCTTTACCGCGTTGCAGCCTCGTTTTGAACAGATATGCTTGACTGCGCCGCGTTACCTATACCCACCTTGTTAAATAAAAATACAAAATTATTATTAATTTATTAAAATTATTTTTAATCGATGTCCATCCTTGAATTAACCGGTCGAATAAACAGTAATAGGTGTAAGTGTTAATCAAATTGACATGTAACTAATATGTTGATTGACAACGGATAACCTTTACTAGGTTCATATTTCATGAGAATGTTATTATTCCTGAAATTCGATTCGATTGCACACACATCATTTTCTGATCTGAGACACAAAAGTGTGAATTTCTCTTTAACCGGGAATTGCATAAATGAAATATTTAGAGAATTAATTGTCTTTAGACATTGATTGTACGGGACAAGTTACACAGAGATACAAAGTCTAAAACCATGTAAAAAATATCATTATAAACCTGAAGTGGAAAGATTCGCGAACGCTTCGCCCACCCATCATTTTTAAGGTCATGTGACAGACTATACATAGGGTGTTTCTGAAAACAATTCAAGATGAACATCATCCACATCAGTCAAACTAAAAATAACTTTTACTCTTCCACACAGTTCAATATCTTGATTGACAGCTCTATATTTGGAAGTGAAATTGATGTCCTGTGTTAAAACTCCAAGGTCAAGCTGATCTGGTCACTCTTTAAGACAATCTAGAAAAAATATTTTGACTGAAATTGATCAGTTTCATCTTCATATTTCTCAGCCAAAACATATTTCAGGAAAAATTGACCTTTCAAACCATTATTGTATATCTAATATCAGTTCCTTTGAGAGGTTTTAATCATAATTTCTTTTCTCTGAAAGAAGATTTTGCAGTGTTTTTGTAGGACTATTTTGTCAAAGAATTTCTATGCAAAACACAATTTCCCAATCTTCACACAATTTCAAGGGTTCAGTTTTTGTATGATGTAATAAATTAGATCACCAAATAAGGATGGCATTGATTGAATGTTTATTATGTAATAAAATTAAAGTTTTAGTTAATTTATTACAGTAATAACTATCTGTTTGAAATGTATCTTTGTTGAGACAAATATTTGTGAATGAAATATAAATTGTTTGTATATATTCTCCATAATTCCTCAACCTCCAAACATGTTAAAATCATGATGTCAAGACATCATCTGCAATAAAGGAACTAAATAATTACCCTGTATTTGCAGTATAGATTTGCAGATTGATCCCATAATGTTACTAATTTGCACTGATATCCTAATTTGAAAATACTATTTGTTTTATTTTTATACTATTTTAGGCTCATCCCAATCCAACAGATAACTGGTCAGCCAAAGTGTTACGTAAGCTACACATCCCAAATATAATGGACTCTGATGTGCCCAACCATCCATTAGACTATTTCACATGCCCATTTAGAAAGTCAAAGATAGACAGGTAAGCCAACATGTATATTAATCACATTTGACCACTCCTTATTGCTTGATCAATTGAAAATGAAATGGAATTGATTTTTGGGGATATTGATTGTGGTATATATTAGAAATAAGAGTTGTGTCTGACAATTTTGAATTTTTTGATAAAAAGTGTGTTTATCACTGGGTGTCTTGTTGAATTGCACATTTACTTTTCTGTAGGTTCCTGGGCAGTGAAAATCATGACACTTACTTCACACATACTCAGCGTCATCGTGTAGTTTACGAGATCCTGGCAACTTCCACATACGGCAAAAGAAAACGTGCAGAAATTGGAATTGATCGTTTGTTAGAAGAAGATGTTTTCACCGCAGCATTTCCGTTGCATGACGTAGGTTGCAAATTAATTTGAAACACAAAGATTTCCTGGCAATTGTTTTAGTGTATATTGTTTTAATCTCTTGATTAACTCTACTTTAAGATTGAAAATTACTGATTAAAGACTGCTCTAATTTGTACTGATTCTTTCTGCGTCATTATTCTTTGTTTGACAGGAAATTAAAAAAAGTGATGAGCCATGTAATATCTAATCAACAAATACAGTGTGCAATTTCAAACTTGTATCCCTTTCATCTACACAACTTAAAAACAAATGACTACTGTGAATGTGATATGCACATTGTAATGTACTATGGACTCAAGCTAATCATTTCTTCTTATTTTCAATAGGTGTAAAGAATTTTCATACCGGTATATATATGACGGCTATAAACATTTTTGAAATTATCAATTGAGTGAAAATTGATATATTCTTAGTGCAAAGGATGAGTGTCTGTAAATTGAATTCCGAATAAATGTTAAGCTCACTTGTTTAAGTTCTCAACATACTTTGAAGTAATTGTATTCAGAAAATTCTTTTGATTTAAAGAGTGATACCTGCAAGTATAAAGAGTGACGCCTGGGCCAATTGGTCCCTATAAAATATAAGTTTTTTTTTAACCTCAAAAAGCTCATTTGAAACATTGAGAAATATACGTTCAAAAATTTACTTCTGATTTATTAAGGGATCATTCAAAACAGTCTTTACTCTGTGAGGTCTGAAGTTGGCTAAAGCTAATTTTGCAAAAGGCTTACATAGCCCATATTATTGAAAAAAGGAATTCCATAACATCAGACAGTCTTCTCTCTCAATCATGTGCTATAGGAGATATGGTTGATTCTATGTTGAATACTTGATCAACAAATGTATGTAATTTGTAAATGTCAAGTCCCTATCCATACATCATCAGGATTTCGGGCAATACATTATTTATTCCCTACTTTATTTTGATGTTTGTTTTTTTCGTTTGGATATTCTTTCACAAGTATTAACTTTTGCTGGTAATTAAATATAAGTGAAATGTTGTTGATTGCTATGTAATATGAACAGCTGTTACATCATAAGAATCTCTAAATCAAAATAATAAATCTTTGCTGGAAAGGTTCTTTCCCAGCAGGTACAGGGTGACACATCAAAGGCCACCCACTAATATTGGTATAACTTTCTCAATGATTAAAAAATCTTCATGCTTTTTGAGCACAAATAGAGTTTTCTATGGATAGAAGAAGTATTATTTCTTGATAGCATCAACAACTTTAAGAATTAAGGATATGATGCTTTCCGTCCAGGTATTATCTAAGTGAAATCGTCAAAAAATGTTTAGAAATACAATTTTCTGAAATTCGGATTTCTGTCTTAGCCATTATTTGAGTCTGAATTGCTTTTACTGCTTTACACATATATTTATCAATGATAAATCATATCTACTTTTTCTGAAATAATTTGTCAAATTTTTACATTTTCAATTGATTTTGTGTCAGACATATCTCCACGGAAAATGAGATATCTCATAATTAATTTGCAAGGTGTTGATGCTATGCAAGCATACCAATCTTTTCTCCATTGGACACTCTATCTACACATAGAAAGTTATGAAGATTCCTCAACCATCAAGAAGGTTATTCCAAAATTAGTGGGTGACATTTTTTGTGTCACCCGCTATTTCACTCAATTTTTGTTTCCCCACTTTGAAGTAGTAACAACCAACCTTTAGTGTCTGTAACAATTGTTACAATTTCATAGGAGGTTCAATTTTACCTTGATACCTTGTTGAAAAATTATATAGAGTAATTTCAGTTAAATGTTTATTGAAATTGAAAATTACATTACATTACATGTGTTGTTTTCTGCAGGGACCATATGAGAAGCCAACGCATTATGTGTCCGATGATTGTCTGAACCCACGGCAGATCCTCAGAGAATACTGGGCAAGGTGGGGAGTATGGTACAAATATCAGCCCTTAGACCATATACGAGAATACTTTGGAGAGAAAATAGGAATATATTTTGCATGGCTAGGTATGTAAATGAATCAGTTGTAAGGTTTTCAAAGGTGTATGTACATACATTATTGAACACATAGTTCAAAGCTACAAAATGATTCTTTAACATTTAAAAAAGGCCAGTTATAAGGGTCAAACAAAGCAATGGGTTGAAAGGGATACATTATTCTAAAAGTGTTCCAAATCTAAATAGAAAGTAAGAGTTAAAGCTAGTGATATTGCATTGTCATTGAAAAGGATGTACATGTACTTATTGTGATTATCACTTATTACGACTAATGGGATAATTGATGAGATAATACCTCTATAACAATGTCTGGTAATAGGTCTATAATAGCTCTAATTACCATCCATCAATCAACTACAGTAAAATCTGTAGATCCAAACACCTCTCTAATCCTAACACCCATCTAATCGAAACACCTTTTGGTGTCAGATATTTTATGATGTCACAACCAAAAAGTGGTGACATATTGTTATGGTCTCCGTTTTTGACAGCGGTCAGTGATTGGCGATTGGCGGTTGGCGGTTGGTTGGTCGGCGTCTGTAACAAATTCTTACAAAGATTTGAGATTTTACCTTCAATGACCTTTCCAAGGTCAAAAAAGGTCAAAAGGTCTTTTTTCAACTTGCTTCAAATTGACCATTTTTTCAAAATCATCTACAAGTTCTTAAAAGTTCAAACCTGGCAATAGATTTGACCTTCAACTACATTCTCAAGGTCAAAAAAGATTTGACCTTCAATGACCTTCTCAAGGTCAAAAAGGTATTTTTCCATCTTGCTTCAAATTGACCAATTTATTTTTTCAAAATCATCTACAAGGTCTCAGAAATTCAAATCTTAAGATTGAACTAATAATATTGTAAGCAACTAGGTGGTGACATTTTCTTCCTATGTTATAAAACCTCAAAATGCAAACAACTGCCAATCCAAACACGTTAGACCCAGTCCCATAGCTGTTCGGATTAGATATGCTTTACTGTATATATAGGCTCATAGATGGTGGTTCAGTTGATTATATGGGATTGTTATAAGTAATATATTAGCCTGTGCATTAGAGATCAACTTTTTTGACATAGGAAATAATTTACAGTTTTTTATCCTGGCTTTATAAATTATGATGTTTATCCCATGACTAGTTTGATAAAAGGTGAATAAAGCATGCTGTTAAAATGGTGTTGCATTATTCATTTTCAATCATTTCTTAAACTAACTAAATACAGAAAAATTATTGTCAGTTTTGTGCATATTTATTTCATACTTGTTGGAGGCATCTGTGCATTATACCTGAAATTTTCATACTTAGTATACTGTACAGTATGTTCATGCCGAGAACTAACAAAATGCACTGAATCAAAAAAGGTATTGAATTAGGCTAGTTCTTGAAAATAATCCTTTGTGGTACAATGCGCTTTCATACAATGATGAAATAAACCCATTTCCTATAGTTCCTCTATACAATCATCTTACTAACAAATTTTCATACCTATACAGTATGTTCATGCCGAGAACTAACAAAATGCACTGAATCAAAAAAGGTATTGAATTAGGCTAGTTCTTGAAAATAATCCTTTATGGTACAATGCGCTTTCTTACAATGATGAAATAAACCCAGACGAGATACATTTGAATTGCATTTCCTATAGTTAATTCTCTACAAACATCTTACTAACAAATCGAGTATTACCTTGTATACGCGAATGCAACTAATGGCTGTCGGCTAACAGATTAACCTACTGTTTTATGGGCAACTCATTTGAATGAATGAATAGTAACTGCCATTATTCCATTCATATATAAATATGTTGGTTATGAAATAGTAGGTTAATCCAGTAGCTGACAGTCGTTATTTGCATTCGTGAAGTCACTCTTAGAAAATCACCCCATAACAGATATCAATATACCTCATTGCTTTTTATGTGACTAACAATGTAGTTTTGTATATGTGTAATGACATTGCAGGTTTATACACAGCATGGCTGCTCCCAGCAGCCATTGTTGGTCTACTGGTATTTCTTTATGGTATAATGTCTATGGACACTGATGTCATAGCGTAAGTCCTGGTGTTTTCCTTTAATTTCATATTTTCATCATTTTAGAAATGTTGCTTGGTACAGCGGCTAGTACCAACCATGGGTGTTTGTTTTGCACATTGATATCTAATATCTGCTGACTGGTGGGAGCTGTTCTACATTTTTTGCATATTTTTTATATACGAGGGGTGATCAGGAATTTCTGGACCGTTGGCTCTATTTTTGCCATTTTTTATCCTTTCTTACTGATTTTTTCACATAATATAACCCAAATATATAGGATATACAAAATGCTGGTAACTACTTTGGAGGATTAGAATTGAAAGAAGAATAATGCCAGTTATTATGAACATTAATGAATATACTTAATGATATAGTACCACCTATTTGATGATGTTTGTAACATATTCAGCAATGAATACAGTGTCAAAAATGTAATATAAAACTACTGTTGATTTTCAAATTTGGTATTTTTCTGAGATCCACCTTGTCGCGTCACCGATTACCATGGTAACAAAAATAATGGGATAATGATGTCATAGAACAATGAAATCTTCATGATGTGATGCTATTTATTTGGGTTATATTATGTGAAAAAATCAGTAAGAAAGGATAAAAAATGGCAAAAATAGAGCCAACGGTCCAGAAATTCCTGATCACCCCTCGTACTTACCATGTTAGCTGTATTAACTGCCCTGGACCATTTTGAAATTGATAAGGTGTCATCATGTCATTGAATACGTAAATATTGCGTTAACCTGCACATTTATGTATCGGGAGGTCCCTGAAGGGACATTTTATTTCAAATATACAAGTCTGCCAAAATGAAACTATTTTTATCTACAGTAGCTGTACTTTTTCGATTTCCTATTTTGTTTACATTTGAGAATGTTCAAAAGTCATATGGTTGCAGGTATGATTAATTTGGCGAAAATGGTGTTCCATTTCCAACATTTATAAATGACCCAATTTTTCATGCTTCACGTCCGAAATTTTGCATTTCAAAATACGTTCATGCATCATGAACTTTTCACAATGTTCTAATGTTTAAGCAGAGAGATCTTAATATTAGAAATTGTCAAACATGCAATCTATTGCACAAACCCATTAATAGGCCTTTTTTGGCCATGATATTTACGGGTTCATGCATTAGACTGAACTGATCTTTTTTCCATTTTCATATTGCATGAAAGTTTTTTCTAGAACTTTTGGAAAAACTATAGAAGTGGATGTGGGTGATGGTTTATCTGCATGATTTGTTTTTTATAATGATTATTTATTTGATTATTTTGTATTATATTTTTGTATCATGTTGGTATTCAGGGTTTTATACAGCATGGTTACTTCCTGCGGCTGTAGTGGGGCTTCTAGTCTTCCTCTATGGGATATTTACAATGAGCATAGACCCAGTCTCGTAAGTCTAAGTTTTTGTAATGAAATCATACATTAGCTAGTACATACATGTACTATTGGTAATACTATATTATGGTTTTAGATTTTTATTAATATTTAACTCAATTCATTGAAAAGATTTTTTAGTTTTTTGTGCAAACAATGACTTAACAAAAATACAGTTCAGTGATTTTTATTATTCATATTTATGTATTTTTAATTTAATTTCAATATAAATCCAGAAAGATGTATGCACGTAAAAAAAAAAAACATTTTGTTACATTATCTAATTTATTATTTGATATTTTGACGTACAAGTAAAATACTATATGTAGATAACGCCATCTTTTTAGCTGTAAGTCAAACTTTTATGAAGGGTAAACATGTTCCCAGTACAAACAATTCTTATGATTATATGCCATGAAACAGATCTATCAAGTATATCTTCTTTAACAATGTTCACTCATATCACTTTAAAAATGACAATTAAAAAATTAACACTCAGTCAAACGACAACATTAACTTCAGATGGCATCTGATATAACAAAAACAATTTCTTTACACTATAAACAATGGCAACTTAAATTGATCCCAACTTCAATTTCACATATTTGGCAATGTCTTGTTACTCTTCTTCAAAATGTTGAATCCAACAATGTCTCATGTTAATGTTTAGCAGATCAATGTTTATACTTCTGTTTGTATACTACAGTAAAACCAGTGTAAGTGGAACACCTTTGGTACCTCTAGAAAGTGTTCCTCTTTGGAGGTGTTCCACTTACAGAGGTTCATTTAACAATAAGTCAGTAGGCTGCGGGACTTTGAAGAGTGTTCCACTTATGGAGATGTTCCACTTACAAAGGTGTTCCACTTCGCAGGTTTTACTGTATATACTATTAAACATGGAGTCAATATAGTCATTTCATAGATTCTTTATGAGACTCATTCCCAGGCACAGAATCAATAATACACCAGAGGGGAGAATGAATTTTGAAGGTTTACGTGCTGATCTAATGTTGGCTCTTTCTGGCAGTATGTAATATGTCATCATTAGGTGAACGTGGTTGATGGCTTCAGAGAGTATTCTTGTGCTTAGGGTCAGTGCCTCCTCATACATCATGCAGGTCGGACATATGCTTAGTCCCATTGGAGTGTTCTGGTTCATCAGTGTTGACCACTCTATCTTCATTGTATTGAGGCCTTCACTGGCTGATATGGCAGCCTGAAACATGATAAGAAATGGTTTTTAAGATTGTGCTTTTGGAAGTAAATACTGTTCTTTAAGTAATGGTAATATTAAGTCTCTAAAGAATTTTGTGTACATACAGTACATCTTGCTCAAGTTTTATTTCTCATTTAATGTTTTGGAAATTTGGCATGCTGTGAAAGCTGAGGCAGGTTTCTAGAATTGTGACAACCTTTTGTAATAAATGTTCCTTTGTATGGTGTCTATCAAAGGACAGAGAATGTTACTGATGAACTTGTGTAAAATGAAGAAAAGCAACATTTGTAGAAAATATTTTGCACAAACAAAATTCTTAAGTTTAAGTCATAAAATTCTTACCTCTGGCTGCAGTACATTGCTGTTGATAATGTCTGTGTTGTAAGATGTCTGTAGTTGTCCACACTCAAGTACAAGGATCAGTATAACTATTTGTATCATTACTTTAGCTCCCATTGTAATATATTTGCCTTTGAGTGGTAGATCTCTAATTTCTTCTCCAATGGTCGCTTCAACTTTGTGAAGTTTGTTGTTGTTCTGTTCAGTGTCTTCAGGTGTTATGATTTGATGTTCATCATCATCGGCTTTATATACTGTAGGTCTTGGATTCAGTCTTTGATTCAAATTTCTATGATCTGATTCGTCAGTGATAGAATCCGTGATTTTCCTGATCATTAAAAATTGGCTTCAGATTATATTTTTTCAAATTTTGCGTGGCTTCATCAAGCAATTTAATCTGCTCTACCAAATTTAATTCTTATAATTGTAATTGAAGTAATTAACAAATTGGAAGCCAAATTGCCAAAACAACATTTTGTCCTTTACAAGATAATGTTTTGATCCATCTAGTTAATCTGTAAAAATGGGAGGGGAGAATGTCACATATTGTTTTTACAAAACAAATCAAATATTGCAAGAATGTGTAAAAGTCCCTTCCAACAAAGTTTCAAAAGTTTTTCTGGTGGAAATAAGCAAAAATCAACATATATTCAGTTATATACTTTTTCTGAATAAATTGTATTTTTTAAGAATAATTATGAAAGTGTTGTGCTTTATTTTGTTTTATATTTGTTTTGTAGACAAGAGATCTGTAACAGTAATGCTACATTCAAGATGTGTCCACTCTGTGATGAGGATGTAGGTTGTGAATATTGGAACCTCTCTGACGTTTGCATGTACACAAAGATAAGCTACCTGTTTGATCATCCAGGCACGGTCTTCTACGCCATATTTGTGTCATTCTGGGGTAAGTAATGCATATATAATTTGTTTCATGTGGATGAAGGATCTGAAGGATCTAGGAGTCAATATAAGTTCTTACCATCTGAGATCAACACCCCCCCCCCCACCTCCTTTAAGTACATTTCCCCTTTTATGAGACAGGCTGCTAATGTGCTTTATTAAGAGATTCTTTGATCTACAAAATGGGGTAACCAAAACATAATAAGAAAAAATAAAAACAAACTAACGTAACCTCTTCCATAGATTTTCCCATGTGAAAATATATTGTAGTTTATTTCATATATCTCTTTTAGATTATGTATGTTTCACTTAGTTGTTATTCTTGGTTGTTCTTTAACATTGTTCTGTTTTTCATTGAATCCAGCTGTAGCATTCCTAGAGTACTGGAAGAGGAAGAATGCCAGTCTTGCCCATCATTGGGACTGTATGGACTTTGAGGAAGAAGATGTAAGTAATGTATTAAAATACCTTACAGGGTAACCCAAAAGTGCAACCCTCTTTTTCTCAGTTAAAGACCGTGCTCGAGTACCCCCCTGCAGCCCATTAAGGAAATTAGATAGCTGATAAAAATTACATAATTAAACATTAAGGATTAGCCTATCACTGATGGGCTCACTTTCCTTATATGGATAACTGTAGTATTTACTGAACATAATGACCTATGCACATGGTATATTTGGCGGGGTTTTGTATCTTGTAGGGTGCTTGTTTATGAAGGACAATTGGGTGTTAGTTTAACCAATATTATTATCTACAGATAGCCATCTGAGATAAAGTTTTCTTTATTCTTTTAATTATCCAAATAATTTCAAGAAGTCCATAATTTGTAATCTTCTTATTCTACCATAAATGATGGGCTGAATTTTACTAATGACCACTTTGAATGTCTAAAGAATCAGGATCTACTTGAAGAGTGTCATTAGCAATTGGTTTTAGGATAGTTTAGTAGAAGTTTATAGGGAACTTCTCAAAAATTTGCCAAATGAATTATAGATCATGGTATGAACCAATCCTGAGATACCGACAAGTTTCCTACAATCCCCCAAATCAAGGGTAATGTCTGGAAATGTAATGTCCCTTTCATCCAGAGAAATGAAAGCAAACACAGGACAACCAGAACCATGATAAATGTCCAAAATAAGGAAAAGTTGGGTAATACAGTGGGGTTGTTGAAAGATATTCTTCTCAGGGACACCAAACCCAGGATGTCCTGGTCTCTAACCCATAATCACTCATAAACCATACAATTTGAAATTGTGAACTAATTTTCAATGAGAATAGTTGAGTCATCTTCATAATGTTAAAATGGTCAATTCAATTATATAAGGGGATGTCTCTACTTCCCTTTACTTTCACTTTACTTACAGTTCTCAAATCAACTACATCATGTCTCAAGCACTAGCAAATAAAAGTAAACAGAAAGTTATTATCGAAGTAGAACATCTTGGAGAGGATTTATAAAGCAGAGACTTTATAACAAGCTTGGTGGGAATAAAATGCAAACTTAGCAATACCAGTTTAGTGACTTATACATTGTCAAATGCATTTGATACACAATGTTGAGAAAAGGTCAACAATTATTAGCACCAACATATTGTATAAAACAAAACAAGGAACATATTCAAGGATTATCAATAAACTCAAGCAAAAGACCTTATAAAACAATATCATTTAAAATAAAAGGAATATATACTCATTGGCATTGTTGGATTACGTTTTTGAATTGATGAATACTACACATGTTTGGTAAGTAGAAAACATTGTTCTCTATTTGCACTCAGCAATATCCCTTTGTTTATATGTATCATGTGACTAATTTCTGCAATGCCGATTGGCTGTACTTTGAGTTGTTAACTCCTCCCATTAGCAGTTAAAAAATGAAGATTTAATGTGTTTTCAAGATAACTCTGATTGAAATAAATACATTTATTTGAAGATTGTATATTCATACACAAATGAGACAAATTATGTTGCAATCTGATCATTAATTCTATAGGAAAAGGCTAATTTATTGTCAGAGCAAGCAGTTTCAGTTATTTTCAAATTTAATGGTTTACTAATGACTCCATTTCTTACTGAATCTGGCTTTAAATACTCAGCCACCCCCTTTAAGATGGACTCTTCTAGAATTTTCTTGCACATTGCTTTATTTAGGGATTTAAGCCTTGGACTCAGTACATTGTGTGCTGAATCATTCCACGAAGATGTTGTTTCCAAATCTTTGCATGAGCCCGCAGGGGGAATGCAAAATTTAGGAAACAACATCTGAGTGGAATGAAGCAGCCACAATGGACTGAGTCTTGGGCTTAAATTCTTTTCACACATTGCAAAATATTTTCTATAAAATCACTTAAAAAATACAAAATCACTAAAAGAAAATATTTTCAATTAAACTTTTTGCAAGGGCCAAGTATTGGAAAACTCAATTTCAATCTCAATCCTTAACAACTGTACATAACAAATGCGTCATTGATATTTCACACACTGTTCAGTATGTGAATACTCTGTTCGGATAGGCTGGAATCGGACATACCTTGCCTAGCTATGAGTGAATCTAAAATTAATGAATTTTTGTTTCAAGAAAAAATAAGTTCTTTCAAAGAATCTTTAAATGTGAACACTTTCCCATGCAAACAGTTGATTCTGTTATGACAGTGTTCATTGAGACAGTTCTACTACAATGTACATATTTTGAATTCCAGGAACGTCCCAGACCAGAGTATAATGCGCTAGCACCAGACTTTGAGAAGAATCCAGTTACTGGGGTGAGGGAACCACATTTCCCTGAAAGGAAAAGACTCTATCGTATCATCACGGGTGCTGCAGTCATTATCATCATGGTAAGTGATAGCTTTGGTTGCATGTGTTGTTTGCTCTTGGCATTTCTTATTGTATTTCTGTTAAGATCGGATGTAAAGTTCAACTGGGAAAAATGATTGCGCTAAATTGTGTTAACCAAGTTACGCTATGTGCTAACTAGTATTCATTAGTATAAATGGACATACATTGGAGTTTCAAGGTTTGTAGTTTTTATTGTAAAATTACATTATGTAATGAATAAAAGGTGTAAACTAAATTTATAAGGAAAGACTAACATAAGAATGGCATATATAATACCTGACATGACATACTTGACATGACATAACATAGTTCTGGTTGGAGAAGTTCTTAAGAGGGTGGGGGCCGGGAGGAGTTTTTTGACTTAATGTAAGACTAAGAACATATCGATGATGATCACCTTAAATATGATCATTATATTTATTATTCCAACACTTTTTTACATACATGATTTTTTCACTTTTTGTACTTTTCAGATAGTGGTAGTCATCATATTCATAATAGCTGTGATAATGTACCGAGTGCTCATTGCCATTCCACTGTTCCAAAATCCACTGTTAAGGAGCAAAGCCTCAGTCATTGCCAGCATGAGTGCTGCTATTGTCAATCTTATACTCATTATGGCTCTTGGTAGAGTCTATGAAAAACTAGCTTATAAACTTACTCAATGGGGTAAGTTATTTGTTTAAATTCACTGTTTGTATCCTCTATGTTCACATAAATAGTGTATTTCAGAAATGTTCATGATTTAAATTCTAAATGAGCTGCATTATTCACAAAAGTACTGTAGTATGTATTTCTATCTATGCTTTGCCAAGATTACACAAAGGAAATTAAATTGAAGATTTGATGTTGATTTGATGAGCTACTGCCAATAGTAAGTGGCAAAATCTTCTGAAATGAATCTCATATATATTTAACACAACTAAGGTGTGAAATTGTTTTCTTTTTTTCAGAAATGCATCGGACCCAAACTGAGTTTGAAGATCAGCTAACATTTAAAGTTTTTGTGTTCCAATTTTTTAACTTCTACTCATCAATATTCTACATAGCTTTCTTCAAGGGAAGGTGAGTAGTTTATATAGCAGCAGATTTAAATTTTATAATGTCAACATCAAGAAGTGGTGACACATTGTTAAAGCCACCATGTAGATATTGTCATTAAAATTCCAGGAAAACCGCTTCCACTATGTAAAATGCCCAGATTAATACAGTATAAGAAACATATGATACACACATATCAGTTGTTTTAATACAGTTTAATCTGTTATCATAGGTTGAGGTATCAGACAATATTATAACAATGAATGATACGGAAAATTTTGAAGTTTCCCGTCTGAAACTGGTATAATTTGTTATCATTACTTGCTGCATCATATCATGTGTTATCAGCTGTTATAATACATATGATACAACTAGGAAAAAACAGATTATACTCGATGATACAATTCCTCATTTGTGGCTAGAATTTGTTTACATTAGCTGACATGTTGACACAGACATGTCAACACTTGTTATTATTGCTCAATAGTGGTAGTATGGTTAACTTATTTTTAATGATCAATCAAATTACATTAAGGTTCCCATAAATAGTTTGTCATTAATCCGAACAATAAGTTATTCTGTCTTTCTGATTACATATGATTCCTTTCAACACTTTGATTGCATGCTAGGGATTAAATCGTAATGTTATTGATCAACAGGATTATCATTTTTTAAACTCTCTGATCTAAAAAATAATCCCAAGTCCAATCTTTGGTTTGAATAGACGCCATAATACCTTAAAATGTAAACACCGGCTAATCCGGACACTTTTGGTAGGTCCCAGTGACGTTTGGATTAGACAAGTGCTACTTTAGATGAATAATGCATTTAGAATGTGCATATGAATATATAATAATGTTTTGTTCCAGGTTTGTGGGCTACCCTGGCCATTATAACACTATATTGGGGCTAAGGAACGAAGAGGTTTGTCCTGCTTGGCTATTCAAATATTCTCATTAAATGAAACTAGCTTCACAACACTTTTTGATTTGTAAATTGAATACCTGAAAACACTCATGTTCATAAATGCAACTGAATAAAGTACAGAAAGTGAAATAAACATTATTTAAAATACATGTAAAAATAACAAGAATGTGAGTTCAAACTGTTTGGTTCTAAAACTAACTAACTTGACTAAAATATGCACACTTAAAATTCAACCACACAGTTTATATACATCTGATAAAATCAGGTAAAAACTGATAAATCTGATACTTTGTCACCATCATTAATATTCACATGGTTTCTAATATTGACTGATAAAATCGAAAATTGATTTATTCAATGCATGTTTAATCTCAATACTTTCTATTACTAGTCTAAACTTATCTTAGTATTGTTGTCAGGTTGTTGATGTAGTACACTCCCCCCCCCCCATCACCGAAAGTTTGGCAACCATGAATTCATCAATGATCATTTGATAATATCTAAATGACTTGTTTTAATTCTGAGTTTGAATTTTTTCCAAAGTTACATTAAGTTATAAATTTATTGGATGAATTTTTCCAAAACTTATGGGCCAATGTTGGGAATGTTGCCAAACTTTTGGAGGGGAATGTATGTATGTACTTGTAATGCAATGTACTTGTGGTTCTTGTTAAATGTTTCACTCAAAGGGTGTACAGTCAACAGAATAGTGAAATTACCCGAAATGGCCCACTGGCTAGATATGAGTGGAAAGGAACCAGGGGTCTGTAAATATTATCAAACATGGGATTCTTAGAAAACAGTATTTACCTTCACATGAAACCATGACATACAATTTAATCATAAAGGAGTGGTATCGATATGGTGAACACACGTTTCTCTTAAACCAGTCATCAAAAAATTCTGAAAATTTTACACATCGTCAATTTAATAGTCATCTTTTGAATGGTGACATTATAATTTGAAATAAATATATATACTTTTGTCTATATTGTTTTACAAACCACATCAGACACCTCTTTTGTTCTTGGTATCATATGGTCGGAATGAAATGAAACATCTATCCGAACCTCAACAAAATGACATAAACAAAACATATTTAGGTCTCACCATATTGTGATTGTACAAAGGAAATTTTGGCTGATTTTAAAAAAGTATCTTGTTAATGAAATAAAAGGTTAATCTTAATTTTTATCTATTTTGGGGGTTTTTGTTTTAATTTTTTGAATACTTTTTGTAAAATCAACCAAAATTCCCTTTGTAAAATTAGAATACTGAGAGGTCTAAGTAAATGTTGTATATATATGCTATTTTGTTCCAAAGGCTTCGGAAAGATATTTTATTTCATTCTTAAGAATTGGTAAAAAGAAACAAAAAATAATTATATAAGATATGTATAAATAATTTTTGCATTAAATTGTTGTCAATCGGTCAAAATTACATAAAGGACCGTTTTTTACAGAATGTGTTCAATAATTGGTTTAAGAGAAAAACATTGTTGAATTCAGTTCACCATATCGATACCAATCCTTTAGACATTCCTAAAAACAGAACCCAGAATCATGATTTATGGGCTGACTGATTAATGGATTCATTGATGACTTATTAACCTCTTGAATCCCAGGCTCTAGTATTGGTTGAAACCAGAGAATTTTTCATTTTTGCCACCTTTTGACATTTTACTACATACCTTTTCAACTTTAGATGCTCAACTTAGTAAAATTAGATGGCAGAGATCATTTCTACACGTTTTAAAACAATTTTTGTGTGAATTGGATGAAAATTGTTCAAATAAGAGCAATTTTTGTGAACAATTTTGTGACGGATTTTCTCGTCCCTCTGGGTTTCAAGGTCATTTCTGAGGTGACGAATGGGGTGCCTGTTATATTTTTCAACTGATTAATTAGTCATTGCATCCCCTATTTCGAGATGCAATAACTATATCATCAGGCCTCAGGTCCATTGCACGAAAAGATCTGTCTTTGTGAATAATCCACACCCTTTGAGTGTTTACCTCAACCCGTTTCATGTTTAGATGTCATGTTGATGTAGCTTTAGCATGAGCATGGACGTGTTGTAATGATTTCCAGTGTAATAATGGAGGGTGTCTCATAGAACTTGCTCAACAACTAGCCGTCATCATGGTGGGTAAACAAACCATTAACAATGCCCAGGAGATTTTTATCCCGTAAGTGACAACCCATGAACCATTTGGTTGCTTATGGATAGAGATGTTTGTGCACTAATATTTTAGTTATATGTTTGTGCACTAATGCCTTTTGGTTAGATGTTTGTGCACTTGATGCATTATACATTTCACACTGGTCTTGCATGAAAATACTTAATTAATCCACATTGACGAATAAATATATGTGTGGAGACCAAATACTTATTGCCAGGCAAAATAGCAGTTTTTAACATACCTTAATTGTATTTCTATTCAAAATCAATAAATATGCGTGTGACACCAAAACAAAAATCGATGAATCAGATTTGAAATTCATTTCCCTGATTCCTGAAGGTACCAGAGTGTAATATATGGCTGAAATAAATTGAATTGAATATGAAATAGGTACACTAAAGATATGTTATAAATCAGACATTGCACTCTTATTATCTCACTGAAATATTTGATATTGAAATTCTATCGCTATTTGTTAATTCTAAAATTGCATTCTTGCTCATTTAATTTCCTCTTAATCTTGATGCTTTAAACTATTCTAATATTTCTTTTTTGCATGTTCTTCATTTGTGATTTAACACAATGTTATGATTAAACAAGACACATGCTTGCATATCTTAATTTATTCTACTAATATTCAATCAATTTTAGTTTTTTTATTTAAAGTTTAGTGTTATAGTTGGTTTGATATTGTCAGTAGCTAGTGTATTGTGTTATAGTGCAATAATGGTGGCTGTCTCATAGAACTAGCTCAGCAACTTGCAGTCATCATGGTCGGAAAACAAATTATTGGTAACGCCCAGGAGATCATTGTCCCGTAAGTAGTAGATAGATGGCATTGTCCCGTAAGTAGTGGATGGATGGCATTGTCCCGTAAGTAGTGGATGGATGGCATTGTCCCGTAAGTAGTAGATGGATGGCATTGTCCCGTAAGTAGTAGATGGATGGCATTGTCCCGTAAGTAGTAGATGGATGGCATTGTCCCGTAAGTAGTAGATGGATGGCATTGTCCCGTAAGTAGTAGATGGATGGCATTGTCCCGTAAGTAGTAGATGGATGGCATTGTCCCGTAAGTAGTAGATGGATGGCATTGTCCCGTAAGTAGTAGATGGATGGCATTGTCCCGTAAGTAGTAGATGGATGGCATTGTCCCGTAAGTAGTAGATGGATGGCATTGTCCCGTAAGTAGTAGATGGATGGCATTGTCCCGTAAGTAGTAGATGGATGGCATTGTCCCGTAAGTAGTAGATGGATGGCATTGTCCCGTAAGTAGTAGATGGATGGCATTGTCCCGTAATTAGTAGATGGATGGCATTGTCCCGTAAGTAGTAGATGGATGGCATTGTCCCGTAAGTAGTAGATGGATGGCATTGTCCCGTAAGTAGTAGATGGATGGCATTGTCCCGTAAGTAGTAGATGGATGGCATTGTCCCGTAAGTAGTAGATGGATGGCATTGTCCCGTAAGTAGTAGATGGATGGCATTGTCCCGTAAGTAGTAGATGGATGGCATTGTCCCGTAAGTAGTAGATGGATGGCATTGTCCCGTAAGTAGTAGATGGATGGCATTGTCCCATAAGTAGTAGATGGATGGCATTGTCCCGTAAGTAGTAGATGGATGGCATTGTCCCGTAATATTTGCATTGGCATCAAACATTGATAGAAATTTTGGGGTAAAAGTCCACTATATGACAGCCTGTTGTACCTTGAGAGCTGTTGTAAGTATTATTGAATCAAGTTACGATTTAAAACAGGGAAATTCGACCCCTAAAAATTGAATAAGATGGGAAATTCAACCCCTAAAAATAGAATAAGATGGAGAAATTCAACCCTTTAAAGTAGAATGTATAACAAGATCTGGATTATAAAGGATTACATCATCTCTCCAGAACTAGAATACAAATCTGATAAACTTATCTCAGCATTACACAAATAAAACCATCGAAGAATGTGTGGTTCCTGTATTGTGGCTATAGTGTGGTAGGTAGCCATTCATGAATTCCTTTAGGTGTACAGTACTAGATATCGTACCTCTTTTGCTGTTGTATGTAATGTATAGTGTAGATACAGCATCTGAAAGTTTTTTCCCATACATGACATGCCCCTTAAAGAGGAGAGTTTAATGAATTCTGTGAGGTTGAATATAGTGTATTTAAGACATTCAAACAATGTATGTGTGTATAGTGTGATAGGCATCAATTTTGTATATGGCTATAGTCAGGTAGGCATAATTGTTGTATATGGCTGTGGTATGGTAGGAATTTGTGTTTTATGTGGCTATAGTGTAACAGGCATCAGTTTTGTATATGGCTATAGACTGGTAGGTATCAGTGTTTTATGTGGCTATAATATAATAGGCATAGGTGTTGTATGTGGCTAAAGTGTGGTAGGCATCAGTGTCGAATGTAGCTATAGTGTGATAGGCATCAGTGTTGTATGTGGCTATAGTGTGATAGGCATCAGTGTTGTATGTGGCTATAGTCTGGTAGGCATCAGTGTTGTATGTGGCTATAATGTAACAGGCATCAGTGTTATATGTGGCTATTGTGTAAGAGCCATAAGTCTTGTATAATGTGACTATAGTGTGATAGCCATCAGTGTTAGATGGGATTGTAGTGTAATAGGCATCTGTGTTGAATATGGCTGCAGTGTGGTTGGCATTTGTGTTGTAGGGCTATGTGGCTACAATGTTATAGGCATCATTGTCTATGGCTCATTATAGAGTGGTATAAGCATCAGTGTTGTTGGGGATTGTTCTGGTACCTTGTAAAAGGAGACCATAAGACTCTTAAGACCGTGGAAAATTTCTAACCCATATTATATATGCATACATGTAGTGTCAGAATGGAGGTTGTCTGATAGAGCTTGCCCAGATCCTTGCTGTCATCATGATTGGCAAGCAGGTCATCAACAATGCCCAAGAGCTTATAATGCCGTAAGTTAATTTTTACATCTTGTAAATAGGAGGGGTCTCCCAGTTTTGAACTATTTACTCTTGATTTTAGCCTTTAGTATCTTTCGTGGAAGTAGCCAAGAATGATATTCATATTTATTACCTCACTGTAATGTTACACATTCTGTGATTGGTTAAACACAAGTTATGTAACAAAATATGGTTTGATATTTTCCTGTAATGCTAACAGTATCTCACTTGAAGTGTAACTATTTCTTACACTTTTTATATCCCAAGTTTTTCTCCACTTGAGTGTTTATCTTAGGGATCAGGAAACAGCCAGACTTTCAGGAAAAGCCAAGCTGAATCAGTGAAATCAAAAAATAAACAGGCATGCAAAAACACTCTCAATTTGTTTAGCTGCCATTGCGCTGAAAACTATTAACACTCCCAAATGCTATATAATAGGATACTATTGCAGATTTGCTATAATTTATATTAAAGCTTTAATTAGGTTTAGCTTGGGATGAAGAGTAGATAATATGCATGTATCAGTATGATGTGTCCTAACATAAATAATGATTGTTATTAAATAGAACACTAATCTGCATTGTTTAGATTTGTAAGATAGAAATTTGCATTTGATCAAAGCACATTGAAATGAAAAAGTGCATGTAGGAAATCCTCACAAGTACTCTTCAGATTTTATTTGTGTTTAAGATACCTGAGCCAAAACTACTAAAATGTAGGTGAATCAGGACTAATATTAGATGTGCATGTTCATTATAGGAAGGTGAAGGCTCAGTTGCGGAAGTGGAAATTAGGGACAGGGAAGAATGTTGAGAAATCTCGCTGGGAGGAAGACTATGAGCTCATAGAGGATGAGGGACTATTCTCAGAATATCTAGAAATGGGTACAAAACCATAATATCAAACTTATTTTCAAAACAATAGCTTTGTCTTCATTTTTTTTAACAAGGGATAATTCTAGTCTTGTATTTTTTGTCCACAAGTACATAAAATTATATCACATTTAATTTCCCTTAAATACTTTATTTGAGATATATTTTGGATATCTCAGAGTATTCTTAGGGTAGTTTTGCTAGCGCATGAATATTATACTCTTGGTTCATGGTTGAATGATAATAAGGAAATATATATTTTCCAGTGCTCCAATTTGGTTTCATCACAATATTCGTGGCTGCATTTCCCCTAGCACCACTATTTGCTCTCTTAAACAACTGGATTGAAATACGCCTTGATGCTGCCAAGTTTGTGACAGAGAATCGACGGCCTGTTGCGGAAAGAGCTCAAGATATAGGGGTCTGGTTCACTCTCCTGGATTCCTTAGCTCAACTGGCTGTAGTCAGCAATGTATGTACAGTAATAGTAATACAGTGTTACACCTGTGTAAATGAATATCTTTGGTTCCTCTAAAAAGCGTTCAACTTATGGTGTCATACCAGTATATTACATTATACTGTATGTACTGTATATGTAAACAATGAAGTGAAATAAATAAATTAGAAAAAAAAAATATATATATTACATTATACTGTAGTTAGGTTTTGCAAATAGAAGACAATGTTCACAACTGTTTATTTCTATCATTAAATGTTCACAATGATAAGTGATTTGATGAAATATATTTTGTTCAATTGGATCTGCATTTCTCATGAGTAACTTTCTGTTTTGTATGTCACCGTCAGAAGTGGATGGTGTTTGATGTTTGTAATAAATGGCAGGTGGCAACATTCTGCATGTTAAAACCTTGTCTTATAGTTGAATTTGTGTTGCTAAAAACTACTTTTCAATCTCTATATGGTACTCTCTGCGTTTTAGGCGTTTCTGATAGCATTCACATCGGAGTTCCTGCCCAAGATACTCTACAGATACCAGTATGACTCTGAACTAAAGGGCTATGTGAACTTCTCACTGGCTACATCACCCAATGGAACACTATCTCAAACTTGCAGGTACATCAAGATAATTTGGTCTGATTTTTGGATATGTTTTTTTTTATTTCTTATTGTTAGAATGCAAGCCAGCAATAAGTCAAAAAACTAAGATTTCACACATTTAGGCATCTTATTTTAATGTTGTTTACCAAAAACTCATTCGTCTAAAGTACAATATGATAATCTCCACATATTAGAAGGTTATTTGGAAGATATCTGAATTGATGGAGCTATCACTGCTTTCTCTGTACATCTTTATGTACATACACATACTTTGTTTTTGACAATGAATGTACATTTGTTTAGTCGAAGCAATCACCCATGCTGTAAATATTTGAACATAATGCATAATGAATTATCGTATGATCTGTAAAATCTCCGTAGCAATACAGAGGATCACACGATAAAAACGTTATTGAATGATTTGAAGTGCCATACAGGATATATTCTGTCTCGATATTCTTCGTCTCGTTCCAATACGGAATTCTGGAACAGAATATATCCTGTATGGCCCTTCAAATCATTCAATAACTTACAATATTTTACCAAGTTACCAAGTTAAAATGAATCCACTAGGTAATTGTACAAATAGTTTGAGAGCAAGTTATTAAAAAACATGAACATTTATTTTAGATATAAAGGGTTCCGAGACGATAACGGAGAGTATTCATTGTTCTACTGGCATTTACTGGCTCTCAGACTGGGCTTTGTAATACTGTTTGAGGTAAAACCATTTATATACATTCATTGACATTTTTATACGGCTAGTACCATTTATTTCAGATATATATATGAGCCAGGCCACAGGAAAAGGGGTCTTATCACAGATTTTTTCAATATTCTGATTTTTTGTTTATCTTAAAAAGCACAAAGATACCTTTCAAATGAGCCATGACTTATGTTTTAACAATTTTTCCTTGCATATATAGACCAAAATGTTGGATTTGAATTTAGCACATTTCCCTCTTAATCTTGGGCACAATTTTGGCTCTGTTGAACAATTTTAATTTTTGTGATAAGACCGGTTTTCCTATGGCCAGGCTCGTATATAATTATACATTAATTCAGATAATAAAGTTTGACAAGGTTAAAACAACATTATTGTCAAACTAAAAGATTAGAACTGATTAGGTGGTCTGTAAATTGTCTCATGCAAGTTATTGTTTCAGTTTCGGGGAAATAATTTTTTTATGGAATGATAGTCATCAATGAGGTAAAATTAAACTGAAGATAATTCTATGTTTATTTCAGCACATTGTGTTTGGTATTGGGAGGTTGATAGACTTCATGGTGCCAGATGTTCCAGAGAGTCTAGAAATCAAGATAAAGCGAGAGAAATACCTAGCCAAACAGGCACTGCAGGACTCCGAGGCCCTTGTTTTGGTAGGTGTTAAATGGCGTATATGTTTTGTGCAATATGCCAATGGTGACTCAAGTATCAACCAATCAGATTTCAATGAAGTGTATAACAGGGATCCGGATGAGTTGAAAAAATTATTAGCCAATGTTGCTAATATTTTCAAAAAATATTAGGCACTCTGAAAAATTAATCGCCAAAATATTTTTTATCAAGATATTAAAAGCGTACTTCAAACAAATTTCACATATCATCGTCCTCCTGACGCTACTGTATGTCAACCAAGGCATTTTGAAAATTTTGAATGTAGCATGACAAACAGATAGAATGAATGCAACAGAAAAACGAACAAAACAAGTTTCCAGATATGAGCAAATGTTGAATTTGCATTGACTCGAAAACAGGTTTTGTCGTCACAACTGATTCATTAAAATACCGAACGCAATGGATCTTATGAAGTTGCCCTGTGTTAAAGGTCCATGTGCAGTATGGCAAGTGATTTTAGAAAGTCATATCTTTCACCATGAGTATTTTCTGGGTATAAATACAGTGGTTTTTATCAAAACAATATGTTTTCTTTAAAGTGACGTCCCCATGATAGTAAAATATCAATCCCACTCTTTGAAAAATTATGGATTAGGACCCCACCTTCTCACTTTTTTTTAAAAAATGTTAGGCTTATTTTCTAAAGAGGATCTTGTTTTTCTCAATTTGAATGTATCAAAAGTTTCTTCTACACTATATGAATAACTTCTGAAAAGGGGATGGTTATTTAAATGCGATAAAGTTAAAAACCACATTTCCCGTGTTATTTTCCCAAAGGGAAAACTCATGCTATCCATTGTTTTCAGCATGATTTTGGTCATCGAAAATTGATATCTTCAAAACTAGACTTTCAATACCATTCTACTTTTGAAGATGTTTTAGACCCCTTGTTGAATAATGTTTTCATGCAATAAAAATCAGAAAAAGAAGATCTTCTTTTGAGCAAATAAGTTCAACATTTTGAAAAAATTGTTGACATGGGGTCCCTATTTATAATTTTTGGAATTGTTCGATTGATATTTTTATCATTATGGGGACTTCACTTGAAAGAAAGCATATTGTTTTAATAAAAAACACTGTATTTATACCCAGAAAGAACTCATGGTGAAAGATATGACTTGCCATACTGCACATGGACCTTTCCATTGAAACAAAAATAATTGTGCCATCTCATGGATGAAATGAAAGTTGAAAACTAAGGAATTTTCCCGATAATATATCTGTTTCTTGGATAGGTTCAGTACAAAGATCTTCACCACCATTGCAAATATTTAGATCAATATCTTCGTCAGGTGCTAAAAATATTCGCAAATGGCAAATGGTGACAGCTTATCTCGACCTCTGTGTATGATAAATTCAAAAAGCTTTTGAAGCTGCATAACTCTTTATAATATGCATTACATTCGTACTATTCTAGTATCAAATACATTGTTAGTGCATGGAACATGTTATTTCACAAAAATCCTTTAAAAACTGTTGTAGTGCAAACCTATAATTTGTTATATATATATTGTATTATGATTATAATTTCTGTTAAATATTGTACTGTAGTGAATATTGTTAACTATCGATGTTTGTTTTGATACTGAATAGCCACTTTTTCATTTCTAATTCTATTATATACATTCCTTTAATCTTGAGAATATAGACACAATTCATATGAGCAGAAGTATACAGAACTAAGGTGGCCATCTGAGGGAACAAGTCAATATTTTAGGGTCCCATAACATAATTAATAGCATTCAGATTGGCTCTTCCCCTCTACTAAAAATGTAATAATGGAACATAACAATTTTTAAAACTAAAAATTGATTTCATTCAATATTAAAGCTTTAGTACCTTTAATAATGCAATTTAATGAATTTCCCCCCCACAAGATGTTACTAATTATGTTTAAGAGGGTACATTAAAATATTGACATTGTCCCTTTAATGTTTTGTTTTTCATTAAACTATCAGCTAGGAGAAGAGACCATGGGATCTGCTGTTAAAACAAAAATGCAAGCAGTTGGTAGAATGTTGACTTTGAGCCATGACAAGAAGGCATAGCACTAAGTATTTACAAGTATATGCTGTGTGGGTGATTGATGCTTGTCATGATATGTTGTCATGACGTTTTGCGACAGACTTGCTTCTGATTTTATTATGTCTCCACCAAGTGGTGACATATTGTTATGGTCTCCATTTTTTGTGATGGCAGTTGACGATCGGCGGTTTGCGGTTTGTGTTTGTAACGAATGGTGGTGACATTTGCATGTTAATGCCTTGTTAGATTTTTTGTACCAATGTAGGTGGTCAGATCTTAAAGATGAGAGAAATTCAACAATATGTGTACAATTGACAAGAAATATTTTTTGTTGTCGGGGATTATGATATTTGTTGTTTAGTAATTTGACAAGGAAATCTGAAAAAACTTACCCATCCAAACGATAAGTTTCAATAGGAGGTCCTTGTGAGACTAAACACAACACAAACTATATTTCAAGTTGATGTATTTAACATGCTATATTATGAGTTCATGAAACTATTTGATGTTTTAAATATTCTGTATTGTCTGTACTGTTGGTTTCTCTCAAAACATTATGAATTGCATTTTTGTATGAGCTGTTGTTACATCAGCATGGCTTACGTGTGACTGAATGCTGTTACATCAGCATGGCTTACATGTGACTGAATGCTGTTACATCAGCATGGCTTACGTGTGACTGAATGCTGTTACATCAGCATGGCTTACATGTGGCTGAATGCATGTCATGCTTAGTGCTAGATATTACTAAATGTTTGAGTGTGTTACTTATAATTTTAGCTTGCTGGAAAACACTCTATACCAAGTAATTTAGAGGTGTGGAAGAAATCTCAGAGAGTCAGCACAAATTCTGCTTTGTTGTCCACACATTACACTGCATGTTCTGACAATGCCTTTGCCCATTCACATTGGTATAGAACACCATACTAGTATAAACGGAATTGTTTTGTTTAAGCATATTGTACTGTTAAAATGTTCATTGTTAAGTTCAGTTTAGGTCCTACACTGTTATTGTCTGTCCAGCTGTTCATACCTTAACTTTCTACTTAAACCTATTCAGGAAAAGGGTTTTCCTTTTCTTCACTTTTCACATACCTCTTGAATGCTTCAGTCTGCTTTTGAGTAGATGTGTATTCATCCAAAACATATTGAAGATAAAGCAGAACACATCGTCAGATTTATTTAAATGGTCCAATTTATTGAAATGGTTCAAATTATGAAATGGTCCAATTTATTAAAATGGTTCACATTATTGAAATGTTTCAATTAATTGAATTAGGCTAGACAGACATTTAGGGCCCTTATAGGGGAATCAATAACTTTTAAATTAATGTTCTCCATAGCTTAGTTTATTTAAGATACAGACTCATATGCCATATCTTTAAATTGCTCTTGTTTATCTATATTTATCTATATTTATTTCTGTCTCTGTGAAACATAAGGATAAGGTCTTTAAATTAAAATAACACTTGTCATTCCTGGATGTTTTATCTTCTTTTTTGATGCATTCAGAATTTTTGCATTGTCATAATATTTGAACAGTTTCACCAATAAACTGTCATAGATTTCCTCAAAATGATCTCATTTTCTTCCAACAATGTTTCGCAAAAACAAAAGCTTAATGTCAATGAAAATGTGACCTTTACGGAAAAAACCATGAAGGGTATGACTGTGTAATATTTTTCATTTAGCCTTTGTTTACTATCTAGGCATTGTACAGGAATTGGACTTACAGTACCAGGAGCATTAGTCCTAATCCACTATTGTCAGGTTGCTATACTGTGTTGCCTTGGTTTAGTGCTGCCATAAACACTGATTTGCATTCCTTGAGACCAGGATATCTTTTTTTGGTGTTGAAGCTGACTTGTGTGCATGACTTCTTGTTTTGATTTGTTTAGTATCATCTTTTGAAAATGAAGAATTGTGGTTTGATATATTGAGTTCAATGTAATTTTTTATCTCGATTCTGAACAATTCACATTATCTCATTATTTGAGCATAAATGTCACATTGTCCCTTCAGGCATCTACCTTTTTGCGCATATATATGAGGGCCAGGAAAAATGTTTCCCATCACTGGATCAGGTGACATGTCATCTAAAAATTTTAAGAAAAAAGAGGAGACAGGGTATCGTCTCTGGTACAATTTATACAATGTACACTTTGTATTATTTTCAATTTTGAAACTGCTTATGAAATGCATATGCATACGGTACTTAATGTGCTCTTTTTGAAAAAATATTTTCGAGGAACTATTTTATCTTCTTTTTTTGATGCATTCAGAATTTTTCATACAAAAAAGGAAAAATCAGAAAAGTTGATGACCTGACACAAGCTTAAGAATTTTTCCTGGCCTTATATTTGTTCATTATGTGACGTGTTATACCCATGATGCTCTAATAATAAGATTGAACCTTGAGGTAGAAGAATGTTCCGCATACATAATGGTCCCCCTACAATTTTTCCAAGTGACTTATGAAGTGCTTATTTAAAATAAGAAGGCTGTATTGCACTATAGTTTTCTGCTGTGCAAAAGTAAATGCATCCTTTGTGTGTTTGTGCATGTTTATGTTTATTAGTACTGTAGTAGAATTCTAGTTTTCTGTACTTTTGCATGCTGACTTTTGTATTTGTTTAAATTCTGTTTAAGATTTTCTACTTCTTCACCTAAGTACAACATGTATACATGTTGCAAATTCTTAGAGTGCATGTATTGTTGTGGTTTGATGATTTGCGAATTCAGTTGATTTTTTATGCATTCTAATTTCTTCTGAAACACTAAGTAAATATGTAAATTGAAAGTCTTACTATCGCATTATATTTTTGACACAACTTACTGTAAAAAATAATGAGATGAAGACAAAAAGAAAAAGTATAAATCTATAAAGATTTATGTCTCGGGTTAAAATATATTCAATTGATCTATTTTTATTTCATTACACAGATTAATTGATGAAAAATGAAATCTTTACTGTAACTATTATATCCAATGCATATGGGTATATACGCATTGCTATTGCTTTAACGACTTGAATTAAGGCAAGGATTGAAATGAATCCATTCAGCACTTATGTCTGGTACGGTTGCCTATGAGCTGAAAAAGATCATTCAAATGTAATTTCCTCTGTTTTGTTGTTCAGCAAATATGTCAACATAACACACTTTCTAAATCAGACTTATAGAATTCTGGGATTTCATCTTGTAAATGTTACCATTTGAACAGTTTGCATTACTTAACCCTTACATGACTATGGGGTGTTTGTTATTTATACATGTATTTTGGATCTCCTTCAGTTTTGTTACTAGGCATGGAAGTATTAATTTACAATTGTGATGTTGTATCGTGTAAAGTATGTACAAGGCTAATGGATAGTCTTGTATAGTATAACGAGGATCATATACTAAGCTGTCCATCTCAAAATTGAGTGTAGTGATTTGTATGTGATTATACCTCATTTCACCAAGTTAATGTGTCAAACAAATGATTTAGAAGACAAAAAAAATTCTAAATGAGCTGAAACATGGGCTATCTCAAGAAAGTTCATGTTAGAAATGACAGCCATATTTTAAGATGGACCCTGAGTTAGTGATCCATATATACATTTGATATACATGTGTTAATTTATGTTTATTTGTCTTACAGACAGCTGATGGTGCAGATGATGCTAAACCAGACTCAACCACACTCCAAGTTCCAACTGTATAACTTGGAAATACATTATCCCAATCAAATTGGAGAACATACAGATTTAAAGTGTCATCCAGCACAGAATGTGTCATCACATTACACAGAGCGTGTCATCACTTGGTCAGCTGACGCTTTAGCACATGATTGTATGGTGACAACATACAAAGTATTAATCACATAGTGACATACTGAGTATGACCATAGTGACAGTGTAACCATAGATACAGAGTGTGCTATCTTAGTAGAACATACTTAATAATCTCACAGTGACTATCTAACCAGTCGCAGAGTGACAAAATAAGAAATCAAACAGTGATAAACTAAAAAATCACCAAGTGACAAGCACATTGTGACATACTAGTAAGCACATAGTGACGGTGAGTGTTCAGATGAGAAACTGATGACACAATAGCAGAAGATAATCTTGATGGTGTTGAGACCAGCGTTACCATGGAGACATTACTCAAAGACATTACCCATGTGATCAGTCACTTAAATTGACCAACAATCACAGTGGATAATTTTACCAAAGCAATTTGAGATAATCTAAACACCTGAAAATGTGTTTGAGCGATATTATACAAATACTGGATGTTCAGGAGCTGGATATGGAGGAATACCTTTTCAAGATATGCCTTGCCCAATATATTTTCAAGGATAGATATTCTGGCCATATCCAGCTCCTGATCACCTAGTATTTGTTTTATTATGCACCTTCTCAGCCAAGCTTTTGAGTGTACACATTTTTAAAACCTATATATACACCAAAGCGAAAAAGCAAGTATTAGAAAAGTATTGGTCAGTTTATTAAAGTGCCAGATATGGCCAAATTACCAGCAGCTTAAAACCAATCAGATTCCAGTATCTAGAAAAGGTGCATAATAAAAAATATATTTCTTTATGTCAAAGGCTCATAAATATATATACAATTAGATATATAGGTACATGTATTTTACATAAAATGTATGTATAATTTTACAACTTTCAATATTAATTATTTAAATCTAACTCATTCTTAACACTATTTTAGGTTAGATAATAATTATTATTACCACCTTGCCTGGCCAGTTCTAGGGGTTTTATTGCTAGTTTAGAAGGCGTTCATTTTACTATATGGACCTGAGAAATGTGTGACGTCATAGTGGTAGTCCATATGGACCGGTCTAGAATATATTCTGGACCGGCAATTTTCCCCGGGAAATTAGATATCGTTCAATGCGTAAAATTTTCTTGCTGTTTCAGTCCTGGTCGTTAACGAAGGCCCAAGGTCCAATATTTCACTATATTGCCCTTAGAAATGACGTTATTGTACTATTAATCCCCTTTCAAATACTTCTGGTAAAATCATACAGGAATTTCTCATAACAATGCCCTTCAAGCAAACCCCCATGGCCGAAAATTCTTTCAAAATCATGCAGTTTTTCACCATTCTGAGCACTTTTGGTGAGTGATTTTGGCCATATTTGAACCCCCTGGAATTTTTTAAAAAGTGAACCCCCCTTGGCAAAAGCTGCCTACGGGCCTGGGTATTACATAGATATATTCAAAATAATTATCGATCTTTTGGTTTTCCATAAAATATAGAGTTATTGCGCTGTTATTGTCTGTATGCCCTCATTGGCTGGAGTTGGTATAACGAGATGGCACACAGATGCACTTACATGTACTCCCTAACTTGCATAGTGTCTTTCATAGTGCAATAGCTTTGTACATGTATAATGAAACCCTCATTTATATCTTATCTTATTGCTTAATATGGCCCAGTTGTTCAATATGAATGTTTGTGTCAAATTGATTATGCTTATTTAAAATTTGTGATACTAAATAGATATATTATATGTTATATTTATATTTGAAGGTATGGTTTTTAAAATACAATGTTTATGATACAATGCTAGGTAGTGTGCTTCACAACTTTTTCACAGTTTTTTTAATCCTGTCAACTTTTCCATGATTCATTTATCATTTATTAAGTAAAACTGGGGTAGATAGTGATAAATGTTACACTGTGATGTATGCATGTATTGTGCACTGTCTGACATTGCGTTTTATATTCTTGCCTAGTAGGTTACCATGGTGATGAAACATGTTGTATTAATAACATTATGAACAGTTTTCAGAAGATTTCTTCATATTAACTGTTATTAAATAGAGAGAGCTTTTTCAAAGAAATGATAAATGAGAGGTGGTCTACATATATCTGAAGGAATGTTTAAGATTTGAGAGTTCATATACAGGGTGATCAATAAATAAGGTAAAAGTATCTGGCATTTTGTAAATATTGGTCCAAACATCCTGAAATTTGGTCAGAATATACCTTGTACATTTCTAAATTAAAACATATAAATATATAACTTATGCCATCTGATTGGTTAATATTATAGTAACTATGGCAACTGGAGTTGGGGGTACCCGGGGCAATTTCATTGCGTCCAATTTGAACAAAAAATGATAAAAAGCACATCTTTTTCAAACTGAAAAGAAATAAACGTGGGTGCCAGCAGTAATTGTATTAATACTTTGTTTACATTGTTACATATTTTCTTGCAAATTTGATGTTTGACGTCATGGAAAAAATTAATATACATGTATAATGAAAACTGATGTGATCATAGAAAGTCTATGACACAGGTCAATTATGAAAACCAATACTCACAGAAGACATTTGATGAGAGAAAAGAGGAAGAAGCTAAGACTAAGAGGCCTGCAAAACGTTTCACATTGCACTGGGATAATGCTCCGTCTCACAATGCTATTCTTAGGTACAAACCATTGACTCACTGGGTTTCCCACTGTAAGGTCATGTACTTTACTCTCCTGACTTGTCCCCTTATGATTTTACCGTCATGGTGAGCTGAAGAGGGAGTTTAGAGAGTTTCTCATGGGATGACTTGAGGCCAGCTGTCTTGTAAATTTGCAGGCTATGGGAAAATGGGTTTAAAAGGTGTTCATAGACTGGAGAAGAAGACATGAACTATATGTTAAAAACAAAGGACATTAAGTGGCAGTTATGAAGTATAAAATAAGAATATGATATGTCATTTTAATTGTGATTTGAAATATATTATCAAAAGCGTTTCGACTGAAAATTTAGATATTTGATAGTTGCCCCGGGTCTTCATGCTTTCTGTTGCTATGGCAACTATGACTTCAACCAATCACATCACTTTGATCTGTAACTTGATATATCAATTCAGTAATGTTTGAACATTATTCTGTGAAAATTTTATGAGGATTGGGTAAAATCTGAAGAAATGTCAGATACTTTTACCTTATTTATTGATCACCCTGTATAAACTGTATCTTTCACTTGTGCACATTCCATCCATATACGAACTGAATCTTTCACTCATGCACATTCAATCTATGAACTGTATCTTTCCCTCATATACATTTAATCTATGAACTGTATATTTCACTCATGTACATTCCATCTATGAACTGTATCTATCACTTGTGTACATTCCATTTATAGATTGTACATTTCACTCTCACATTAAATTCGTTTTAGTTATTATGTCACCAACACTTCACCAGAAGTGGTGACATATTGTTATCATAGGCTTTCAATTAGATTCTAGTTGAAAGCCCATGATTGTTATAGTCTCTAACTTTTTTGTGGCAGATGGTGACATTTTGCATGTTAATATATGTTAATGACTTGTTAATATATCCCTCTGCAGTTATTCTTTCATAGAATTTTTATAAAGTTTAAGAAAAAAAAGAAAAAAATCTCATCTAGGTCTCATTTAAGTTTCCGATGATGTATTCTTGCATCAGACCCCTATGGTTTCCCCTCTACACAGCGTCTACAGTCTCTCTAATACAGGTTGGTTGAATATTATAGGCAGTAGGAGATGAGAGACAGGGGCATGGTGCAAGACATACACGTTCACTTTACTTATCTGTAATTAAAAGTTAAACCATTGTAACCAGTAAGAAGCGTTGTTAAAGAGGTTTTCGCTCTTGCGAAATAAAACTATTGAATATAAAGTGTATGATATGTGAAAATAAAGCTGTTTTATCAAAAGTGAGACAAGCTTGTTCTATTTCTTCATAATTTTTCATTTATAAATGATAGTTATCCCAAACACATCCCCTCTAGGTACTCTCAGACAACTCGCCTGTAGGGGCAAAGGTATCCATAACTTTACTGTAGTTACACACACCCCATCTGCATTGAAAAATAAATAAAAGTGCTTTTTAACAAAACATCCACTAGAATTGGGAATTCATCCTTTTCAACATCCCTAAATAATAAAAGGAAAAATATACAATTTCACGAACTTGAACTTGAGCAACCACTATCAGGAATGTAAATACATTTTATTCAAATCTAGTAATCTGGAAGAGAGTCAATTACAAGATAAAATTGAATTAATAATTGGGTAGGTCTATAATATTGATCTTAACCTATCATTATAACTGGTCAATATTTATATTGGATATTTTCTATTAATTTCATTCACATCAGTCCGTCTATTCATATTTATTTCATGATCACTAAGATTTGGATTTCTCTCCAACGCGTATTAGTTTCAAAGAAAAAAACGATCAATGATAATGTGGAGCTGTCTGCATTTGTCCATGGAGTTGAAAACGAAGAAGTATATCGTTCATAAATCCTGGATAAAAACGATCAGATGATTTCCTTCTTTTCCGAGAAAAAGGTTCAACACCAGCGTGTTGGAAACCAGGTTCGTAATCTATAATGGGAATGTAAAAACAGTTTACTCATTATGTCATCATGCCACACAAATAATGGCAATTTATTCATTTCCAATTGGAGATTGTTCACCATCGTTAGTGAGTATGTACGATGTGCATCCGAATGTGAGTTGAGTAAACGTCAAGTCAAGAGTCAGAAAAACCTTCATTTGAATGGGACAAAAATCACAAATATACGCATAAACATAACGTCGCACTATAGTCATTTTGAAAGTTCGGATATAACTGAAGTAAATGAATCTTGAACAGAAATGGGTTCTCTAAAATTAGCTATATTGCACATTACGTGATATAGATTCCTTCAAATTTTTTCTTTGATCAAATCATTCAATCTCTCTCTTTTATTAAATTCAACCAAATTTTCATACGCTCTCGTCCATCAGAAATCCTCATCATACTTTTGATATTTTCGAATTTCCTCTTCTATTCTCCATTTTTACGTATACGCAACTGGATGGCAATTTTTCTTCTTTATTCAAAAGAAATTGGAAGATAGAAGACGCTGTGAGCATCAGAATGATCTCCTCTTAGAGAAGAAATCAGGCTCATGACCAGTACCCGTTCTCCCCCCCCCCTTGGGTAATTTTTTCAAGATCATACAGTTTTCACCATTTTGAACACTTCTCAAATGATTTTGGGCCAAAATTAGAAATTGGAATTTTCTTAAAAACTGAACACATTGGCGCTGGCAAAAGGTGGCTATGGGCCTGCCTCCCAATAATCAATTATGCAATTGTACTTTAATTTGAAACACAAGAATTGATAAAAAAAAATCGCATAATAGTATACTTATAGATTTTTTCATAATAAATGGTTGATATATAATTTATCATTTAGTATTCAAACATACCATCGGAAAATGATATGGAACATAATGAATTATGGTTGTTTCTCGAGTACGTAATTATCAAATCACCATGATGGACAGAAAGCCAATATTAGAAGGACCCCATTGTTTACCAACGCCAAGTTTTTCTATTCATATATCTGTATCTATTTCTGGAATAGACTCTATAAAAGATTTAAATAGAGTACCTGGGTGTCAGGCTAAAAGCATTGGTGCCATTACCTGATACTTGATGGGATTTTTATTATTGTATAAGGTATTGTTTACAGACCGGTCTTCAATGCATTTATCTGTTTCTTAGATCGTATAGGTGTGTTGGCTTGTTATTTGTTTTACACGATCATTACATATTGAAATTACTTACAAACGAATGTATTGTATTATTCCTATTGTATTATTCTTATTCTAGAAACATAAAAGAGATAATGGACATCCATTAGTTTATTAGAGTGTCAGTTTGAATAGTTTATAAGACATAATCAGGGCTGTCAACTTGGGACCACCTAATATGAGTGACTTCAAAATGTTGGACACCTAAGTCCAAATCTGAACACTTTTGTCCAAATTTTGAACACCTTTGGCCAACTTTTAAACACCTTTGGCCAAAGTTTGAGCACCTTTGCCAAACTTTGAACACCTAGGGTAGGTACGAAAAATTTCCAATGAACATGCGTGACACATACGGGATTCGCGTGACAAATCCGAACAAATTGTGTTCGGTTTTTTCCGGCGTTCGTATTTTTACCGTATCGTAAACATATTTCGAAAAAATGTCTACAGAAATATTTTTGCTTGACAATTACCAGGTAAAATGCGTATTTTGCGTGACATTTTCTGTCACGCAAAAAATACTGGCGTGACTTCAAATTCTTCAGCAAATGCGTGACAAATACGCAAATTGCGGGACAGTTGACAGGCCTGCATAATATAAGTGTTTGGTATTTACTAGTTACCTGTAGTCAGCTTTACAGAGGGGTGGATTATTTGTAATGTTTTTTTTGTATTGAAAGTATTTTATCTTGAAAGTATTGAGTCTGTAATTGTGTTTGAAAGTATGGTTGCGAGAACATTTGTCTACGACGGTTCCGTTATATAGGCCTATATTTGAGTGTTGATGAGACAAAAACCAATACTCATTTAAAATTAATTCAAGTCGACATAAAATAAACAGACATATGTGCTACTGTCCAATATTTATACAATATATGTTGTTGGCGATCTTTGGTCCAACAATTGAATGAGTCCATTAGACGCACTTATCATACCGATTTACGCCTTTTTGTTGGATATTAGAATATTTTAATACCACAAATAAAATCTGGTATGGGCGTACCATCATTTTTCAGAAATATTTTTTCCCACGCTTTGTTCTACTAAAATGAAATTCAAAGGTACAATTTCCTTTAGACTGTTGCCTCACTTAGTTTAGATACAGGATCTATATCAGGCGAGGCCAAGGAGGTATACCTTTGGACTTCATTCTACAGTATTAAATGTATTAAATTAAAATCAGGTAGATATGCATATCTCCCTCTGGATAAACGATGGGCTTTTAGAAAACCTTCCAGTAGATAACCCTTATTTATTTGTGTGTCTGTAATGTTGGTAATACATTTTCCTCGACTGACTCATGCTTGCCTACGCCAATGACTTCTGAAAATGTACGGAGTAATGACACTAAGCAAGATACTATAAAATGGAGGTCTAAACATTGTGACATCGATGTGAATAAACTAAATATGTATACAAATACACACCTCACTCTTACACATATTACACAAGGTATACCCGTATAAAACATATAACCATACATGTACATTTCAAACAAGGTGAAAATGCCAGAAATGCTTTGGGGTTTCCGTGTTTTAATGACGGCAAAGTTATATCTATTTAGATGCCATCCAACTAAAATTGAAGTTGAGTCTTTTCATCCTTTCTATTTCTGCAATTCAGAGGTCACCGTTTTCACCGATTGCCTTGACTCCGAGACGCCTGTCATCCTTGTCACCGACATGCTCTGGTTATTTGCCTTTCGCGATTTCTTTTTACCACACAGTTTGGCAAGTTCTCCACGAAACTTACTTCCCGAAACGCAATATAAGAAAAAGTTAATAGCGTTATTGATATATGCGATATTACTTACAATCGCATATGTCATCTCATCCCTCCATATCGCTTGTGAGTTTTCGTATTCATAAGAGAAACTTTGCGTTGTGAGGTAAACGGCCATCGGGAGTGTTAGGCAGACGAACACGACGCTAATACTAAGGAGCATTACCGTCATCGAGCGTGAATTGTCGTTCCCACCGCTTCCCATCTCGTTCCGTTGCTTAGATACTCTTGCCAGCTGCACTGATATCATGATATTTGACACAATTAGAATCAAGAACGGCAGTGCGGACGAAAGTGCAAGGTCAACCCACATCCATACTCGTAAATCAAAAGAATCCTCGAAAATGGGTTGAAATTGGCAATACAATTCACCATAGTTGAATGAGACTGAGTAAGTAAGAAACCAATGTGAGTTAATGGCTCCGAGAATGATGACCATAGTGGTGGATATGATAAGGGCATTGCGTTTGGTGCTGATGAACCGCGCCTGCAATGGTAAATATACCGTAATGACCCTGTCAATACTGACGGCGACCAGCAACCAGCCGGATAGATGAATGCACAAGTAAAGAACAAAGTGATGTGTTTTACATATCCAGGCCATCAGATCTCTGATGTCAATCTCCCAACTGTAGTTAATCCAGTGTCTGAGAGCTCCGGTCAGAAGTGTGAGGGCATCGGCAGTGGCTAGGAAAGTAAGGTAAACACTGGGTGTAGTCCGCTTCATTCCAGTCCCTTGCATCACCATGATTGTCAATACACTTCCCACAACACCAATTAGGATCACTACTGGGCACAGATACTTCCAAAGTGCTACAGCGATACGATGTTCAACATAATTATCAGGATCTGCCCACATGTTGTATGGCGCCTCGGTCAAAGTGCTATCAGATACGTTGGCATCATCGGATGTGTCGTTTGTTGTACTGTTGGCCATGTCAGTGACAAATGTAGAGATTGTAGTTGTCATACTTTTCGTATATCGGACGCTGCTCTACTCACCAAAGGCTATAAAAGAAGTGAATGCTGTAAGTGATTAAAAAGCAATTAAAAACTAAGACCTCGCTGTATTTACCATTAAACAAAAAGTGATTTCCATATTATGTGGCCAAGAGCTTTCAAAAGATTGATGAATATTATTGAGGTTTGCTTCTTCAGTTAGAGTTGTTTTAAGACCTTTACTATTTTTGCTTTTATCTAGTTTTATCGATATCTATTCCATTTCTTTTAAAAAATCATAACTAATATAATATGACAACATTTCTATATTTGGAAATGCAAGATACGATCAATTTTTGATAACATTCACTCAATAAATGCATAAAAATGCCGAACATCAACTATTTAAAATTACTCCTCCATATACGTACTGCTTTAACGTGCAGCAGTAAATAGAAAATACAAATTACAAGAGGAAACATAAGAATTAATGTTAAATATTAAAATCGAATACAAAAAAATAAATTACAAACCTCACTTTTTTTTTTAATTTGGTAATTTGTCCCAGCCTGTATTTGACATGTACTGGAGATGAAATCATAACACGCAGTCCTTCAATTGAAGTTGCTTGTCTTGTACATTTTTGTACCTTTCCCGAAAGCGAATCCAAATCTTTTTATCTGTACTGATAATGCCTACAGTTTATATGACAATCTTGAACTTTTTTTATTTTAATTAGTTTCACTACTACTTTACCTCATGTAGGTTTAGAACCTGCTTCTATCCCTTTTACACAAATTGTGGTTTCTGACTAGTTCCTTGGTAATATATTCTTCAAATGCATCGGTTTTTATCCGTTTGTCTCTACAGAAGGCGATTCCAGTATATCTTGTTTAAATACATGGTGATTAAAAAGCAGCCATCTAGAACAAAGGTTAAATGACACTTCCTTCTGATCGTTATTACATGTTAATTTAGCGCATAAAAGTGTGACCTGTATATTTGGTATGTTTGTTTTGAGAGATGCTTTTAAAACGTAATTGCGCAATTGATTGTGAAAACTCCCCACTTAACATCACAAAATATTTCATAGACTTATATAATTTTTTGAAAAAAAGTATCAGATTCATATGTGATTCATAGTGTTTATTCTGTTTTATTTGATTCTTAATTTTGACTTTATCACATTTGAATATGCACCATAAAACCTGTAAAGTAGAACACCTCTGTAAATGGGACACCTTTAAAAGTGAACATTTAACATTTATCAATTACGTAATATGTAATGATTTTCTGCAAGTGGAGGGTCTCCAAAATGGAACACTATTTCGAGGTACGAAAGTGTTCCACTTACACAGGTTTTATTATAATTTCAACAGAAAACAACCCCCTAAAGTTAATTCTTTATTCTCGGACCGGACTTACAATACAAGGGACGAAGATAAGATAATGATAATTAGAATTGTAATTGTGTTCAGGATTTTTCAATCACCCTGTATGATGCTTGTATGCGTATTAATCGCAAATATGGTCTAATGAGATGAAAATAATCCTACGCCAAGTTTTCTTCTAATATTTTATGACTTACCATATTTCAAAAAGGGAATGATTTCAAGAGTTTAAAGGGTATAAATACTACAATGTAAAAATTTACCCATGTGAAATGTGATACCAACGCCAACTTCATCATCCGCAGAGGTAAAACTGAAAGACAAACGCATGCTATGGAGAATGGCAAATCACTAAAAAGTTATCTGTGCGGAATATGAGTGCTGAACAAATAAAAGACTACTGGAATGAAATATAAAGTATGTGTAATTAACTTGAGTATGCGATGGATCATTCTATTGTTTGTAGAACGGAAACTTGATATCAACAATACAAAATCATTCGGAAGAAACAGATAATCTGAAATCTTACTTGTTTACTCGCATTATTCCTTCAAAGATAATAGAAAGAGTCGAAATACCTTTTATTATGGGATCAATATAATTCGTAGGAAGAGATCAGTTAACGGTAATCCCAAGAGCTGCGTAAACACCCGCCTTTAAAACATTCTAACAATTACGTTCAACCAACCTTTACCTACCGGAAATTCACGTCTTATTCAAATATTTTTCAAAAGCATGTAGCTTGACGTCAATAGTATCATATATTGCGCGATGAAAGTATATTTGGATGAAAAGTCATTAAATGGCTTTTGAATTATAAAGGTAATTTTGCATCCTTTGCGGAATTTTTAAGATGCTGTAAGACATGTAAGATGAGATAAGATAAGATATAAGATAAGATATAATTAAAGTGAATGTTCCTCATCTGAAAACCACATATAGACAATACATTTCTTTTTATGGTCAAAAGGACACTGAGTCAAAGAAGTTTACAAAACAACAGGATTCTTATAAAAACTTGAACCATTTTCTGGTATGCTTTTAGAGAATATTGATGAAAGGGTTAGTATCGATATGGTGAACTGAATTGAACATATGTTTCTCTTAAACCAGTCATCAAAAAATAATAATAATTTTCTCTATATTGTTTTAGAAACCACATCAGACACTTTTTTGTTCTTGATATGATTATATTCGGAATGAAATGAAACATCTATCTGAACTTCATTGGAACAAAATGATATATACACAACGTGTTTAGGTTTCACAATATTTTAATTGCATAAAAAAATGTTAACAAAAAAAACAGTTATGTAAAATATATATGAATAATTTTCGTATTTCAAAAATTGGCTTTTGATGAAAACAATGTTGAATTCAGTTCACCATATTGATGCCAATCCTCTGTTTTGGTTATTGGATTCCTGGGGATTATAAGAGTTCGCAACGCACTTATTACAACGGGTGTGTACTACGTCATCATTTGTTGCGCAGCTCTATCCATTTATATATGCGCTTATACATAGCTTATGTTAACAAATGTTAATAACTCCGTCTTCTTTCATTCTACCTTTTTGGTCTTCTTCTTATGGTCACAATTGTTTCGAAAAACATGCTCCAAATGCTGAAAGATCATCCGATATGAATCTCCAAACTTTTATCTTTGGAGCCTTTTCAAAGACTGGGAATTGGACCAACACTCTGAAATTGGTCAGAATGCACCAAATGATGTTCAATTTTCTGGGGGAGAGCCCCCATTACCCCTCCCCCCCCCCTATTCTAAACGCGCCCACCCCTAACGCAAAATCCTGGATCCGCCCCTGGTATTTACAATTGTATTTCCTTTTTGCGAATAATCACGAACTTTCAATCTGTAGAAGTTCTAGTAGCTGTATCTCATTTTGGTTTCTGATGGAAAAAAGATGTCAGCAGTATATATTGTAAGGATGTTAATCTTAAAAAACATCAAGGCATTCGGAATGCCCAATAGATGGAGACGGGAAGAGTATAGCATTTAAAGAAATTCAATGTGCTTCGTTTGTATATGATGTATAGTTTTGACGATTTTACCACCCGAGACAAAATTACAAAATCAAAGTGACAAAAGATAAAAATACTATGTCGATTTCAAAGAAATTTCTGAGTTTCCAGCAAAGTTGAACGTGTGTATTCAACACGTATTGTATTTTTGGGATTTTGATGATGATGAATAGGCCGCATTGTTCCTTGGGATGCAAGCCTTATTCTTTTACGCCAGTAATGCTTTTCAATATTCTTATTTTGATTTATTTTTTGGTCCCTTTATATGTGCATTTTACATATGAATTTAATTATTTCAGCTAACGCGTCAGCTAACGCGTCAGACCAAAAAGTGCAAAAACAAGACGTGTCGATATTTTGGGGATTATTTCATATTCTTAGTTTCAATTTACAATTTATTTCCAACAGCAAGGGATTTCCGTGATGTCGTAATTAGTGTTATATATAATATTATTTTGATGTCGAAGACTTTTGGAATCATTATTGGTATTCAGCAGCAAATAGCAAATTCGTCGCCTTTAGATGCCTTAGAGAAAGACGGCAGTTAATGAATTAGGCTTATAGGATTTAGACATGCAACGCACCATAAAGGAAGTTTTACACTAAAAAAGATGGCTCTATAATATTGCACAGGAGCAAGCAAGAGGAAGAATAACCCGAGAGTTCAAAGGCATACGCTTGAAATGTTAACCCGTATTGACAAGACATACATCTCTGATTGATCAAAATCGCCAAACAAATTACGTCATCAATGGTGGCTTCAAAATTTTCGAAATACGCTTCAAATAACATAGGCCTAATGTTCATTTCTGCCATGTTAATCAGTTAAAAACAAGTTGGTAACCGACTCATTTTGTAGCATAATTATGACACCGTACAGTACTACTTGAAAGGAGGCTTGATCAGTTTGATGTATATTCAGATATTATCTACAAGTACTGATCGAATTAAGATTTATTTTTCTAACAATTGCACCATTGCACTTTTAGCTTCTTGGGTAATTTTTGGATAAAGTTTGTTCGGGGCTTCTACCTCGGCAGATCCATGGCGACCCAGTCAATCAATGGTGCTGATACAACTACTTGAATTGTCTACCTACATTATAAAGTTCGCACAGCACTGAACACTGAATGAAGCACTCATATCAATGATCTAAATTGATATGATTATCCCAACAACCGAAGGCCGAGGCAGTACTGGGGTAGAATCCGTCCGTCTGTCTGTCCGTCAGTCAGTCTGTATCTGTTTGGACAATACCTCTAATAGTACTAAACCGATTTTATGTGATAGTATAAAATGTTTTAAAAGTGGTTATACGTAAAATTAAAACCCCATCTTTTTTTTAAAATGGCGGTCAATTTTCGAAAATCTAAGCTACAACTTTAACCAAACAAGGAACATTTAAGCCTTGTAAGAAGTCTGGCATCTCCACGAATTTAGAATGCATTGGTATGTAGTTATAGGTTAGGATTTGTGAATAAGGTGGGGGCAATGGGACGTAAGTGATAGAGTGTCAATTTATGCTCTGCGAATTCGAAATTGATACCGAATACGAGAAATTAGACGCATATATAGGCCTACGTACATTATAATTAGTTGAATGTATTTGGGAGTAATTCATACATCACATATCTTCAAAATTCAAAATGGTAAACCAAATACGAAAATTCTCATTTCAAATTACACCTTTATTTCAAAAGAAATCTATTTAAGTAGGTAAAAACGTTTAGTACTATCGTACTATTCCTCCAGGAAGAAGGGGGAACTTATTGGATGACGTCTGAAACCCTGCGTTCGGAGGATTGGGCGTAGCCAGGATCGATCAAAGTCAAAAATTAAGATTAATATTTTTCAGTGTCAAATTTTGACTTGCCTTTTGACTTAAAATAAGTAATTGAATGTTACTTTGAATAAATACTGCATTTGTCATACAATAGAGTAGATGCGAGTAGAAATGATCTTGATTTACGTCATTAAATATTAAAAATTCAGTCGAAGTGATGTCATATTTGAAATCTACATGTAAAAATACATCTAAAAATATGGTTTCGAAAAGTGTTTATCAACTTTGAAAATTTAATCTTTTTTGAAAATGTGACTTCTAGTTCGGGTTGAACCACTAAAACAGATGTGATTTAAGTTAAAGGGAACTTTCTACTATACCCGCCATGCTATCTGACCCGAGCGAGCCACCTGGTGGTGAAACTGGTAACTACCTCCTCGCATTTGCGTTATTGAACGTGAATACTATATCTAAAAGATAAAAATCTCTCCAAATTTGACTTAAGAGAACATGTTTTTTTCAATGATATTTGTTACAACGTGGAATTGCCGTTTCCTACTAGATATATTCGAAAATTAACACGCTCTCGTATGTTCTTTGATAAGATAAGTATAAGGCATAACTGTGGTAATGACGAATGGATAACACTTGCATTAACCCGCCCTTCTTTGAGGTGAATCGCCGCTTCGCTTGGGCAAAAAATGGGTTGTGGTTTAAGAACTCTACCCCGTCTTATCAAAATATTACAAGAATTAGTAGCATGGAGTTGCAATATAGCAGACGATCTTACCAACGTTTAAGATGACATATTACATAAACCCGTTCTACACGTTATCTGTAGAAATTGAAATAGTGAGCACAATTTGTCGTGTTCTTCAAATGTGGAAATAGCATAATGCCTTTTTACTAAAACCTTTCTAATTCCACTTATTTCCACTATGTTCCACGGCTTTCAACGGAAAACATAATTTTCTCGGTATTATACAAGCGGGTCTTGCCTTGCTCGGATAGTGCTGTGTTTCTGCCTTACTAGTTACTTATATATACTACTGCGTGGAGGTTTGGTTATTGGCTGTATGCTACGAGTGCGGATTCCTCTGGTGCAGCTAAAACATTGATCCTCTATGGATTATCAGAATCTACCTGTGTACTGCCGTGGGACGACATAATCACCGCCGATACCTCCTCCAACTTCTGGCAGTGGCTACATAACACCGTAGACCTTACCACGCAAGCTGTATCAACCACCGCGAGACAAGATCGAACGAACATGGATTAATCGCTTTGTTAAGGACAAGGAATGATTACAGACTACGAAAGGTAAGGTATATACTGCTTTACATATTGTATGGATTAGTAATATATTAACGGATTTAACTATACTAGTAGCTCGGAATACTGTCTGCCGCTTGATGTTAGCTATTAACACAAGTACTATCTCACCTATAAAGCTTACCTACGATGTAGGAACATTCATTAAAATTGCTAGCAATATGCATTTTCTACGCAATATGCTGTTACACGAAGTACTAGCTCAGTATGTTGAGTACGTACTGAGATGAGATATATATTCAACTGGAAAATGAGCAGTTCGTAAGACATTCCAGATAAAGCATCCATTGCTCCTGGCAGGCAAGCAGGTTACAGATAACATATACACCATGCAGTTGAAACATCTTCTAAATCCCGAGACTACTAAAGCACATGGTGGGATACATTCTTCAAATACGACTGTTCGAACCATCATTCATGACATACATGCATTCATGAGTCCATAAAAGTCCACGAGTAATAAAATAAAAGCACATATGAGTCCGCATTGCCTTTTCCCTGGCCTTCATGGTTTAGGTTGCTTGGACATCGGTTATAATCAATTTGATTTATTGCAGTAGTAGTATTATTAGTTCCATTGTAAAAAATGTGATTGGACGTTCGGAGCATTTGTCAAATCGAGTTGTTGTATAATTTTTCGTTGAGAGAAAACCGCTTTGAATACAATGCTTTGTATGTATTTGAACTTTGTCTATGACAACGGTTTATGAAGGAAAACTTGGCTGAAATATGGAAAGCTCATACTAGCCTGAAGTATAGGGCCTGGTACATTGGTGGTTCAGGCCCGTAGCCAGGATTTGCCAAGGGGGGGTTCAATTTTCAAAAATTTCCAGGGGGGGTTCACATTTGACAATTTTGGCCCAAATTAGGCTAAAATAACTAGAGAAGTGCTCAAAATGGTCAAAAACTGCATGATTTTGAAAGAATTTTTGTCCAGGGGGGGGGGGGGGTTCGCCCGAACCCTGCGAACCCCCCCTGGCTACGGGCCTGGTGGTTGATGACGCTTTCTTTTAAAGAAGCAAAATGATACTATTGGAAATGGATATACCTAATGTCATGTATCCTTGGCGACTGCGTCGGTAATGCAACCCGAGGATGAAGAAAATATCATATTCACTTTAATGAACTCAGTCTTCGAATCTTCCTCCCATGAGATACTCGGGACAAAAAGCTAATAGAACTGGATATCCAGTGAAATCATGGACTACAGTTGTTGTCCATGATGAAACTTCAGTTAATATCTTTATGAACAATTTATTATGGACCTTGAATATTTACTGAAACAATTCCGTGGTAATCCTCCTCATAACTGATCTTTCATTTTGAATTTATCTTTATTTCATAAATCAGTATAATAGTGCAAAGTTTCCTTTTCAAGTGCGTTTTTGTTCATACAACCACTAAACCCAAAACGTCAAAAAAGACGAATGCTCAGACGTAATTTCAGGTCATATTGTATAGCTGTTAAACGAATAACAAGGTGAACAGGTATAAGAAGTGAGTTACAGATACCTGAATTGGCATTTGAAATTGCTTAACCCAAACAACTGAAATATCCTTCTGAAGCCAAGTCTATTTTAACCCTTTTTAATTCTCTTGTTTCCCATTCTCATTCCTCTTCTTATCCCCTCTCTGTTTTGTTTTTCAAACTTAAAATTTCAAGAGGCCCAGTTTTCCAGGATTTTACCCAAAATTCGCCTGTTTTGGCATAGGCTAAATGGGGGATAAATGTAATGCTTATTTTTGTAAACAACTCATTTCTCAAGTGAAGGTCAGAATTTTTCTCCATCGGTGATATTAAGTGATCATTCGAGGCTTTCAAACCCCTGTAGCTGACTATGGTACTGGCAATTTGCATAGGAACGGGCTGTATCGGAATTGTGTCAGGACTCAGAACTGAGAATTTTTTTTCAATTCACTTTATTTCAAATGTTTCAAATACAGTGTTTTACATTGACATGAAAAGACACCCCGAGAAATTTATTGATAATACTTTCATCGTGTAGAAATTCGTACAGGAATTTAAGTCCGTTTGAGTAAACAAACCTGCGACAGACCTTTTCAGGTACTCTTTTCTTGATTTACAAAGTTGTACAATTTTGGTTTTACTTTTTTTTGTATAATGAAGACTCAGATCAGGATATCTTGCATCTGAACATCTTAAGCTTTGACTGAAGGGGTATTATATCAGAAAAGCTATTCTCACTTTCAGTTGGTTCGTGTCGCAAAAGCGATAACTAATATTTAGGACTATGTCTTCGAAAACAACAACAACAACTACATTGTCCACATTAGATACAAGCCACAGTTTAGTAGCGATTCAATTAAATTATTCTGTAGAGAACTCGTTGACGAAAAATCCCGGGGCGTCGCCATGTCGCCGCGCCGGGTGGGATCAGTCGTCGTATTTCAGATCTCGCATTTCTGGATGAGCTCCTCGACAGTCAGTGTAGAATGTCAATCGACCCATTCTCAAGCTCACACAGCAGAGTGTAGGCATACAATCATGTAGCTAAATGATATCAAACAACAGTGACATTTTAATATATATCGAAGTTAATTATTTCGTGTTGGATCGTTCGCCATAAAATGATTGATCTATAGTGCATTATACGAAATAACATTAATGGATCGTGATAATGATCTATAAAAATGTGCTAGGTATGTAAGTGGTGAGATTAATATATGAAGGGTGCAATTATATACACCTAGGCTGAATACGGCAGATTTACGAACGCATGTTATGCAGTGGGTGGTTAAACGCGCGTCATGAATTGCCATATTGCATAACCTTAAAATCCCACGATATAATTTCACCAACAAAGATGGGGGACTGTATAGTAAAGGGTTTGGGGCAGTGCATGAACTGGATGTAAGACGACTTTAATCCTTTAGCCATGTCATTTTTTGTTATCTCCCTCTCGGTTATACCGGTGTATCGAAAATTTCGGTCCACGATTGGGACTCAGTACAGTAGACATATTCTTGATCCATCTTATGCATGCTAAATTGTTCAGAGGCAGAAGATGCAGAAATGTGTTATTTTTCACAATAACAAAAAATAGGATATCCAACTAAGATGGAGAAAATATCTTAGTCTTGCACCATGACCCTTAAATCCTGACATCCCCTCTACGTGGATGTGAGGGGGAACATATTATAGGGTTATCATTTATCCTTTAGCCTACGTAGATTATGAGGATGAAAAATGCACTTACATGTGCTGAACGAAATTCTCGAGGATTGCTGTGCGGAATATACACAGGGACATACAGCTCACTTCAGATATCAATTATATTCCCGCATGTTATTTGCCTAACTACTAAGTATAGGATAAGGGGGTGTATGTCTCTAAATATGAGAAAAATGTCTCCAGATTTTCATGAAAAGGAATGTGACAGGCCATGATACGAACTAATATTGCAACAGATCACCTTGAAAAGCTACTCCTAAAGTCTTTATTACATCAGGTATAAATACACGATCATTAGATGATTGCTTATAAAATTACGACAGCATTTCATGTCACCTTAATTATGATCGGTTGTAGAGATCCTACACCTTCATCAGCAGCGGCTTCTAATTGTAGCAGTACGTAACATCCTATATCGGTGTAATAATCAGCTATCCTTCATATATCCCCATACCTATACCCACATCTCAATGAATTCCCAGGTAAAATGCTAGTGATTGTGGTATGGTATTTACAGTGACCAACTCAGGGGACGAACAGTATGCTATAGAAGGGGAGACGTGTAGCGAATTACCAAATTTATCACTCTCATTGCCAATATTACAAGTAATATATACAATGTAGTAGTCACATGTGATTATACCGTAGGAAACCCACATCGGCTTCTGTAAGCACTAATTATCTTATTTCGGCTCGTCGGCTTTGGCGAATGTACGAATGATGATTGTTCTTTCCGAAGTAATCAGCTCTTCAATTAGCCCTAACTCAGTCCACTTCATTTTGTCTGCATAATTAACTAAGACATTTAATTGTGCTGTATATTATCAAAATGTGGTCATTTGGGTTGTCTCATATATTGCATCGTTCTTTGAATCCTTAGACAGATCATTTTTGGATGCGTTTCAGTCTTGAACCCAACGTATTTACAGACACCATACTATGTTAAAATACATATTTTAGGGTATTTCTAACCCCTTTCACTCTCATCCACTGGTGATCCACTCGATTACGCTGGTTACCAAAACGGTTCGTTTTAGTAACAAAATGTCGGAACATCGAAGGTAGGATTTTTCAAGTTTCCTTATTTTACACGTTGTAGGTAGAATTCCCACGACATTTTTTAACACAAACGTGTATCAGTATCATATGTTTGAGAAACTGTACATATTTGCGAATAAATAGTTCAGAAGACAACAGAATCGTCGATTTACTTCCTCACTTAAGTTACATAAACGGTTTTTCGAAAAACAGTTAAGATCTGCACTTTCAACCCAAACCGTTTATGTAACTTAAGTGAGGAAGTAAATCGACGATTCTGTTGTCTTCTGAGCTATTTTTTCACAAACATGTACATTTTCTAACACATATGATACTGATGCACGTTGTGAGAAAAAAAGTCGTGGGTATTCTGCCTACAACGCGTGAAATAAGGAAAAAAGAAAAATCGTACCCTCGACGTTCCGACATTTTGTTACCAAAACGGTTCGTTTTGGTAACCAGCGTAATTGAGTGGATCACCAGTGTCATCCAACATGATCTAACATGCCAACTCAATGTGAGGCAGTTTGACATAAGGTGAATCTAATTGTCAAAATCTTTAGGTGTTAACATGAGGACGGTTTACTGTAACCATGGCTTTAGCTTTCGTATACGTAAATGTTGTAGGTTATAGCATACAATGTGGTTAACAAAACACTTTTATCGTGTTTTTAATTGAATTGCATTATGTTCCACACTCTATAGGATGCTGAATGGCTGCATGCCATTAGTTCCGAGACAAAAATAGCTTCAGAGGTAAGCCATATACCGCTATAGATACGGGAATGCAGACAAATTAACAAGCGGGATGCTGGTATTCATCCATGTATACAACTGAATATGCAGTTTAGTTGGATTCCTCTTGGGCTCTTTGGGTACTATTGGTTTTACTTCCGGTAATATTGATGATCACGTGACAGGTCTTTGGACTCATCCCTTACTACGAAATACGCATATATCAAAATGTGATTTGTCAAATGTGTTAAAAAGTGCCCTTTGAATGAATTTTGCAGCTCGTTTTTTTAATTCGCGATCGTGAGACCAAAAGACCGCCTATTAGTGACCATTTATTGATAACCTAGACTTGTTAAAATGACACGTTATCAATAGTCCAGTTAATCATTTGATCAATCTCTCAATCTGTGATCTTCCCAATATGCATTTAATAACTCATTTGGTGATACAGTATGGTAAAGAGTAAAATAAATAAGTTAATACGATATGGATTTATCGTTTCCGTGACTTCAGGGGTCGAGAACTTGGAAATAGAGGTCCCAAAAGAGTTATTGAATTATTGGATTTATAAATTGACACATAATTACGTCTTCAATATGACATATGGTGTCACTGACATTTACGCATGATGGGATAGCAATACCCCGTGTGTCTTGTCAAAGCAATTGAAACTTATACGAGTCGGCAGTTGTTTATCTTATCGGATTATTATGTCAATAGTTTCACTATTCATCTTGGAATTACCCATTGAATGTCCAACGTCGCAACCGAGCTATATTTCACAATTAATCGAACGAAAAATCGAATTTATTCTATACTTGTAATTTATTTTTACCCCTGGGCCATCAATGAGGCAATAAACGATGAAGGGAAACTTAAATTGCTGATTGGTCTGGATGGGGATTAATCAAGAAACTAACACGGTCTTTTGGTGATCCATGGAAATCCATGACTCCCAAAAACCCAAATGTCGCAGCAAATCATGCTGACGTGCACTGAGATGCTAAAGGAGAAAGGAGATTACCAATTACAAAACCAAATTCAATTTGGATAAGTAAATTTTTGCATTAGCGTTTATCGGGGATCGAAAGCGTTTTCTCTGTATCATCGTTTATCTGACGTTCTTTTCAGTCCACTCAGAAACATACCGTTCGTCCTTTGTCTCACACACTGCACGGTTCATGCTCTCTCGACAATATGCTGAACGTCATCCAGGCCCTCACCATCCGTATGGCTAACCCGCATAATGCCCATTTCTCTAAGTTCCGCCCCCCTACCCCTCACACTAACAGACAACAGGCTGCATATACAGGGTGACCCAAAAAAATGCAACCCTCCATTTCTTTAATATTTTTCTTAAATGGAAATAAATTGCTCTGAAATTTGGCACACAAGGACTTCATTCAATGTGGGATCCTCTGGAAAAGTTTTAATAATCATAGTCTTATATTGATAGAGTTATGGTTGTTTCAAAATATGCTCCAGATGTCGTCAATTTCGCTGAAAACAAACTTGCAATGTTCAAGGAAAACTGCTCATAACACGGATGCATTCTTCCCCATGGGTATGGCTCAAACTTTTGCAGCCATTGTTTATTGGAGTTCTGCAATTGCGGTAGGGTTATTTTCATACACATTATCCTTGAAATAACCCCATATATAGAAGTCAGGGGCATTGAGATCAAGACTGTGGGATGACCATGGGTTCTCTGTCCTAGGAGAGATCATCTTCTCATAGAAATGACTAGTGAGCCAGGCTATGCTATCATTAGAAGTCTGAGGAGAAGCTCCATCCTTCTAGAACCACTGTTCTTGTCTATTGAAGCCTCTATGCCACTCCAGAACTGCCTAGAACTTCCTGGGAACGCAAATATTGCGCTGTGTGTTAACAGTAACAGTGTTGGCATTATCAACCTCAAACCAAAAGGGGCTGATGATTTCATGTTTGGAAATTGGCAGCCCAAGCTGTGCATTTAACAGAATGAAGGGGCCTTTGAAGCACTTCATCTGGAATTTGTGATCCCAGAACACATTATTTCTCGAGTTTACATGTTCAGAAAGAAGGGAATGTGATTCATCTGAAAACCTAACATTGGAAATGGACGATATTTGGAGCATATTTTGGAACGACCATAGCTCTATCAATATAAGACTATGATTATTGAAACTTTGCCAGAGGATCCCACATTGAATGAAGTCCTTGTGTGCAACCCTCCATTTAAGAAAAATATTGACGAAATGGAGGGTTGCATTTTTTGGGGTCACCCTGTATATATCCCCTTATCAGAATCCTTGTCTATACAGCCCTCTTTATATTTTCTCAACCCCTTTGTATATAATCTATCTTTCGCCCTGATTCTTGCTTCAGTTTCACCTCTCTACTCAAAGCTTTTACGTCAACCTAGCTTTCATCGGGGAAAATTAAATACACAATTTCTCTACCTAATGAGGAATCCTCTTTTATTTTTAGGGTAATTACATTAGTTGTTCCGCATGTTACGTTTTGTATTTCAAAAACAAGATCATCTAGAATGGCCTATGGCGTCAGAAACCTATTTCGTAAGTAGATCTACTGAGCTGCTATCCGAGACTGACCTGTGGGATTGGATTGGCTTTTACTATTCCGTAATCTGAATACTTAACGCATTACATACTTAATTACCTGATAGCCTCTTACAAGTTAATACGTGTTCTATCACATTGTACATATTTAGGCCTGTTAAACTACTTGACTCAGGGGCTGATCAGTTGATGTTTATGGGAGGCTGTCTGTCTTTCTTGTTCAGAACGATACGAACACAATTGGCTTATCCGGAAACAAAACCATTTTCCTTTCGATGCAACCTACTGTAATAGTAAGTTGTTTGTCCACATAATAGGGAGTTTAAGCTTGTATATAAAATCGAAACGCCAACATATACGTATTACCAATCACCAATACGAATGCATCGCTTAAATATCTTCTGTTCGCGTTTAGGTTGTAAAAAACAGTGCAAGCTTAAACTCCCTAATGACGAGTAAAATTACGTGAACTACAATCGAACGTGAACGCGCCAAAGTCATCATGTTTGATTTCAGCACGAGTACGCTAGACTAAATCATTGTCGTTTTTGAGCATTTCAGTTTAGTGTAAATGTACATGTCCATGATTTGAGGTGCTACCTTTAAAAGAAAGCTTCATCTGAGTGTACTGGGCATGTACACCCACGGGTTGCAATATTGAGGATTTTTTTAAATGTATGCAAACCTTTTCATTTGGATTTGTAAGATTTTAATTTTTCCGAGAAGGATTTAAAGTAGGCAATTGCTAAATATAAAATATTTTGTAAAATAACAAATGATTAAGATTAACCTCGAATTAGAATTAGTTCCTCTGTTAATTATGGTCGGAAATATCATCCAGAAAAGCAGAAAAACGCCTATTAATTAAGTGGAGTATTACATCAGTTATGCTTCGAGTGAATGAAAACATTCGAGCTCACGTCATGCTGAGAAATCTGGAGAAGAAGAATTCTTCACAATTTACCCATTCCAAGGGTGTCTGTTAAATCCTATATTTAACTATAATACCTGTGAATTATCTCATTTATTACGAGCTCTCATATACCGTATACGCCGACTTATCATTTTATAGATCTCTGAGACAAATGTTGCTTTACGCTGGTTTTAATACGTCAATCTAATAATTGTGCTGCTCACTTGTATCAAATATGCGTATTTGACCATGATGAAGACTTAGATTGATGACTTTACTGAGTGGACGCTTGTTGTCTGGATAAATATAGAGGTTTTTAATAGGGATGGAATATGACTTTTATTCCGAGAGAAAATATGATATTGGCCAAGGAAGGGGCGAGGAAAGACCGAGGGCGATATCCCCGATATCTGATACGGGATTTTTTTAATATCAGTTTTGTTTTCTGTTTATTGTGAGGGAAAAATATTTGAGTATGGAATAACTCAAAATATACCCTTTTCAATCACAGTTTGATTTCTCGTATTAGAAACGAGATTTATCTTATAACAACTAGCCTCAGGATTAAGGAAGATGTTATCAATAAATTTCTAAAAATAATTGTTTGAATTGTTAGATCCATTTTATCCAACTGCACAATGGAATTGAACATGTTGAAAAAATAGATATGGCGAACTGATCAATCCCATAATTTTGAAATTGATAAAATTTAGTTTATCACGAAGTAGAAAAAGACTATAAGCGCTCAGCAACTTATTTTATCTGTCGCTATTATTGAACGGGAAATGTCAGGTATAACTTTTACATATCTCGCCGCTGTTATCTCCCCGAGAGCTTACTAAGTATGGAATAAATAGTCTTATGTTTCTTTAAAATTTTCAGATAAGGAATCAAGAAGCTAACAAACAAACCTTAAGGCAAACCTACCAATCGACTTATATCCAATGTCGAATAAAAAGAGTTCCGGTGATTATGGTGGGAAAAGTAAGAGTAAAAGTCAGAGTAGGAGTCAAGGACAAAGCAAGAGTCAGAGTAAAGGGAAAAGTCAAGCTTCGTACAGTAATCAAGGGCCTCCGCCTCCCAGTGATATTGCGCCACAGGGAGCAGGTCCCAACAACAACAATGGACAGAAGTCTCAAGAAGAGAAATTACGTGAACAGTTGGAGGTCCAGCGAATGGTAAGTATGCCATATATGATTTGAAAGTATACGTATGTATGTCGTCTTTCCTACATTTTTACTGAAAACATCTTGTCAGTTTCTTATTCCCGTACTCCCGTATAAAACAATATGGCGGCTTCAAAACATTCTTCTGGTTCGGTCTATTTTTAAGAAATTAGGGGACTTTGGTAAATTCCAGTTTATTAAAATTGACTCTCTGATGATCGAGAACGATCCACGGGTAGAAAAACTTACAATTTAGAGGGTGAATTATCCAAAGGATAATTTATATTGGCACGAGCCATTATAAATCCTTGTTATGACGTGCACGGACCTGGGGACAATTCGGGAAATACGGGCTAATCTCAGCTTTAAGCGTTAATATCTGCCTTATTTAAAAAGCTAACTAAGGGAACATGGGGCAAAGCGGCCCAAAAAATTTAATTTTAAGTTGTTCTGTACGGGGTATTTTCGTATATGTCAATCATCGCGCACTTTGATGTTCCACTTTATTAATGGTTTGTGGTTTACATTTTTCGAATGTTTTATACTTTCCTAGGACTATCTTCTGTGATTTTTCAATGGTCAAAAATATTGTCGAGAGTGGGGCAAAACGGCCCATGGGTGGGGCAAAACGGCCCACCCTCTGTTACATGGGTTTTGAAACCAAAATTAATCAATTACAAGACTCGTCCACAAACATCTTATCTCAGACGTTCAAACCTTTGACAGATAAAGTATTCTTAACCCCTACCATAATTCTAGTCATTCGATATGTGTTAAAATTGTTACATTTGAAAACCAAATGTTCTTGCACAATAAGATTTTTGTATGTTATAACATGTGTGGGCCGTTTTGCCCCAAAGACATGTGAATTTTCAAATAGACGTCATTTTAATTTGCCTAATATTTGAAGCTCGAAATTTTTACAAATAAATAATAAATGTGCACACTCTATGTAAAATGTTAAATCAAAACGATATTCTATTGTTGCCGGATTTTTTAGAGATTCTCGTGAGAGGGGTAATTTCCAAAAAAGAGGGTGAAAAGTAGAATTACCTCTTACGTAAAGCGAGACGCTGCTTGGTTAAAAATGGACGCTCGAGAAGGTGGCAGATATTTCAAAATTCGATTTTGTGACTTTTGAAGAACCATCTTTTTATAGTTCAAAAGATATTTCGATGGGCCACTTTGCCCCAGAGGGCCGTTTTGCCCCATGTTCCCCTATGTGTATTATATATCATTTTGAAGTATTTTTTATTCGCATTTCACTGAAATTATTTTTCCTTGAAAAGTATGATGGGATCTACCATATTTTTTAAGTTAAATGTACTCCGACATCGTCAGATACGCTGTAAGGCGTAACATTTCACGCTTACACGGTTCGTTGAAATCAGAATAACTTTTGAAATACTGATCAGAATTTTACTAAAATTTCACATTTTATTCATTGAAACGTGTGCTTTTATGACGTTACAATTGCCTAGCGGCTACAGTTCAAATCGTCTTATATGAACGCTTTTAAGGTTTTCAAAATTGTGTAAGGTTTTGAAGGCGAATGAGACAAGCAATAAGTTTACCTTTATTTAACCTTCTAATTTAGGTCTGATTTCAAAAAAAAATTAACTGCACAATATTGTCATGGCGAAATTTACAAAACAATAACCGATTTCTTTATTTTTCAAATAATAAGAGTTGCTTTTAGAGACTTGAAAAAATGTAACGCATCGATTTTTTACCACAAATCCCATACATATCAATTTTTACTAAGGCCCCGAGTGGATTTCCTGACCGTTTTTCAAAAATCAAAAACATTTTAGAAATATTGTCCTCGAGATCTTCTTGCTCTGTGAATTTCACAAATGTTTAGTTTCATTCATTCAACCGATAATTTTCAAAAAAATACAAATAGAAGATCCTGAAACTTCAATAATAAAATGTTCAATTGATTAGACAAAATGCTCGTAAAAATGTCCTTTTCATATGTGTGCCGATTTATACTTCAATTCTATTACTACAAAAACAGGCAGACGTCTTTGCACATTGACCTCAACCTGTGTACCCCTGAGTATTTGTCCGCGCCTTTTATACCAAACGGTGAGAAACACCAACAACGAGAGTTCTATTTGCTGAACGCTATGCGTAAACCCTTTAACGTTAGGATGAAATGGGACATGGTCTCCATAGACACAAATGAACCATTCTGAACCATAATTGTCTCTAATTAACAATGATGTATCCGGAGTTTACTTAATTGTGTGTATTTGATCACTAGTTATGCATTCAAACTAAATGGAAAACTATATGCGCTTTATAATGGCCAAACGATGCGAAAATATATATATCTTAAAGGCCTTACCATGGAAGTAACAACGTTATCAGCTTTACATAATGGCTCAATAGTATATATGTTACAGATCGATCCTGTAGCCAGGGCAACATTTTGCCGTATGTCATTATCAATCACATTGTTAAGCGATCACTCCATTAATAGATTATCACTATTAAAGCAACTATGCCTTCATGATTTCCGATCGTGGGTCACCATTGCAGAGATAACTCTTTGAAACACATAAGAATTGGTGATTTAAAATTGAACCAAATCACTATATTGTATAAGTAAGATTATTGTATGAACGTAATTTTTTCTTTAAGGATAAACAATAAAAAAGGTTGCCCGAAGAAACATTTTGGAAGAGCTTATCATTGTAATTTTTCTGCAAATTTATTATCGATCCCTCCATCTTTCCTTGTAGAAAGGCTCACATTCTATATAGCCATAATCATATATATATATATGATGTACTGTAGAGACCTATATGAATGTAATTAGTAATTGCCATTATATTGGCAATTTGTGATTCCAACTATCATAAACTCCCACAAAGAACGTCAAATATCAAAACAAGGTAAAAGGTATTTGGTCCCAAAAACAAACATATTAAGCTGCAAAAAATCATTGAAAGTGCAACAGGTATTGCCCGAATATAGAATGAAATATTTGTTTTATTATATCATAGCTAGACATTGTCTATAATCATTTATTTATTACGCCGGGCAATACGTCTTTTATCATTCTAAAATTGAGGAAGCTGTGAAATACGTTATGGTATTTTTTGATCAAATGGTACTTAATCGACCAATCAAATCATACAATTTCTAGCAATGATATAATAATTATATATCTATTATCATACACTTAACAGTAAATGACAATATGACCCTGTTTTCAATGTCACATGTCTCATCTCGGTTATTACACTACACCAACTTTTTATTACACTGGCTTATTATGGGATTTTGGGTGGCACTCCTCAAATACAAGAACATGACAGATAAAATCAAAGAAATCAGTTTAACACAGTGATTGATCATTCTAGCCAAGAGCGGAATGAAGAAGATCCAAGACTATGGCTTAGATATATTACAGTCAATGAACATAATCAAGTTTATCTCAGAAAGATATAAAATGACAGTTCACTATGATTTACCTTCTAGCTGAAACCTTCTTATACTGAGAAACAAATTGTTAATGCCTTTGATTAATACCAGCTTGTGATGTAATTTTCCTTTATTCCTGGTCTCATTTTCTTCCTTCTATATTTTTTCGTCACTTTTTCTAGTTTGTTTTATACTCACTTACATGTACACATTTGGGTTATCCATCGGGAATATATGTACCAAGAGACAGCAATGTACAGGAGTATATTTAAGAAGCTTTTTTCAAAGAGTAATGCCAACGAATTTTGAGTAAAAATGCAAATTCTGGCTTAACATACCCCTAAAGACATATTGGAAGAAAATGAATGACACATATTTTCTTGATAATAAACTTGATAAAGAGAGGATCGCACATACAACCCAAACCCCAATTAAAAGCCGACCTCTCGATACGGATGATGTTAAATGAATGAAATAAATGATTACTCTAATTCACATTTTGAAGGAAGTTCCATCAATTTTTGTAAAATTCAAACAAGTCTTGAAAAAAGTTTGGCTTGCTTGTGCCACGATCGCACCCCCCCCCCCCCCCCCCTGACTGAAAGCTGGCTACGCCCCTGTTATGTGTACGGCTTAGTTACTGCAAGCACTCATGCTTTTAAAGTTCTAATAAAGAATTACACAGGATTCTTCGATCCTTAAATAAATTACCGATATATAATAGCAGGAAATTGGGGTTATTATGTCTGCAATATCTTTGTTGATAAAACACTCGTGGTAGACCTATCTATATTTTGAACATGACTGCTAATGATTTCATGGTAAGAAACAGAGCTGGATCTTCCAAGTCAATGTGAACATTTTAGTGTCGATATAGAACTATATTTCTTGAAGAACCTGAACTAAAGTTGATTCGTTAAGGAAGTATATCCATCATTTGTCAGTTGTAATTTTTTGCGATTTACAACATATCGCTGTCTGCTGAAGCAGAGAAGCTAATTATCCTAGAGATATACTTAAATGAAAAAAAAAATTTTGAAAGGAATTGTTTTCCATTTTCTTGTCATACAAATATCGTTTTAAAATAATCTGTTTCAGGCAGGTATATTCATGTCAACGTACGTTGGTCAAGATTATCATCCTTCTATTTATGGTAAAACGCCAAATTCCCTTAAACTGTACCAAGTTTAACTTCATTATTTTGTTTCATTTTGAGTTTTCAAATTGGATTAACTAGGATGCTTGACGAATATGTCATGTTAAAGTCATAAAAAATGCCTAGCAAAATAGATGATCGAATGAATGTTTAATGCCGTGAACACCAGTTTATCCGGCTACATATATTATTACAATATTTTACATAAACATACTGTATATCAACCGACATATACATTTATAGTCAATGATTATTTGCTAAATTGCATCATAGCAAAACATAACTTGTACATGCTACATTGAATATGCCACTTCAACCTCATACAGAGCGTTAGCTTCATTCCATTCCAATAGACATTACAAAACATAATGCCAGGAACTTGAAATACGCCTGGAGTATACACAGGGAAATAACTACCAATAATTACTGAAATGTTGAACAATATTCGTAATTAATTGTATTGAATTACAAGTTCTATTAATGTCTTACTGACAATTTCTAATTAGAAATCTGATGGGATATAGACCTAGTTGTTGCTATTGCCTCGAGTTCATTTTCTGATTAATCAACTGAGACGAAGGCAACCCAAACCACACTCGCTACCCCATGGGCATTCTACCCCACTACTTCCCACCCTTCCCCACGACACTCAATTAAACACTCTAGTCAGTTAGAATTGACTTATATGTAGAAATCGAATAGTACATAATCATATAAAGCTCCGTCTTCATAGTCCCCTTTGTCTTCTTAAAAGAGAGCTTCATCTACCTTGTAACTAAACTCCCTGCTAAACTCGTGGTATCTTCATTTACAAGTCAGCAAATTCTAATAGTATACGCCTACCTTTCTGTGACATTATGTTAATCAACGTAGAACTATTTAATACAAAGTCTTACATATACCAACATAATGATTATAAATACATATATACTAGCATAATGATATTATACACATGGATAACATAATGTGACATGGATCGCAAGGCAACCATATTGTCATTTCCTGCTAAGTAACGTACATGAACTATATCATGATTACAGACTCGTTAACGTATCAACGGGTACTCTTCTTATTAGGACGAGATCATTAGTTTAGTTAGTGTTTGTAGTTAAAATATGTAGCTTTTGATAGTAATGACAAATGAAATCATGTTATGATACCGAATGTCAATTAAAGTTTTATATAACGTTGCATAATATACTGGTATCATCTACATGTATTCTCGTTCCACACATGTTTTTAGAACCATTTTAAAAACTGTTGTCTTATACTGAATACATCACTTTGGATGTCATGCTATAAGAGCAACTTATCCCGTATGCAACTATTGCTCATTGTACCACGTGCCTATTTTGTCTCACGAAATCGCGTGACTGTTGAATTGATAGAGGAGGGTCTGAAAGACATGATAGCGGAACTGTTCTAAACTGAATGAATATGTTATTATTGTTTAAGGAAATGCAACCCTTATGATTAGAGGAAGCAGTTGATGATTTTATATTGCCTTTTTCTGTTGTAGGTAGAGAGACTCACAGAGGAAGATATAAAAGGTATGTATTAGTCAGGCATTACGTTGTCTCTTGTTTCTCTGACATATTAACACGATGTAAATAAATAAATGGCTTCGTTCCCGGATTAAAATATAATGATAAACTTTCCATAAGACGAGAGTAATCCTTGTTTGAGATGACATTTTCGGAGACTAATGAATGCCGAGCTCTCGTTATCAGGAACATCCAAATCATTGGATAAGTTGTTTAACAGACACGTGCTGATTTCCAAAGAGATACGTCTTGAAAAGACATAAATAAAAACCTTCAAAACAATTTCTGACATATTCTGCAATTGCAGTCCAACTGTATGCAGTTATAAACCCGAATCTGTCAATTAAGAGATGTGAATGATCAGTGAAGAACGTTTACATATAAGGATTCTAATGCAATGAACATAGTTGAAGCAACTGTATTCCTGCAAAATACTTTAGTCAAATAATATGGAGGTGAACGACTTTAAAACTTCAGTATGGCGTTTCCGGTCAAAATATCAAGAATCGTTATATGCAGGAAAGACAAGTTACACATTATGAGACTTGAGTCAAAGGCTAGTATCTTTACGTACTTGTACACGTTGACGTTTGAGAACGTATGGAGGTGAGGTGAAGCTTTGCCTCTTTATGAAAACGTGAACGTTGACGTGTAATATTATGACCTTCTATGGATTATTGTTCCCCTTCCAATTGTACCGTTGACATAATTGCAACTTGTTCTTTAGACCTCTACACACAATCGGGCAAGTAAATATTACAAAGGGGAGAACTAACCCCAAAACTAGAGTATCATAATTCTACACGTTTATGCTCAAGCTCTCTAAAAACGTGTTGCTTAACTCCTTAACTCCTTAGTATCATCTGAATATACATACAGCATTGGCCTAGCTAAAGCTTCATTCACCAAACTTCCAGTGCAAAATATACGAGCCATACATTATTCGAGTAAATGATTTTCTACACAATTTTCTTCACGCTTGATTGGCCTGAACTAAAAAGCGTTTGAAAATATTACCAATATTATCCAGCTTCATAATGCAACAGGGAGAGAACATATCGTTCGATGAACATGAACGAGAACTTCCACTGTATCACTTACCCATGATAATCTACAGAACAAGATGTTCTCAGCCCGTGAATAAGATAGCTACCTTGTATCAAGTAAAATACAGTGACGTCAAGTCACGTCATTTTCTGCTTGCTCGTCAGGTTTCACGTACGCGTTTTGCTTCCAGTACTTTTTAACCTCACTTATGAACGATCGAAGAAATGGTTTGCTATGGTGAGCGAAATAGTTGAATATTCGTTCCCTTTTGTTTTTGTTTTTCACCCTATTGTTTTATTTTTAGAGTACCAAGAAGCATTTAGAATGTTTGACAAGGACGGGGATGGTACGATAAGCTCCAAGGAATTGGGAACAGTCATGAGATCTCTGGGTCAAAATCCAACTGAGAACGAATTAGTGGACATGATCAATGAGGTAGATGCTGATGGTAAGTATGTTACCACTCCCTTCCTCCCCCAGTACCCAAATGTGACAATGTCAACGAGTCATACGGAGTCCTCTTTTGCCTCAATAAATATAATACAATACAATATAATACAATACAATACAATACAATACAAAACAATATAATACAATACAATACAATACAATACAATACAATACAATACAATACTTGGAGATCTCATTGTCATGGTAACCTGATAACCTGGCTTAGAAACCAGTTTTATATGTACAAGCTTTTCATAAATGTCGAAACTGAAAAAATGTAACAGAAACAACTTAACCCCAATAGCAAGTATAGACCAAGCAACTACTTGTATAGAAAAACAATTCGAGTTAGCAATAACATATAAGCAAGACAATGGAACAACTAGCAAACTGACTTTTAAACTAACCTATATTATACAGAACATAATACCTAATATATCTTAGTCGCAGTGTCTTCTTCAAAGATTATTAGAAAAAACAGGATAAATGGTTTACACGTTTTACTACAAAAGTAATATCTAGAGGTATCATATAGCATAGAGAGATGGAACTATTATTTCTAATGTATTCGATTACATAACCACATACGATTTGTGAAGGTAATTGAAGTAAATCACATTTTATCAATGATGTTGTGGAAAACGGAAGCAAAGTAAGATCGAAGAGGTTGGAGGGGAAATGAATGTCATTGTTAGAATGATATGTGGCTATCTAGTCTAAGATGAAATTAAAGATAGAATTGATGGCAGAATTACAAAGAACATTATTCTACAATTAAAGGAGAAATATGCCCGTGTGTTTTTCGAAAATGGGCAAAGCACCCACAGACACATGTATACTTTTGGAAACGATCCTCTATTATGAGCTCTTATTCTTTACCTTCAAGGTCATCATCTAAATGGAGGCTATTTCTGATTTAATAACTTATTCGACCAGCACCGTATTGACTTGACTAAATAATACGGTATAATCCTTAACAACTATCTTGCGCCAATTGCATAAGCTCAAGTAGTCATAATTAATGATTTGAGAAAATGGACAACATGTTATGGCAGAAAATATTATGCATGAACGTCTTACCGCGATTTGAATCTTTCTATTTTGGTTCTCGCTATGAAGCGAAGGAAACATGGTTCTCTGAGATAACTGATGAGAGACAATGTTAATCATCAGATAAGATTTAACAAGGGTGGCGCACAGATGAAACAACGCACTTAGAAATGTGAACGTATAAGGTCTATCTTTAGCGCAATGGATCTCTGCTAGTCTGTTATTGGGAGCAGTTCTAATGCAATCGGAATCTGTATAAATGACCTTACTTCCTGTTGTATTTATACATCTTCAAACTTATAACGTAAACAGAAGCTCCTTCTTGGCTGAGGTAAACTTATGAGCTCTATGAGATCTTAATATCACAGGTAACATTAAAGCCTAACAGGATATTCAGCTTTTGCGTTGGGCTTACAAGTTGAGCTGTTTTTCTTGGAGAACCAGACAGGTTCAAATCTTACCAACAACTTCCTGTGAACCCCATGACTTGCAACTCGTTTCAATACTTTGATTTCGTTTCCTTAAAAGAGAGCTTCATTTCCGCTTTTTAGTAAAAGATAATTTCTATCTTGATCTAGCCTTACGTAGATTACAGTAGATTAGGTCGATTCAAATGTAACTTCTCAATGGGAATTGCAGTCACAGAATTTTCTTCTTCATAGAAAGTAGCTACATAGCCACGGTGACATAGCATTCATTTCAGAATCGAAATCTCTTAAAACTACCATTAAAAAGCCAGCATTTAAAATGTATACTTTAGTCCTGTTTAGAGTGTTGTACGTAGTGGTGGACAATTAGCCTTGCCCAAGTCGGTATTTTTTTACTTATCTGATCTTGAATTATAGAAATCAAGATAGTAAAAGAGACCGACTTGGGCAAGGCTAGTGGACAATAGGCCGGAGTAAAATGACCAAATTACAAAAATTACTTTTGAAAGAACACCAGACCTCCCGATAAAGAAATTACTGCATATATATTATTTATGTATTATTTTGCTTTGGAATCTTGGAGGATAAAGGTAAAGTAAAATAACCTTCCAAATTAACTCTTTATAAATTAAACTCGTGGTATCCTTGTAAAAGTACAAATACACAACACCGAATTGATTAAATGATTGAATTATGATTGATATCTTAAATTAAGTCAAGTTATCTAAGATAGTAGTCTATTTAATTTAATTCTGATTCAATAGCCTCTTGAGTACCATTATACTACATCAGTATATTCCTGGAACTCATTTCCCTCTTGAAGAGCAATTATTTTGTATATGAGAAGCTCCACAGCCCTCTAATGAGAGGCTGATAACTTTCAGCCATGTCTTGCATTTCATATCCGGTTAGAGGACTCCATCTGAGGATTTTATTAATTCTTCATCTCATGATAGGTAGAAAAATGAAAACATAATCAGTGCGCCTAACAAGGCAATAACAATTCAAAAATCTGGGATATTGTTTTGATGTTGATACGATTTTCTCAAATTCAGCATTTTGCTCTTTTAGGAGGTTTTATGTGAAATGAATGCTATTTGCGAATACTCAAAAGTGTGGATTCATGTTTTAATTAGGTTCCTTCTATATGGGCTACATCTAAAAGTATCATCTAAATTCAAAATTGATTAAAGATTGTAGACGTACAAGTACATACGACGTGTGCATAAAGCAAGTAGTTTGGCTTTTCTTGCATAAAATATATGGTTCTCGATATTTTTGCTTGAGTTGTGGCGGACAGAAGTAGCTCTCCACAACACAAAGGATTAGCCCATGACCCTCGTCTAATACTAGTATCCACAGCCTTGTTCAGATGTCCCCTTTTGGCTTAGGTACCTAGCACTACCTAGTATTGCAGATTTCGGTAAAAATATTTGTTAACTTTTCGCCTTGTATTGAATGTGTTTGATCGAACATTCTATATTTTCTAAATCCATGTGCTTCGGAGAATGCTCGGAACAAAACGCAGCTTTATTTCACTTACTGCAAGGCGAAAACATATACCGAAATCTGCTGGCTCTTACCATAACAAAGTTGGCGCATAGTCCACACTTCTATAATAAATGCTTTTCGCCAACTCATCAATATCCAAGAAAGTTCATTTGAACAACTAATCATGAACGTCTTTACGCCAATTGTTGAACCCATCAATTTCTGTTGTTGCCTACATTTCTTGTTTCATGTCATGTTGGCCTTGCAAATTCAAGTTATACTAGCGCGTTTTGGTATTGTTCGATTTAAGTTCCAGATAAGCAACTCGTTGGTTTATATTTGCACATATCATGTTCTTGCAATTGCTTGTCTTCTTTTTTATCAATGTGTGATGGATGTCCTTGATAGAAATATCAAGTTTGTTTCATGATCAATTGCAATTCATAGGCAAAGGGTATCGCTGGAATGGGTTGTGTGTTCACCTTTGATTCTGGAGTCCATATGGAATAGCGGTTGATTGATTAGTCGACATGATCAATTCAAGCTGTAAATCAATCATTTTCTTTTCCTATTTTTGATTTTGTGTTCTGGTACCATAAATCGATATTTTGAATATGATTGCGTGGCATATAATCTTGTGTCGTTTTAGCTGTACAATGGTATACTGTCTTTTGGTATTCTTAATATGCTGTCCATAATATGTTCTTGTAAAACAAACCAATCGCATGTATACAGACAGTTTCATACTGTTACAACTACACCCTATGCAGACAGAGCCTGTGGGAAATATTGGGTGCGGCGCAAATGAGCGGAGGGTGCGGAGCTAACGGTCATTTTTGAATTTAAAATTGGGATATTTCTGAAACTAAGCCGTTTTGGGACTTCAAATATACCAAGATATGTGTATTTGACACCAAATATCAATAAAATTGTGAAAATAGTAGTGCAATTCATTTTATAGCGACGCAGTATGCCTTAAACATTTCCCAGACCTATATATTTTGAGACTATCCTTTTAATACTGCGTCCCCAGCATTCATAAAAAATGGTGTTCAAGATACACTACCCATGCAAATTATTTTTGCATCTTGGAAGCCAGGCAGTATCTGTGTGATTTTATAAAAATTCGGAAATGTTCTTCAGATATGAGCCCCTCTAAGCTTCCAAGATGCAAAAATAATTTGTATAGATAGTGCACCTTGAACACCATTTTTTATGAATGCTGGGGACTCAGTATTAAAAGGATAATTTCAAAATATATAGGTCTGGGAAAGGTTTAAGGCACACTGCGTCGCTATAGAATGAATTGCACTACTATTTTCACAATTGTATTGATATTTGGTGTCAAATACACATATCTTGGTATATTTGAAGTCCCAAAACGGCTTAGTTTCAGAAATATCCCAAATTTAAATTCAAAAATAACCGTTAGCTCCGCACCCTCCGCTCATTTGCTCCGCACCCAATATTTCCCACAGGCTCTGTCTGCATAGGGTGAACTATATGAACTTCTCTTCTAGCTTTCTGGAGCTCTGGGTCGACAGCTACCTCTTTACGACAATTGATATTTTTTAAATTCCATGAATTAGATATAATTGAGAATGTATTTAACAATCATTTAAATACTTCATTGGATTAGTCTCATTTCTGAAAATAAATGTTTGAAATCATTTATTTTTCAAAATCTAAATCCACCACAAAAATAACAATATTTTGTCTGATATTTTGGTTGTTAAGGGCACTTTCTAGCGAAATCTTAAACAAATGATGCATCAGCAATGTTTATTTAACCCAGGGGCGGATCTGGGAACCAACAAGGGGGGGGGGAGCAAATTTCAGGTCAGAAAAACTAATTTTGAAAATATCAATTATCGTTTTGTCCATCTCTACCTACAAATCAGCATCTAATACAGGCACACTAGGTGGTTTATACGACATCTTCATAATTGTAAACAACAACTTAAAGAAACGTTAAATGATTTTTACAACTACATCTAAAATCTACATATTGTAAATTGACATACATATATACGACAAGCTTCGCAAAGCGACATCTACACACAGATACAACGATATCTACTGTACATGTTGTAAAAACGTTCTAGTTACGCTAAACGATTCATACGTCTACAAATAAATATGTAAATAAACATTCCATCGACATTCATCTGCAAATATTGTAAATCGACTTTACAGATGCGCTAAATGATTCGCACAGCGACATCTACAGAACATAAATCAACATTCCAATACACTAGATGCTTCATACGGCATATGCATCAGAAATCTATATTGTTAACCATGTAATATCCTATCATCATAGATTTGTCTGAGGGGACAGCATGATTAAAAAATATGAATGTCATGAGAGAAACGTTGTTTAATCAATGATAATTGCACAAAAAGCAACGTTTGGTAGACAGAATGGCACCACACTTTAAACCACATAAACCACACTTTTAACCCTAAGTAGAACGTGGAAACGATCTGTAGACCAAGTCTAGTTTTCTCAATTTTCATGGAGAATATTTTATAGTCTTGCCTCAAGACTGTCTCCCTCCCCCCCCCCCCCCTGTACCTTCCCCAAAACAACAAAATGAAGGTGGTGTACATAGGGGGTTACAGTACACATCTTCCAGTCTTCATTATGTCCTGAATTCATCAGCTTGAAATACAATATAATACTTTGTTTACAGGGTCTGGAACAATAGATTTTGAAGAGTTCCTCATCATGATGGTGAAACAGGACCGATCAAACAGAGAGGACGAAATCCGCGAAGCATTCCGACTCCTCGATAAAGATGGAAATGGGTTTATAAGTGCAGCTGAACTACGGTTCCTTATGACATCTTTAGGTGAGGGTGATGTTTTAGATGAGGTTTAAATCCTTAGAGAGCAGTAACTCATCTTGAGTTATCTTCGGTTTTATTTGAAATGCATCAAGACGAATGTATATGTCATAGCTAGTGATGATGAACTTTAACAACAATATTAAATCATAAGTAATTCTATTTCATTTGCAAATAACATGCAGTTAAGAAACCACCTAGCCATTTACTATTATCATTAATTTCCCAAAGGAAAACAGCTAGCAATGGCACATACACCTTTACCACTACAGCTACCCTGTAAATCACATCACCATTACTAAATGCTGTTTTCTATTAGTGATTACTGAATTTCCTCCCTATTCACCATGAACGCATATCAAATGAATGTAAGTGGTCGATACAATAGGTTTCTACATGCAATTTCTGTTAATATGTTCATCCAACATCATTCGAGACTAATGAATTCTAGTATCTTCAGCATTTTTTGATGACAAAAGTACTGGAAATATTTTAGCTCATCCTTCTTCAAAGGACTTCATTTATGCCTATATACTTGTAAAATACCCTTTCAGCAAGGATGATTTTAGCTCTTCTGATTGTGTAATATGAATGAAATGAAATGTCCCTGAGTCCCTAGTGGTTCTGGATTGTGATAACGGTTCCAGAACGACTGTGGATCAAGGATTGTCAGACAGTGTTCCTTTGTACTAGTAGTTTGGAATATCGGGGATTTGTTTTCCTATGTGACTGGCTACTATTACGCTATTGTGTTTTTGCATACTGTGCTGTTGGTACATGGGCTTACATATTCATAGAAAATTAATTTCACAGAAAAACAATAATTGGAGAAAAACTCTTGGAATGTTATAATTACATGGCTTTGTTTGAATCCATTGTAATATAGTAACGTAAAGTATGTGGTTGTGCCCTTACTTTCTGAGTATGATCATTCATTTCATGATCGAATCTCTTGCAATATTAATCCCATTATTGTTTATGGAAATAATGGGATTAGTTGATCTCGTGACATTAAAAGCATAATTAGTGTATACTAAAAAAATGTAATGTAAAAATGTAGACTATGTGGAGGTGCTCTTTTGTGTATTTCTACTAAATAAAAATTCTTTCTGTCTTCCTGATTAACGTTTGAATTCTTCAGGTGAAAAGCTAACAGAAGAGGAAGTGGATGAGATGATCCGCGAAGCAGACATGGATGGCGATGGACAGGTTAATTATGAAGGTACACAACTGAATCAGTCATATTTTCTGTACAATAAGCAGTTCTTCCATGAGGAGTCACTGTCACGGTTATACTCGCAATCCTATGTCTACATGTCTAGACAATATGGAGAATACGACTTGACTGTATTCGAAAATTCAAAATATTTCCGTATTGTCAAGTATATCCGCCAATAATGTTAATTATATCAGACATATAACACTACGTTATTTCAGTTCTTGATATATCTCATTCTTTATTTAAAAAATTAAATAAGTGTATACCCTGTACAGGGTGGTCAAAAATGGAAACCCTGTATTTTCCTCATATCTTTGTCATTTTAACAAATTACTCCCTGGTATTTCACACATTTGTACATCATTCAATTTCTTATCACCTTTACTTCATGACCTCCTCCGATTGTCATGGGGTCATTAACATACACTCTATTTTTGCCGTATCGTCACAGGTAAGAACATTTTGGACGAAGTGTGCAGAGTTGCCTTTAGCGCAATAGTGGCCACTTGCTGTGTAACATTGTTAATGTCAATCTGGTGGTCATCGGTAGGTTGGCAGGAAATTGAATGTGTATAATTTTGTAAAATATCGAAATTATTTCCTAAAATAACAAAGATATTAGTAAACTGGCGTAATGATTTCCATTTTTTGACCACCCTGTATTAATGAGAATGATGGTATGTTGCAGAGTTCGTAAGAATGATGTCCCAAGAAAATTGACGACTGGACGTAAACGATGATTTCCACATTCCAAGATTTACAATGAGCATGCTCGTGCGCATGCTTATGAGAGCCAGTGCAGCACATCACGTGATTACATTTGCTCAGGACAGCCAGTATAATATCTAGTTTAACTGAATTCGGAAAATAGGATAGAAAAAACGTTGTACATAGGAAGTATATGCCAATACTGGGATCATAAATGCAAGAAGTGTCTCTTTTGACAAAGTGAGAATGAACAATATAAAAGATTATGATATGTCATGATGATGTCTATAACAACATAGCTATTGTTCCAACAATGTCAGGCTGGCATCATGCATTATTCAAGATTACTTTTTTGCTGAGTGTTGAACAGTTGTTTTATTCAAGAATTGCTCGTTTTGCTTCATATTGAGTCATTCATTGTTTCTATGCATCAACTTGTATTTTTATTACCATTAGTATTACCAGATAAAGAGATATTACGTAAAATTGTAAGATCTCCAACTGTCAGGAATTCCAGTCTACAGTAGACCCATTTAATTGCAAGTCCTTGTGACTTTCTGCACAGTCAATATTATAGTCCGGGCGGACAATCATATTTGAACGAATGATTATACTGTATGTACATGTCACCTCAGCAGTATGTACGGTTCTGGTCAGGGTTTATGTACCATATACACGTGTATAGCATTGAAGCTATAATGGACGTTTGTCAACGTTTTACAACATTATCCCAAAATGGTTTCACAGATTTTCTTCATAATTATTTAGCAATTGGTAAAAAGCATATCCTCGTAAAGCAGTAAATGTTGTAAAAGCATATGCCTTTAAATGTACTTCCAATATTGTGTCACAGCTAAGAGCAATTTTGTGTTCATGGCCAAAACTAGGCAAGATTCTTTGATACTACTCGCCGAACATAACCGACTGATAACATGGACTTGGATTCTGAATGCTAGCGTATACATAAGGATGTGCTGCATACAACTGCTACTGTAGACATTTCTGTTCTTCATCCAGAATCTAGTTTCTAGGACATTGTTATGCCAAATAATTACACAAATTGAAAGATATAATTAGAAAGGAGGATTAGAATTAAAGGGATGCATATTATTTATCCAATGTTCCCCCTTGTCAAGCTACTCTGACTCATGGTTATAAATTAACGATCATGATCATGTAATATTGCTTCCATTTGACCCTTTAGATAGTTTATATATTGATTCCCATTGTAAAGCTAAATGTATTCCTTTAAAACAAATCCTCTATCTTGCCTCATTCAGCCTTTTAACGCGGTTGCGTTTATTCCATTTTACATGGTTATTCTATACATTTTGTAGTTACATCACAACTGGTCATCTTGAAGCATAGAACACGGTCCATGTTCAATAACATTTAGAGACATTTACAGACATACTCAGAAGCTTGTTACTGGGGGTCATAAAACGATCAGACTAAATATTTCCATAATTAGTTATCGTGTGAGCGTGCAGTGTTTTATTTCTTTATTGAATTTACTACATGTAATTTAAAATTATAGTTACACTTATTCAACTTTATGTAATATAGAATGCGTTGTTTGTTGTAAATAAAATACAATAAGTATAAATCATGTGCAACTGTTAATTTTCAGATTTTGGTATACGAATCATTTATATTGAGAAACAGAATATAACGGAGTAAATAGATCCGTTTTTACCCAATAGATGCTACCAGCTACATAATCTCCATATTTATCGTATTATCTGTAAAATGAAGCCCTCTGATTGGTCAGTTCTTGTGCTGTGCTAATCTGTATTGCTACTCAAATGTATTGACCTAATTGATCATACCATAAAAACGTTATATAAATGATTTGAAGTACAATACGGGATATATTCTTCTCTAGATATTTTGTATTGGCACTCGACTTTGTCTCGTTCCAATACAGAATTTCTCGAGCAGAATATATCTTGTATTGCACTTCAAATCATTCAATAACTTATAGTATCAAAGAACAAGTATCGTAACGATCGTATAAGATATGATACTATACCTCGGATATGTGTGATTGTATCAATATTATTTTCGTATTATGTTTCATGAATTCAGGTTTTTACCCAGTGTATGGATATTATTGAAAATTAAGAGCACTGAGGTCCATGTATATACAGGGCGTCAAATAAGTCTGTTCTCCCCCCTTAACTTTTTAATTCAGAGATAACATAGAGTTGGTATATATCATCTTAAAGGGAATTTAATTTGCTGATCACACACCAAATTTCAGAGTGATTGGTTAAATTCCAAATTTTTAAGAGTATTTTTAGTGATGTCCATATTTCACTTTTTTAATAGTCTGTATGTCTCCCCCAGCAGCCCGGAGGGCCTCAATTCTACGAGGATATGATCCTGTATAAATCATTCAGAACGTTTAATTTTAGGTGTTATCAACTATTTTGTGATTAAAGATGCCCCTGCTTCAAAGGCTCCCCTGAATGTAACACATGTTACTCTGTAATGATATTGAGAAACATCGAAATCACCCAATGTTGGCATTGTCACTGCAGTATCAACTTTTCACTTTTCATTCACTATACCTGGTAATTTTACTTGTTTTGACGTAATCAAAGGTCAACTACAGCCTCACAAGAAACATTGTAGCAATTTTATTTGGAGGAGTTAATGATTGATTTTTTGAGGGTGATCAGCATTTTTCATGAGCTTCAAAATGATATATGGGAAAGTATGATAAATTTAAAGATAAAAAAGTTAAGGGGGGAGAACAGACTTATTTGACACCCTGTATATACTCGTATAAGTTCACATCAAGAGGAACGATATGACACAAATTGAAAAGTTCACAATTTTAACCACATCTAAAAACAATATCATTTTGCTTTACAAGAATATTGATAATCTTAAACAGATACTTTATTCTAGAAAAGCTACATAATATAGGAAAGCAAAAAAAACAGACCGAAGAAGAAGGCATCGGAGTCTGAACATCCTTGGTCCAAGGGCATTTCACTTCTTTCCATATGAATAAGGTAATAAATGAAGTCCTTTGAATGAAGGATGGAGTCTGAACTACCCTTTGCATTCGTTTGACTTCACTTCTTAAAAGAGTGCTTCGTGTAGTTTAACTAGACTCTGCACGCAGGGTAAGTCTGAACATTGTATTCCATGTTTGAAATGTTATACCCACAATCTGTATTAAACAATTTTCTGCTAATTTGGTACAAAATGACGAGTCGGATTATATTGCATAGTATTTGGTTTCAAAATATGAAAACAAATTATTTCGATGTAAAATTGTGATCTTAATTTTTATGTTTATATAAAGAAGGTTCCAAATTACGGAGTAATCAAAAATCTAAAAATTATTAGTAAAATTCCCCAAACCTAGACATGCTCTAAACTTCAGGTTGCCAGACTTGCAGGGGTGTAAGTGCAATCTATAGTCCCCGGGATTCCCCTCCTAGGATTCCTCTAAGTGGGGGGGGGTTCGGGGTAGGATTTCGGCGGCTATATACAACAAGAATATATAGCTAGCCGACCTTCAGCTCCATAGATGCCCATACAAACACTTCGCGAGGTATGTAACATAACATAAAAAGATCCTAATGACATATAAAATAAAATAATTGCATGCATTTCAAGATAAAAATTTATTTACAATATCCCACATGGTATTTACACATATCAACAATATTTTCAAATGTGATAATCGACTTAGTAAAACAGTTCATCAGCTGTTATAAATCAATTAAGTAACAAGATTGTACATTTTGTGACACACTCTCCGGAATTGAGTGACGTGTTAGAAAAAGTTGTCACAAGGCATTGTTTTTAAAACAAGATCTATTTAGAAGGCTTCACATATTTCAGTTTTTGTCCTGGTTTTGGTGCCGGTGCCCTATACAGTTTCAACCTGGCCAGAAGATTTACAAATTCTCCCAAATTGATTTTGTTATTTTCATCAGCGGCTGTTTTAAGAAAGAAATCTACTTCTTGTGGAGCTAGAGCCCTGCCATCTGCTGTTTTCATAGAAGCGAGACCTCTTGCGGCCTCATCGTACTCGAGTATTCCAGAACCGTCGGTATCGAGTGCCATAAACTTCTCTACTATCTCTGCAGAGCTGGAATGAAACAGGGTTGCCATCTTTATATCAGTAGAGTAAGAGATATTCGTAAGAAGAACAATAAACATTTGCAAATAATATCTAATGACCACTGGGGAAAATGTCTAAATTAAGTTGAAATAGTTTTATTATTCTTCATATATACGCATGTTTAATTAATTAAATACCACCACTGTAGCAAGTTAGTTGAGTTGGCTATCATGGCATTATATACTGGAGTTGTTATATTAGGATATTCAATGAGGAAAAGGGGAAGATACGTGTAAAAAGAATCGTCAAATAATACATGAGAATACAAATGAATAAGAAGAATATCATAGAGGATAAAAATATGGCGCGTAATAATCCTTACTTGTTGCCTGCACACATATAAAAATGTTGGAATTCCCAAATACTGAGGAGATCATTCTTGTCTTTATCGAATGTCAGAAATATTTGTTCGGCTTGGGTGTGATCTAAAGAATACTCTTTCATTAACATATTGATCGCATCGTTTTTCTCAAGATGACGCACTTGGTTATCCATGTATTTCTCAAACATCTGAACAATGTGTTTTCTGGAAAAGAATGATAGATATGGTTAGGAACATTGGATGGGATAAAATGAAAACATATACAACATATCTCATATACTTAATTTTCAGATATTTCTGAGTAAGCTTTCATTGTTGTACTAATACTATCTAGTTTAATTGGGCCGTTTCTGCTTAATCAAAATTGGTAAACTATTGTCACTGGAAAGGTAAGTCTTGAAATGTCTTGTACCTATATACGTTTGAACTCTCACAAGCGTGATCTCTAGTGTACTCTTTAGTGATCAATATGTGATTGTTCGACATCAGAGAGTCAATAAAAGACATATATTTAGTATCACTTTACTTACTTACATCACAAAACGACACAAGTACAACCTCTCACCATCGTTTATCATTACACTCATAGAAGTTATAAAATACTTACGGGACTCTCCTCGCGGCTAAGTTGCCCGCAGTTATGTTTCTCTGGGCCATTGCAAATTATGCTCTCACAACGCTGACCTGAAATGGAATGCCAAAATAGATTACTTGATAAAATTCAAGCTACGCTGAGGAAATTCTAGAAACCAGATGCAGTTTACTCTGGAAAATACCAAAAGTGAATGGTTTATAGTGTGAAACATATCATCAAAGTTCAGAGAAATGTTTGTTTAAATCAGTTACATATACGTATATGTGCCTTTGACTTTTTAAAACAAGTCTATCCTTTTTCAAACATACAACATTTAAAAAAACATGCGAGAGTATATTCATGAATAAATAGTGTGGGCAGTGCATATTAATCACTAGCACTCGTGCTGAAACATCCCTGATAAACATTCCTTATGATGTTTGAAAATGCTTTGGAATAAGAAAAGTATTTTCTATATTGGCCTAGTTTATAACAATTTTCTTGAAACTGAAATGGTAAGATTACAGCTAGCTTCGAAATTGACTAATAAACTCAAACAGTCAAACGTGAAATGCATACCCCTTACTCCTAACAAACAGCAAATAACTGAGAACATAGACAAAATACTTAGGTCATCTGGCCTTCCACAATTTATATGTTTCACTAAGCAATACATTTTTGCATACGTTATAAGTTAAACCTTCATCCGGTTTGACCCAGTGTAGAAACTTGGGAATCATTATAAAAACAGGTTTGTTAATCCAATGGTTGTTTTCTTAAAGATGGAGATAGCATAGGTATGTTAAAACAAGTGATATCTTATCTTGTTTTTCATTACTAGTACCTTAAAAGCGGATTAGAGGAAGTTGGCATTTGGCACAAAGACTATCTCTATATTGATTGTGTAATTGACTTAGATGGGAATTAAATTGTTTCTAATTTGCGAATTGATATTTTGTTAAACAACCAAGATAGAATGCCATAATTGAAACCAATATGTTATACTACATGTATACATGTTAAGAAGTACTTTAAAATCACTACTTAACATATTGTACGTGCTGTCTGGAAAATTCTCCCTGAGCAAAACATTCCTTTCAGTCGGGGTAATAATAATGATTAATTTTGCAGCAAGTGGAACATCTTCCTCCCCTTGACATTATCATGGTATAGAGCACTAATGTCGTTTTCTTTGACTTTTATGACTAAGCTCTAAAGGGTGGTATACAAATGAAAGAACGTGGTTCAATCCTCAATATCACAGAGAACTATTTACATATGATCTGCATCGTTTTTAATGTTTATAACTGTATAATTTTTTGGGGTAAAATAACACTAAAACTATACAAATCATATGTAAATAGTTCTCTGTGCTCAATATAATCTAATAATTCGTAAGATTTTTTTCTAATTACTCGACAAGTATCGGTAGGCTATACCTACCTATTGTGAATCCATATAAGTCATTTTCGGCAAATATGCTTGATTGAGATTTGAATTAATTAATAGATTAACATACGCGATACAGATAATAGCATGATTTGTTTCAATGTTTGGATAAATATTCACAAAAATATCTACTTAAAAGTGAAATCATTGCAAATGTAACTTACCTGGTATTTGCTTTATATCCTTACTTATCCTAAAATCTCTTGTTTAAACAGGAATATTTGTTCCACTTTTCAGTCTATTTCTGTATTTGTAAGTTGGTCTATTTAGTCTAAATGCCAGTCTGTGCGGTTTGTTCGCTATGTTATTCACTGTCTTTACTCTCAAAAACTGCCGTCTAAGTGTTTACTGCTGCTTTATATATTATGTTTATCATTCTACTTCCTTTGCTGGAATTCTCTTCTGAATCAACATGGTACTGAAGTATGTAAAGAGCCTTGTTATTAGTAGATGATGATTCATTCATTTAGACATCCAAAAAAATGTTATTAATTGTTTCCAATTCTACATGAGTAACTTTGATAGTTTGAGGTCGTTCACTTTAATTTAAAAAGTGACTTTAAGTTGAAAACATCTTAATCGCGATGCTATGACACGAGTTTTTTGTTGAACGAAATGGCAATTTAAAGAAATAAAAATATGGCCCATCTGTATGGAATAAATAACTATACTATTACCTACTATTGGCGTTATGCCTTTGATTGATATTAAAACGAGGTGACTTCAAGCCTTTGGCTACTAATTTACAAAAATATTGGTAATTTCCATTATTAAAAGTGCACGGATACATACATGACAGTTTGACATTTCAAAAACGTAATATTTTGGTCTATGTTACACTGACCAACTGACCACATTAGCCATGTACACAATAAGGCCAATTGGATTAAATGACTTAAGAGCCCAAAATATTCTAAAATTGAAACAATTTTGGTCAAAAGATCATGATGAAGATGATGATGAAGACTTGCTAAATCTGATTCTGCCTTCATAGAACAAAAAACGTGAGCTCGTTTTGTTATGTAGCCTCATATACAGTGAATGGTGATTGTTTTATTGACCTAAAAATAATTCCGTGAGTCTGCCAAATAGCCTGCAACAGACAGGAAATAATTAATAGACAATGACACCATACATGTTTTTAAATTCTGATTTTTTGCACTCGCTTAAACATCATTTTCAATAATATGAACTTCTACCTAATTGTGAAAGTATCAGTATATCCAGGAACGCTAAATAAAATCAGCAACGCATGTCTGGATTCTTCAAAATTGATCTTAATTGGATCTTAACACCTTATAATCTCGCCAAGATTATTAATTTGATGGACAGATATAGCTCGGAACACAACACCGAGCTGTCATTGCTTGAAATAGAAATACTATGAAATACTTCCGACTTTGTTGTCAAGAAGTTGGAAAGTGAGAATATTGATGAGTATTGGAATTGTGATAGTTGTTCTTATATCCACCATACATGTTGGTGTAGTGGACATTGTTTTATGTGTTTGATTCATTGCTTGAGATTTTTGTTCGTTTGACAGGCTTTTCTATGTCTCCTTTCTTACCTTTTCGTTTGAACATATGGGCTGGTCTTTCCCTTTTATTGGTACGTGGAGATGACCTCCCCAAAATGGCACTGAACAAGAAAAAAATATGTTTGCACTTTTTTCATTATTTTCTCAAAACTTTTCTTAAAACATAGAGGACACAAAATAAATTCATACTATTCAACATTCAAGCCATACCCCTCCAAACATCCCCCTCAGAATAATAGGAAACGTCAGTTTTGCAAAATGTCGGTCATCTCCGAAATGTGTAGGCTTCACTTGCCAGGATTTACCTAGTGGCCGCTTTTACCAGGGGAGCTTTTTTACACTTTTGGCAAAAGATATGGATGCGAAAAGTGCTTGCTTGAGATGGTGAAAAACTGCATGATTTTGAAAGAATTTCTGGCCAGAGGGGTGGGCTTCCGCTTTCCCAGCCCCCCCCCCCCCCCGGTTACGGGCCTTTTCCAGGTGTATAAGAAAATAATTAGATGCAATAGTACATTGGTTTTGGTATTCCTAACAGATGTATTCAATGTCGGCTCAACCTTGTACAACTTATCTTCTCTCAACTGATATGCTGACTGTTGTTACATGCGCATTTGATTTATCTAAAATAACTCACTTTAAACTACTTTTTACAGTTGCATGTTTCTATGTAAGATACCTTTTGTTCAAAATATCAATGTCTCGGGAAGGTCTAAGTTAAAGAATCGGTTACTTAGGCAACCAAGGTCTAATTTATATGAACTGTTATCCACGGATCGCGGTTCTTGTTGAGTTTATCTCGGTGGTAAATCGTTCTCCCTTGCATTGCATTTTATTTAAAGTCCTGGTATTGTCGGATGATGGGGTTGCGAATTTATGTTGACCATTGGACCACGTGATCAATGGCGCCTCAAATGTTCAAATCAGATGATGATGTCATACAAATCAGATGATAATGTCATACATCTTTTCAGAAGCTTCTCATGAAATAACTAATCCATGAACCTACCATTTTTATTACATTTTTCGAATCACTATATCTATGTCTATAATAAAAACCTAGTTTGAAAATGGTAGAGTCCCTTATTCTATAATACGCCATTATATTAAGACTGAGAGATAACAAAGACAAGATGCGTTTACTTTTCGGATATAAACGTTTTTCGTGTACTGGGTGGGCTCGTTTTGAAGATTCCTGACTTATTGTTTATTTCAACTGGAAGAAAGTATCAGATTGGAGATAAGAATATTGGTTAAACTGTTCAAGGCTACATACGCTTTCCCAAGAATAATGTTCGTTGAATAACTAAAATTCAACAAATCGTTTATTTTCTAATAATAGTATTTTTTTAAATTCAACGTAACATAAATAGACTGGTTATATTGGCTATAACCCCAGAGGGAGTATAAAATGCCACATGATGTTATTTTACAAAAATCTATATGTATGAGGTATTATGGGAGTGTTCAAAGTATGATAGTGTACATCGTAATAGTTGAAACTAAGTATTTTAATTGAATTATGTTTCTTCTTCGATGGAATAATATTACAAATAGTACAATAAAATCATTTTGAAGGAATGAGACGGGAAAGAGAATATTGAAAGTTGGAAGCCATGTTCTCGAAACTCATTTTCCGAAAAGTTTAGAAATACACATGAAAATAAATATATGTATTAAGATGAGTCTCATTGATTATTTATGTTTGAAAATTATTTCCTGAACTTTCTTGAAAATGGGCATGGTGTTGAATGAGGGGAGCAAAGCCTATTGTAATACTGTGACAATTTCTTTTATACCAGGTCGTGCAATAAGTTCACGGAAAAATGAAATGCTCTCATTCCACAGATTCTTGATATTTTCCCATGAAATCATTTCAGTATTTTTTGTACATTATGTGAAGATTTCATGAGAAAATATCAAAAAAGCATTTTCCGTGAACTTATTGAACGACCTGGTATACTCTCAACTCGTGTCTATCCCCTTTTGATAAGTCCCTTTAATTTACATTTACTTAGTATTTCGAGATATTTTCACCTTTTTCAACACCGTACCTTTCAAATGATCATGATATCTCATGTGTGTTGTTACAAGTAATATTTATGGAAAGAAATGAAACATTACTCGGAAATGGGTAGTTTGCGCAACTTCAATTTTTAAATGAAGGCACGTTAAAGTATAATATTCACCGTGGTACTATGTAATCACAAGTGCCAGGCGAGGGAAAGACTAAAAGTGTTATGAAATCTAATGCTCAACAAAACATGCAGGCCCGTAACCAGGATTTTGACCCAAAAATGGCCAAATTCACTAAAAAAGCGCTCAGAATGGTGAAAAACTGCATGATTTTGAAAGAATTTTTGCCTAGGGGGGGACCCTCCAACCTCCCCCCTCCCTTGCTTTTTTTGCTACGGGCCCGATATGTCATAAGAAAATAAATCCCCAATATCCCAATATATGATCCAGTGTTCCAACACCTTCTCCCATAAAAAAAGAAAAATTTGTAATATTTTCGGATGGGTTTATTGCGATGGGAATCGTTTTCCAAACTTATGTAGGAGAATGTATACTTAAGTGAATTGCGAAATCGCAAAAGATGAAGATGAGCAAGAATATGATATTTCCTCTCGTGGATGCAGACCATGTTTACATAAACATATGCTGTTGCATGCTGACTCATCTCGCAGAGGTGTTGGGAAATGAGACATACTCCCTGCTGTTACTATCAGTTCTCACCAACCAGGTGAGGCAACATAAAAACAATCAATCTGGGATACTAGAAATGATTATAGCATGACCTAATATATCGCTATCGAATCTTTATTGTTTTCCTTTGAGAGTCGAGATTGGGTTTGCTTTAATACTATGCCCCCCCCCCTCCTGTGTACTTCACCTTCCCAACAAGTTGAATGTGAAGAACACAGGGAGGGTTACATAGTCTTGAGGCAAGACTAAGTCGAGATCTACGTTGTCATAATTATCACTGCATCATTTCTAAGTAAGTAGATTAAGCAGTGGCGGATCTGAAAGCTAACAAGGGGGAACACATTTCAAGTCAGGAAAAAATGTTTCTGCAAAAAGATTGGGCACTTAAAAACCAAAAAGTGGGCCCAGATTTTGAAAAGTTAAGGCCCATTTTTAATAATTTTCCCTGAAGTCAAAAATTAAAGGCCTAAAAAGGCCGAGTAATGCCCAAAAAGGCCCACTTATTGAGGCCCTGTTCCGTAACGTGAATGCCTCTCAAAAGGAACACTTTCGTCTGCATAATCAAAGGTGTTCCATTTTTCCAGGTTTTATATCAACATGTGTATCTTGATATGATCATGTAAAAGACAAACTACCAGCTTTCCGTCAATCATTATTTTAATTAATACAATAGTACATGTCAATATAGTGAGATAAGATCAGTCCATGATAAAATATATACAGTTAAAAGTTATATACAAATGGAATATTTTGGATATTAGTCTACGTATATCCTTTTGAATGACGTGATCGTAACTGAAGAGTCGTCACTGAAAACTGAAGATGAAGACGTACTTAGAGACACAATCGAAATATTTGAATCTCTCTTGGACAATTTCCTATGCGAGAAAGATCCACCTTCGCGATCTTGTTGTTTACAGAAGACCCTTGAGAATAGGTCCTTGTATAACTTAATAACCTTACGATTACAAACAAATGCAACAAAGAGGAAGACACCCTGAAGACAATTGAAAATAATGAACAGCAAGTTCATAGTATAGAGGAGGTAGCAAATCGGTTCGGTGGGTCTCGCAAGACCACTCACAACAGATGATGCGATGCCAAATATCCAAGTAAAACCCATGAATGATGACATTCTGAGGTACAACATGACGTCATTTGACGAAACACTGGTGACAGATGACTCGGAGAATTTACGTCTATTTTTACTCTTCAGGGAGCGGTTGAATTTTGAGTTCTGACGTAAGCGAAAAATAGTGAATATAAAGAGGATTGTATTGGTAACACAAATCAATGTGATGGGTCCACCAAATACAATTAATGTTGCAAGGGGCTCTCTGATCCAACAGCCGTATCTAATACCTATTGTATCAGAGGTTGTCTCTTTTGTAATGTTAGTCTGTGTGTCCATGTCAATGATAGGCCTACCATATCCTATTCTGACAGAAGGAAACATTTTCGTGTATTCAATAATGACACATGCGAGGCAGATCAGGAGAGGAGACCCCCAAGAGTAAAGCATATAGCGCCACCAATATTGTGTCTTCTCTCTTAGTTGGACCGTCATCTGTTTTGAAGCAAATGTACAATACATGTCATATGCCATGGTGTTCATCCAGAAGAAAGCACTGAGGAACATGTAATGGATGACAATCGCAACAATAGAACAAATGATGTGTTCTTTGACAAACGCCCCGCCGAATAACAGAAAGAATAACTCCGCAAAGAACAAAGCAACCGCAAGATTTAAGACATTACACCCAGGGAGGTTTCTCAGTTTTTTAAAGATAGTGTATGTAACGATAGTTATGAAAATAGAAACGATGGACACTGTTTTGAAAATAAGAGTTAGATAGCGCTGAATGATATCAAAGTACGCAAATGTGACACTGTGTATGCAACTGTTGACCACATTGGTTTTCGTTTTATAATAATCAGGTGGAACGCAAATAACCACACTCCCATTGATAGTAAATTGATAGCTGTCCAAGTCGTACATCGTATCTGATAACACGATAGAACGATTGGGTAAAATTTCATAGTTGTCATCCGAATCAAGTTCAATACGTGCGCACGCATCATTAACTATCATCGGGACTTTTTCACAGACGAACACAAATCCACTGATATCTTCTTTCCAGTATTCACCCTTTACGCATAATGTCAAATCAAAATCGCCATGTTCATAAAGTGTATCCGTCTCATGTATGTAAATATTGGTTCTGTTTCCGTCTGACATACCAATGTCAAATTCTTTGTCCAGGTATAGTCTTCTCATTCCATCTACACACCAAGTGTCATCCTTGGGCACTATCCCACCAAGATGTTCTTCCACTCCTGTGACCTTTACGATAAGCGCCCCAAGGTCCAACTCAAACAGACCATCTTCAATCAGTCGATTCATTTTTTCAATGACAGCATCAATTGATTTGTGATTATTTTCGACGCCTAATGAGAATGTAATTTTGACTTCTACAAAGGCAATTGGTATTTTCCTGAGCTCCGCCAAAGTTTTATTTTCTGAATTCGTATTGTTGCCAATTGGCTTGTTAGGCGAGGCATTAAGTCCCGTTCGGTCAAAATCGGCAGGGTGAACAATGATGTTTGATATACGATCAACCGCGACATCTAAAAGTGCAGACAACCCCTGTGCGATTAGTTCTGTATAATCACCATGCAAGAGAATGGCATACATCTCATATTGTACCTGGACAAGCATATTCATCACGAGATACACACGCTGCTTTCTGGTGCGGTCACGAACATTTTCTGCTTCAGAGGCGGATGGTGCAATTGCAATAGGAAGTTTTGGCACGCACTTGCCGTCAATAGGAACAAAATCATGAGCGCATAGAACTGTTCTACAAGTTTCTTTGAATGGATCGTATATTTCCTCACTGTTACACTGCGTCAAATGTCTAACATCGTGGTCTTCTTGCGTTCCCAGTAATATATGAGCTTTTCCATCTATACCAAAGTTCATCAGAATCGAAAACGATGCGACTGCTATTCCAATCTCAAAGAATGGGTTTCCATTTAGTTGTCTTTTATGAATTGATTTCGTTGTAGGGGTCGATGACTTACATTGCTTAATGTATGTCCAAGATGGTGGGTCCATGCTAAGCATGGTACAACGACCCTCCAAATATTCCTCCAGTTCTGATGGTTTTACGCTAAAATGTGGTGTCTCCGTTATATGTGGAAGTCCTTTGCACATCATATCAACCTCCCAGAATGACGCAAGAGTCTCCCCATGGCATAGGGCGCAATAATAGTTCCGGAAAACGATTCCAGTTTGGCCAGTGACGGGAATAGCAGTGAGTACACCACTTGTTGATGGATTATTGCACAACATATTGTTGGATCCATACATGGCAACTCCGTCATTTGAAGGACAAGAAGTAACCACTTCGATTGCACCAAAATCCAAATCTCTCGTGGCCCTACATTGCGTGTATTTATCCAACACATCTTGTGGGCCATCTCTTTGGGCAAAAGCAGCACTCTCACTGTCAGTCGATTGAAAAATTCCGGTTTCACGAGTTGCTTCAAATGCCAATTGCACATGACAAATTGAAATTAAAATTGTCACAATATAAAGTTTATCCATTTTCAAATATTTTCAAAAACTGCAAGTCTAATATATGACTATGGTACGTCCATGGTGCATAAAGCCTTTTCTATAACATAATTTGGCGCTGCGCTTATTATCGCTGTCACTGTCAATGTCAATTGTATCTTTGATTGTGCAATGTCTGTGAATCTAACAGATGGTAGCATATTGTAACTAGGGTGACTGCTTACATTATCCTGTCTTATCATCCATGGTTAGCCCCTATCAAAATTTTGAAGTTTTTTATGACTCTTTGTTATAGGCCAACGGACCTTTTACTTTCAAAAAAATTATTTGTCTAAAGTGTCTAAGATTTTATTTGTCTAAGATCTTGGAATTTTTGAGATTATATCTCTAATCTTGCAGTCTTTCTCTCAACGACCCCAACGATCATATGCGTTCTGGTTTTTGCAATGGGATATTACTAGGTTAATTATGAGAAACATCTACTTAGAAATCCTAACAACAATATAGATTTAGCAGACTTTACATTTCACTTACTGTGCTATAATAAACCATTTAAGATAAGTGTACTTGATAGACCCCAGATAAGGCCCACCAAAGTCAAATAACAATTCAGATTTTACCAATTATCGATATAATCATATCGTATTGAACATGACAGCTCTAATGTTTTTCCATCCACTCTTTCATTTTCTATGATACCCATAAAGAATTCCTTCATGTAATAGACTTGGTATTGAGTATTCTTGAGATGATGAGTTTGATAGTGCTTTCTCTGAACGCTTTCTCACTTAAGTCTGTCATGTGAAGAAAAACGTGAATTTAGCCGAGAATAATGAGATGGCACGATGATAACAATCATTTATACACTCACATGTTCTGACACAATGGACAACAAAATAAATGAAGAAAAACCACCCAGTTTTCATACAGAAGCACTCATCCCAATGAAAGAGAGACGAGTTGAAAGTAAAACTTTTTGTTTTGAATCTTGTTTTACTCAATATTTGATCGAACCAATTTTTTGTTGATATATTTTGTTACCACTTTATTCCTAGTATGTTAAACCAGTGCATATACAAAAGAAAATAAATATGACTGTCATTTATAATATACAATCAATTTTCATCTACCTCACTGCGAATAAGGCAGGTTTGTAAAGACATATGGCCCTCGGGGTAGATATATTATATAAGCCTTGGGATAATCCCAATCTCCTGGACCTCATATAGGATAATCTATATACACTCACACTTTACTAACTACAAAAACTTACAAATTATTTTTAGTTTTTAACACTATATTGTAAAGATGGAGTCACTGTACAGACTTTAGGCTAAGATGATTGAAGGGACTTGCGTAAATAGTATTCCGAAAGCATGAGATGGCATTTATCTTTAAAAGTCATTCTATTTTTAAAGTGAGAAAAAATGCATTATCATTTTTGATTTGACAAGAAAATCATTCTAATCTTGATTAGATAGTGTAACAAGGGACTAGCAATAAATCATAATGTCTTTCATTCTAATTAATTATATACAAATTGACATTTTGATAAATTCACAAGCATTATGTTTTGCATATTTGCTAAACAAGCAATATTTGCATGTTTGCAATGTAACAGAATTTGCATTGTTTGTAAGTTTCATTCATGAAACATATTCACAATTTGCATTGTATGAATATTCATTTAATGTTCCATGCTCAGTATTTGTATTGTTTGCATGTATTATTTAGGTAACATGTTCAAAATTTGCATTGTTTGCATCCTTGTGCGATCTTTGTCTGCCGTTGATGCTTTGATGAAATATCTTTGTAGAGGTCAACGCCTTGCTTCAACAACAGATCAATTCTTACCAAAATGTCACCAGTTTGAGTCATCCTATCACGAATCAGATCGAAGTTCCTAACCTGAAAATAAGAACAAATTAATTACACGATCAGGATAATACGATGATGGCTAGCCTCATTTCATTCTGATAATTTAAAAAAATAATCATACAAAAATAAATGATTACACATGCTATTGGCCTGATAATGAAATCGAAGTATTTCATGTAATCTTTTTAAACTACCCTGCGCGCAGAGTTATAAACTAGATGAAGCTCTCTTTTAAGAAGCGAAATCGAACGAGTGCAATGTAGGTCAGAACGGAGCAATTGATTCTGTAATGTCAACGATGTTTACTCACATCATCCCAGTCGCAGATTGTTGCCGCAAGTCCTTTATATTTCTTGACAACACTCCTCACCAACGGACATCGGGCACCACATTGGGGAAACAATTGGTGGACGTCCTGAACCAGCGCATACTTGTAGCCAAACTTGACGGTGAAAGGGATAGAGACATCAAGGTTCTTGTAAGTATACCCTTTAGTCGTGAGCCCAGAGGTGGGGTCGGCGATTTCTGTATATCTGATAAACAAAACAAAACAAGGCATGACAAAATTACAAAATGTCGCCACCTTTCGAACGTCATTGAAGGTCAACCAATGGTCAAATCTCAAAACTATAGTCATAGACAACTTGTAGATGATTTTGAAAAAATATTGTCAATTTGAAGCAAGTTGAAAAATTACCTTTTTGACCTCTTTACCTTGAAAAGGACATTGAAGGTCAACGCTCATATCTGAGGTCAAATTTGAACTTCATTGTCAATATATAGCAAGTTGGAAAAATACCTTGCTGGCCTTGTAAATGATTTTGTAAATTGGTCAATTTCAAGCTCATAAAGTCAGATTTGAACTTCTGAGAACTTGTGGATGCTGTTGAAATAATTTGGTTAATTTGAAGCAAGTTGAAAAAAGTCCTCCTTGACCTTTAGAAGCTCATTGAAGGTCAAATCTTAAGTCAGATTTGAACGTTTGAGAACATGTAGATGATTTTGAAAAAATTCAAGCTGGTATAAACAGTATTAATTTGTTAAGCTGGGAACTGTACGATTTTGTTACAAGAATTGTAGGCGCCGACCGCCGTGCACAAAAAAAGACCATAGCAATATAAAATGAAATAACTAGCCTCATGTTATGTGTATTGTTGGTGATATTGTTTCTGTCGAAGTGTTTTTGATGAAGACATATGATGCCTTGATAGATTGACAACCCCAGTTTGGTTAGGACCCCACAATTATGCCTTTCAATCCACATGCTCTCGCCCTCTCTTTGTCCCTCCCCATTCTTCATCAACTCTAAGTTTCTTCATCATCCCCTTCCAAAGGTGTTACGTTTGGACATATTTTACTCTAGTTAAATGTGAATGTGATACCTGTTTTAGAGATATCTCGGTTTTTATGTCTCATTAAGATATTTTTCAGTGTAATGTATATCATACCTGAGATCATCGATGAAAAGTCCATGCATCGTGATATCTTTTGAGGACTCTGCTCCATATGTGCCTCTGTGGTTTTTAAACATATCTGATGATGTGCTTTTAATACCCATAGCTGGGCGTCCAGAAGGCCTAGTAGTTTTCTTTTTACCGAGAGCTGATAGCTGTTTAAATAGAAGGGCTTGTTTTGCCCTACTTTCTTCGCTGCATAGAACCCTTGGGTCATCTGTTCGACGAGACAATGTGACATCGTTCGTCTTTGTTTCATGTGTATACGTAGCATTTTCAATTTCAATGATTTCATCATCATTATCATATGTTACATCAATTGTTACATTACTGGAGCTCTTTGACGTGGGGTAGTTCTCGTTTAGAATGTCACTCGATGGATCAATACTTGTAGATATGTAATCACAACGTGCCTCTCTATTAGATTCCTCGGAGACATTTTCTATAAACACCATGGGTGACGTCCAATCACATTCACAGGCAAATGGACTTCCTTCGCTGTTAACTTGGGAAATGCATTCATCCTGTTGTAGATCATCTATATGTAAGTGACTGGTCGTTCCAATGGGGAGTTGGTATTGATTGTCAGTTACTCCATCTTGTAAATTTGGTTGATCGTTTTCACATTTTTCCCACATGTTAAGCAAATGTTTATCATTAGCAAGACTACAACACGACACAATCTTTATAGTTTGCTCTTCAGTATCTATCACTTCCTGAGATTTTTCTAATACCACATTCACCATGTCGGCATTTTCTTTTGTTTCTTCTCGTTCATCAATGATGTCAGCGTGTTCATTTTCGATTAGGTCATGTTGGGAACTTTCGAGTTGCTCATTAATATCAACAGAGTATTTGGGATCGTTGGACTGCTTTATTTTGGTAATTGAATTCTGGGAAGGTAATTCTCCATCACTATCACAGTCATCTATCTGCTGTGTATCAACAGGTGTAATGGTCGTTGTACTGGCTTCACTCGCCTTAGGTCTCGCATTGGGACGATATGGCTGTAGATTGCCTTTAGCAGGGGAATCCACCTGACTCTTGTATATTCGCTTTTTCCAATGTACATGGGGTTCCAGTTTGACATCATCATCTTCTTTAATGTGATCTGCAACATTGAAAGATTCTGGTCCTAGCGGCCTATTACTTGTGTTATTTTCTGTTCCTTTGCCACAGACATTTATTTTCTGTTCTGTTAGTCTTTCTGTATCTTGACATTTGTCATTTGCAGGACTACTTGCATCTGTTGTTGCATAGTTCGAATGTTCAAATTCAAAGAATTGTCCACCCTCCTTCACTCCATCCACTTTATCTAAACCATCATCAGATGTATCTACAATTTTGAGAAGAGAGCTAGATTTTTTCTCTATGGTTATTGAATCATTCTCCAGTCCACATATAAGGCTTCTCATAGAATTCATTGAATGAGTTGGACGAATGCTGAATTCTTTTAAAACCTGGATGAAATCTCCGGATCCATCCACTGCAGGAAAAATCGGTTTACTTGTAGACTGTGCCAAAACGTGCTCCCCCGATCCTGTCCCTGTAAGGTCGTTGTTAGTTTCTGCTCCTTTGCCATTATTTGGTATAACTGTGACATTAGGATTAGTTCTTTCATATATATTAGCTTCGTTTTTGCTGTCATTGTCACTTATGCTCTTAATGCTGTCATTTTGTTTTGAATTATTTGCTTTATCTTTAGTAACATTATCGTAAACGATGGCCACGACTTGGTGTATGCCATCCTCCACACACTTCCTTGGGTACAATATATTTTCTAATCGTGTACCAAATGGAGTTCTCAACACGCCTTTTCTTCTTTCTTTAGCATCTAAATCAATTTTCTCGCACTCATGGTTGTTTTCCTTATTGATATCTGACATCTTGGTATGTTTCATTTTTGTCTTTGACTTCATTGGGCTCGGTCGTTGACCTAGCTTGTAATATACATTCCCTTTATCACGTATCTCCTCCCTTTGAATAATTGGAAAGTGGGGGATCTTTTCAGCATCATTTGGAGTATCCTTCACTGTATCGTTTTCAAACGATTTGCAAATATTTTCAAGTTCCAAACTTCTCAGAACTTTTCTTATGTCATGTCTCCAGATCTTCTTTTTAGATGGTTTTACTTTGTGTTTCTTCTCAGTCCTCTGACCGTCTTTTACATTAGTGTTACCCTTATAGTTTTTACTATAAGGTATAATCTCTACTTGGCCATATGTATTGGTGTCATATCGAGCCCCGATGAATACTTTCATATCACGTTTTTCATCATTCTTATGGTTGCCCTCTGTGGTGATCTTGATATCTTGTCCATTTGCAATACCTTGCTTGAGCATTACGTTATTGTATTTATTAGTCACGCCCATTTCTCCTTTATCCAGAGGAGACAGTTTGCTGCCATGAGCCTTCGTCCGATTCTCCTCTTTCTCTAGTTGATGGATAGGGATAATATGCTTTGGAAGTACTGCTCCATTTCGTATACGGGGATAAATTGGAGTGTCTTCTGCTTGGCCTCCTATTACTTTGTTTTTCTTCTGCGAAGATAATGATTTATTTTGATCTCTGGGTTTTGTTCCATTCTCCGAAGCACGAATTATGCCCGTGTGTGCGTTAACACCATTGGCGTTTACACTACCTTTGTCGATAACTGACAGCACCACACCGGGTATACCCTGTTCAATATTCGTAATCAGGTCTATCCTTTCTGGAGAAGACCATTTAGATCTTGCATCGTTTTGCATTTGTGTACCATCACCTGTATTACCATCTACAGGGTTTTCAGAGTCCGGTTTACGATTCGTATCAGCTGTTCCGAACCACTACAACAAAGTACAGCGTGGACACTAAAATCGGACATTTTGAATCATTTTTCAAAATATTTAAGATCACTGAGAACACGTAAAATAAATCAGTAAATAGTCCATAATTTACATTATTGATGCCCTATACTGAGACGTCATTTAAAATTCACACATGGCTAGGCAAGGTGTGTCCGATTCCAGCCAATCCGAACACAGAATTTTTACATGACAGCAGTGCATGAAATAATCAATTGGGCAATTGTTGCGTATGGTTGTTAGGGTGATGAGATTGCAATTGATGCTTTGCCAATACTTCACCCTTGCGAAAGGTCTCATTGAAAATATGTTGTTTTAGTGATTTTCGATCTTTAAGGTGACTTTGTAGAAAATATTTTGCAATGTGTGAAATGATTTTAACCCAAGACTCAATTCAAAGTAGCTGCTTCATTCCACTCAGGCGTTGTTTCCGAAACTTTGCATTCCCGCTGCGCGCTCATGCAAAAATCTGGAAACAACACCTTGGTATGGTTCAGAAAAAAATGCACTGAGTCTAGGGCTTAAATCCTTAACTAAACTCGCATTTAATCCTCAAACCTCAATTTGAGACGTTATTTAAAGTTATAACCTTTATAATTTATCAAGAATCAATAAATGACACCAGGAGATATTCTAGTTGATATGATATACCTGTGCATTATTGTTCAACTTAAACTAGATTTTCGACACATCCTTACCTTTTTTAGACAGTCTGTCATTGCAACTGAGTCCATTTTGAAGCCATTTGTATTCACTTCATTGTGTATTGTCAGTAAATGCGTCCGTTTTATCAAAACACTCTGAGATGTCATAAACCTCCAGCTTTGGTCTGAAATATAAATAAGTTGTCAGTATCGTCAGTCAACTGAGCAGTTGGACGTTCAACAGTAAAATTAAAAGACTTTTTTTAGCATCATAATCAAATGGGATTTTCAAATGACAAACATTTTTGTTGCACTTAAAGGGATCCACCACCTTACAAAACTTCTTAACGGAGAGGAATAAGGGAAAATGCTTGCCGGATTCTGAATCTGTGTATTTTTTAATGATTTTTCACCGTCTTAGAATTTCAATTTTTGTCCTTTGAAAAAATGAGATTTGCATTGTTTTCCAATTAGAAAAATGAGTAAACATGAATAGCTCGAAATCTAACGGTGAGATTTTGTTTTAAAAAATCATGGATATCAAGGCTAAATAAAGCTATACAGTAAACATAAAAAGCAATGCTTGGACTCTTCATATTCACACAAAAAAATTAATTAGTAAATGAGGTTTGATATTTGTGAGAATAAGTTGTACGAGGTGCAATGCTCTACAAACACCAGACTACAGGGTGGATTTGGATCAATGACACACATAAAAATTAATTTAAAAATATTTCACGATAATTATCTCAAACAAAAGCAGTTAGCGAAGGATACATTTCATTACACTCAATAAATAGTTATCACTTTTGACTATATATACATATCTCATGGGAATGTATTTCCATCTGCTCAAGATGTCATATTTTAGCTTCGAAAATCACAATCGTTGGATAATACATTTGTCTCAGAATGATAGGCCACCCTGTAGCAATGTAGCTTTCATTTGAAGTGTACCCTTGAGAATAATGATCTTACTTTCAAATTGGTCTTGCTTTTGTGGTGTATGTGGCTTTTTAGCAAATCTGCCACGCTCATTTCTTTCCAGAACCATCTTGTTCAAATGTATCACTATACGCGCATGTATAGACAGATGACATAGATATACATATAAATTATATATTGCACCTGTATTTACTTACATGGGAATATATTCCCTTTGGAAAAAAGCAAATGCATGAACATATATTTTCATCTTATATATGACTTCAAGCTAACATATTATTTCACATTTATATTTTCATAGTTAGTTTAACATGAATCCATGATCCATGAGAACAATATTCTTTGTTTTTTTAAATTGATGGGTTTACTGTGAATTCAAAAAATTACAATTTGCAAGGGGTAAGTATACTGTATGAGCTAGCTAGTGGCTTTGTATTTTATGTTAGGCCAGGGTAATTGAATTAGTTGTTTCTCTTTCTTCTATTTTTCAAAATTGATACGGGAATGTCGGTTTTTATATTACCTTTTTTGTCTATCTAAAATGCTGATGAGGGACGGGATGATTTTTTTCTTTAAAATAACTATAAAAACAAATAACTAATTTTGAAGGAAATAAACTGAGTTTATGTTGAATTTATATGTTGAATTAAGCCTACTTTACTGGTATATTTGATCATATATCAGAACCACGATATTGTCAATTATCCTGATCCATAAAAAGTTTTAAAAAAAGTGTTTCACACGCCATGGATGCGCGCGAGGTTTGGTGTTTTTTTTCTCAGAAATGGCAGAAAAAAGGTGGAAGGGGGATTGGGCCACACGCGGGCAAGAATGAGGAACAACTAATTTAATTACCCTAACCTTAGTTCATCCAGTAGTACGTTTTTACTGCAAAGTAGTGTTTTTATATGCAGCTTAATAGCATAAAATATGTTAAATGAAGCATATGGTGTGGATTAGTCGTGTGACACACAAACTGACCAATACATGAGGGTATTAGCTACTTTTCACATAAACCAAAGGAGGACAGTGCTTTTATTTCAACTGGGAGCTTACCTCCACACGACTGATCATGTGACCATGGTGGTGGTCCCCTTTAAATGGTGATCAATTTTATCAAACTGTTTAACACATACCTTTCCGGTCGAGTTGACCGAGTCTTTGTTTCTTTTTCATTAGCTCATTAGCTTCAAGTGGACTTGGAGAAGAAAGTACAGTATCCAGATTTTTCTCCTTATTCTCTTGATTGTTGATAAACAACTGCAATACAGCATCGTAAGATTCTTACCCTCAAGTGCATACATGTATAAATCGGACATCCACTCAATGGAATGATCATACGCATACTCAATTTGAATTCAAAACTGACAAAATATATTTCTATTTTGACAATGCAATGTTGACATTTTTATCTTTAGAGATATTGTGTGTTTTGAAATTTACTTTATACTAGAAATGTTTCTCCCTGCAATTTACATTTTTCATATCATAGGTAACACATTTATGTACTCAATTAGAGCTTTTTGTAAGAAGATTAAAGAATACCGTTACACATATATTGAGAGTGGATTGCACTATTCTAAATACTTGTGCAAAATACTTGTGCAAATTACGGCGCATCTTCAGATCACCTCTCTGTTATAACCGTCCTCAAAATAGAAAAAAGTACATGTGACACAGAAGTGGAATCTTCAGTAAAATCTTCATGTTTCAAACGTGTAGCGTGGGACAAAGCCACGTGGGAAATGAAAAATAATTATGCTGATATGTGTACCTCAATGGTTCAATACGTGAAGAGTGAGTTTCAAAAGAAAGGTGATAAGTTATCAAATGCCGAAATAGATCAGTATTTAAATGTAATAATGTCAATTCTACATCAAGCAGCCGAAGTAATATTTCCAATTAAACAATTTAAGAAGCATCTAAAGCCATTCTGGGCCCCACACCTAACAGTTTTGGTAAAAGAGCGTAATAGATTATGGCATCAGTGGCGCAATACGGGTAAACCAAGGTCGGGTGACATTTTTCAACAATACAAACTCGCTAAAAAGGCGTTCTCAAAAGCATATTACATGGCAGAAATGGAATACGAGCGAGCTGAAATGGCTAAATTATACGAATCAGAGTGTGTTGACCAACGATTTTTTTGGCACCTACTTCGACGTAGTAGAGGGCAACAGTCAAGGCCTAGTTCATCAGTTCGCAATAAAGATGGCATCATCGTCACTGAAGCACAACAGGTTCGCGGAGTTTGGCGCAATCATTTCAAAACATTGGCTTCTCCCGGGGATGACCCCCTATTTGATGATAAATTTAAGGATCAAGTCGATCGAGAAGTCAATGACTTACTTCACACTTCTCATCTTAATAATAATGATTTTCTCGAAAATGACATTTCAATGGAGGAGATAAGTTCAGCATTATCAAAAATGAAGCCTGGAAAAGCCAGTGGGCCGGACGGAATAACGGTCGAGCATATAAGTTTTGCCGGGGGTCCAATTCTGGAGATTCTGCTATGTCTATTTCAAAGTGTGATAAATAACGAGTATACACCCTTAACCTTTCGTACCGGAACTCTCATCCCCCTCTTAAAAGGGGGTGTGCGGGACGTACTTGACACTAACCATCACAGGGGTATAACACTCATGTCAGTCATACGGAAATTATACGACAAAATCATATTAGGAAGATACAGTTGGCGTTTAAAGTCGATTATACATCCTCTACAAGGAGGTTGTCTTGATGGGTGCTCCTCGCTACACTCATCACTACTTCTGCATGAGACAATTGGATTTAATACCCACCATGACAGTACCGTTCACGTGGTGTTATTAGACATAAAATCTGCCTTTGATACGTGCTGGATAAACGGCCTGTTTTACAAACTGTACCATAAGGCCGGGATTAAAGGGAAACTCTGGCGATTGTTATATGACTCGTACAAGAACTTTGAATGTAATATCCTGGTAGCAGGGGGAGTATCTGAACCCTTCCCGGTGCTCCAAGGGGTATTTCAAGGAGCCGTCAGCAGTATGTTGCTCTATCAATTTTACATAAGTGACTTGTTGGACGACCTTGAAAAATTAAATCTTGGAGCAAAAACCATGGGAATCAACACAGGCTCTATAGCATACGCAGATGACATTGCTCTCATTGCTATCTTCCCTAATGCAATGAACACTATGCTGCAATTAGCTTATGCCCACAGCAACACATGGCGATACACCTTACACCCTGGGAAATGTGTAGCCCTGACCTATGGCAAAAATACTGAGGTCCCACAGTTCAGGTTAGGCACGGGCGAAATACCAAATGCCAAATCTGCCAAGCATGTCGGAATTCCACTGTCGACAGATGGAGTATTTAGGGACCATGTTAAAGACGCTATATCAAGCGGAAAGCGAAAACTATATTCACTATTCGGATTAGGTCATAGAACTGGTGGCCTTACCCCACTCGTAGCATCAAAACTGTATAATAGCTTTAGCGTGCCAAAAATGCTCTATGGTGACCAGATAATTAATTATAAGCCTGAAGATCTTGAAACACTCGAAGTGGCACAGCGCCAAATTGGGAGAAGATTACAAAGTTTTCCTAAATCCGCCAGCAACCCCTCGTCAACCATGACACTGGGATGGAACACAATGAAGCGGAGAATTGACTATGATATGCTACTTATGTTATTTGGAATGCTTATTTTACCACTTTCGAATATTTATAAACGTTTATTAATGTTAAGACTCATGAATATAACACTAGGATTGGCATCATGGGATTCCCCAATTTCCAGAATGTGGTCTTGTGTTGTAAAATATGACCTCACAGAGAGCTTACTAGAAATGATACGTACAGCACAATTTCCTTCTAAACTTCATTGGAAGAGACTGATTAAAAACACAATCGGTAATTACCAGAGAAACGGTTACAAGGCAACATGTTCGTTATATAGACGCCATGATATATTATGTGTTAACATTTCCGATGTAAATATACGTGTCGGATCCCTTGGATCTATGAAACCCTGCGTCTGGTGGATCTTGGCAAGGAAAAAACCACAATATACCCCGCAGTGTAAAACAATGATGAGACTAGCCACTGATTGTCACGATCTACGCGTAAAAAATTCAGGTGTAAATAGTATTTGTATTGTCTGTAACAGGTTCGAAACAGAAACAATTGATCACTTTATCATGAGATGTCCAAAATGGCAAGAACATCGTAACCAAATAGGTTTAATTACAAGAAAATACGGTGCTTTTAAAGAACTAGATAAGATATTTGCATATCCCGAGTGTGTAATTGATGACGATGATATGATAAGTATTGCATGTATAGTGCATAAAATGACTATTGTTAGATCAAACATTCTGAAAGAATACGTTGGACAGTTGACTATTACATAATAAAGACACTCTTGAAAGAACCAATGTCCTATAAAACATAAACAGTATTCATCCATTTAAAATGGAAGCTTTTTATGTAATTGTGTGATGTTACCAAATGTAAATATGTTTGTAAAACCACTCTGTTTAAATACAGGTAAATAAATAATTAAATTAAATTAAATTACTGTTCTTACCAAGCATGCCTTTTGAAGAATTGGACATATTCTACTAGATTTGCTCAGCAAGTCATTGACCGGAACAAATATCTCAGTTCGAGAGGAATGGTCCATACGGACAAGCACAGGGTACTTGATTCCTTTGTGTGTTACCTCTGCAATTTTAGAATCGGTAGCTTTGTCATCCTTTCTCGGATCGTTATTGTTTGACAGGGTGCATTTATTCCCAAAGGTTTTTACATGATCCATCGTGTATTTGCATTGGCGCTGGATTGAGCTCCTTGGTTTGGCATATCTATGCTTGGTTTTGACAGCGTAGTGAAGGTTAAGAATAGAATCCTCCAATATGTTTAAATTCACTAGAAATGACTTTAACGGAACAATATGGCCCTTCATAGCAAACATCCGCTGTGATTCTCTGTCACATTTAATCATGGATTTCTCGTATGGGTACTTGAAAAGAACTTTCATGGATGAAAGAACTATTTCGCAATCTGATGCGGAACATTTTGGAAACACGATCTCCTTTACATCGCGCCATGACACATGTGGCCATTGATTAATAAGCACAGACGGAATGCGCCTCAACAACCGCTGGTACATCAGTTGATGAACCTCTGGGCTAATGTTCTTGTCATCGATGTCTGTATCAGATTTGGTTTGTCTAGGATCATCTGCTCTATCACTTCTGGGTCTTGACATGTTTGGAAGTGAACTCGAAGCTGTTGGACATTTTGCCATCCTAAAAGTATGCTTGGCAGATCAGCTCCGACTAAAACTGAAGAACAAAGGCATGATAAGTTATCCATAGGCCTAGATACTGAGAACACTTGTCAAAAACACGCCATCCCCATTTACGTGAATGACTACTTGATTTGATTTGAAACTTTTGGCTATTTATTCTGGGTATCTCAATCAGGAGGGCAAAGATTGGTCTTCCAAGAGGATGGAGATAGGACCACCCCATATCACGAGCAAGGCCCCGATGCTACCTTCCCGATGCCTGAAAGAGCCCTGAGGAATTTCCGGATTATCCCGAAAAACATGATAAGGATCTATACCAAAGCAATGCTAATCAAAAAGGAAATGGCTCACTTAGGGTAGCTTTAGCCGAAATAACTTAAAAATCAATTTAAAATGATAGCTAACCGTAACACCCAGCTGAACCGGCTCCTACCTTCATGCAATGGCGCCTTCTATTGTGACGTCTTTACACTGCACGAAACAATATGAATATTTCAATAATCACTGTGGTATGGTGGTACCATGGACCTATACTTCTTTGACATGCATTTTTGTAAGACCTTTTTGTCTCTCTGCAGAGGAGCTTATTGATGAAAGTTCAGATTCAGTGTCTTTGGTACTAAACACCGGAACAGTAAGTCCTAAAACCTGGGTGAGGGAGTAATTAATTAATTGAGCCAGACTTTCTACAACACTTCCTAATCCCCCAATGCCTACCACAATGGCGTAGCGTTATATATGCATAAAACGCCATGGCGTACTCTCAAAATTTAGAGAAAGTTGATGTTTTATAATGAATTGCCCCACAGTTTAAAAATGAATAGAAATGGCCAATAATTTACATTTTAATAGTCCATATTAATCAGAATTTTGTACTTTAAAACGCCCCAGAACGCTTCAAATGCAATTTTCAAATTTTCTTGGGGAAGAACCCTCCCCCCCACCCCTAACACCTCCCTCTAAGCTCGTTGGCTTCGCTCCCTCGTGGCGTGCACTCACAAAATACCGTCAAGATTCGAACCCAGGGCTTTTGAAACAGACGAAGGAGCACTCCTCTAACCATTGACATTGGACAACGTTAACATTTTGTAGATCGATATGTATAAAGAGAGATTCACACATAGCTAGGCAGGTGTGTCCTATTCCAGCCAATCAGAACAGAGTATTCACATAATGAACAGTGTGTGAAATATCAATAACACATGCAAGGTCATTAGTTAAACAGTTGTCATGGTGATGAGTGGACTTTTCACACTGGATTTGATGACTTGCCAACTTGACCCTGGCAAAAAAATTCATTGAAAATGTGTTCGTTTGGTGATTTCGTTACTTTTGGATGATTTTGTAGAAAAAATTGCAATGTGTGAAAAGAATTTAAGCCCAAGACTCAATGCATTGTAGCTGCTTCATCCCACTCAGGCGTTGTTTCCTAAACTTTGCATTCCCGCTGCAAAGATTTGGAAACAACACCTTCATGGTATGATTCATCAAATAATTCACTGAGTCCAGGGCTTAATTCCTTAAATCTACCAGATCTAGCGAATAGGCCAACAAAAAATGTTTCAATTTTAGAATATTTCTGGCTCATGTCATCCTTGTCATGTCTATTTTTAATTTAATTTAAATATTTTTCATCCATTTTTGAACTTTGAAGCCATAATAACTTCGCCAATTAATTTATAACATATCGTGAATATCGTGAATAGATTAACAGGTCAATTGTACATGTTGCTTGTAATTTTTTCACCCCTATAGATCTGATTCTGCCTTTAATATTTTGTTTCCAGCCATTTGTTGAGACGGGAAATAAAAATATTGCAATACACTGGGTCTTACGGCCATATTCCACGATAGTTTATTCATTGGCATATTCCGATCTCCAGGTTTGAATATCTGGTCGTTACACAAAGAATAGAAGATAATAATGTCGTAATTCTACAACTTACATAATGTAATAAATCCAGTGAAACCCTAACCCGTCTAATAGCTTGATTTTGTTTCTTTAAAAGAGAACTTCATCGACACCTAATCTACTTGGCTCGGACATTCGGGACATCGAAAATCCAAAATGACACTATTTACCAATAGCAGCTCTTTTATTCAATCTTAAAACTGTATTTGTACATAATGCATCTCCTGCAGATCCCAAAAAAGACTGTAAATCAAAATGTAGCAAAACAGTAAATAGCTTTGACGTACAATAGCAGAAAAGAAATGGAGAGTAAGAATATTCAAAAGAATTTTATCAGAATCGGCGGTCACTGTTTCACGTATGTGAGGTGTGACATTTTTATATACATCATAATACACCAAGGTACAAACTACAATTGTCTTCATAAACAGGTCTGATCAAATGTTTGACTTTTATTTACACTCAAAGTCTCATGCTGAAAAGCGTGGTTTGTTTCTCCACCGTTTTCAATATGCATTTTGCCATTTTCTGCAGATTTTATATGTTCTTTGTCCATCTCTCTTTCCTTTTCATTTTTATCCATAGTGTCTTCTTTGATTTTGTTGTATTGTTTTCTGGAACAAAAACAATTTGTTTTTATAGGCGTAGGCGGAATAAAGGTGTTAAATTTGACGTTTGCTAGACCTCAACGATAGTCAGATTCTGAAAAAGGCTTTGCCAAAGGGAGTACCTGCGAGTCTGACCATGTACAATGTGAATGTGGAGATTCTAAACAACCGTCCTTAATAGAACTATCGCTTTGATATACTTCAATTGTAATTTTCATTTTTTGAGATATCACACAGAAAAGTCGCCTGACTTTAATTCGATTTCATTGGTTCGGGAAGATAAAGTCATTCCTAACCAGAAAAAACTGGCAAAATGATATGGACTGGTTTTCTCAATGGCTTAAAGGAGCAACAAAAACTATAGATAAGTTGAGAAAAAGTTTCAAAAAATACCGCAATTTTATTATACTTTTATTATACTTTATTCCACTTGGAATACACGTTTCTAAATCTAAAGAATTCTGACATCTCTGAATTTTTTCAGAAAATAAAATAAGGATTTTAGGCGAAATATTCGTATTACTTTTATAAAGATTGCTTCCGAAAGTGTGCACTCTCGTCTTTGCTATCACTATAATTAACTGAACCGCGATTACATTAGAAAATATTTTAAGTGAAATAGTGAATAGTTTAACTAAAATCGCAGCTAAAATAATCACTTACGTGCCAAAGAGCTCTCCATCTGCTATCGTTTGTGGGAGCATTTGGTTAAGGGTCTCGGGAAGGAGGAATGCCAACAACCCGGCTACTAAACTACAAGTTCCGAATATAATAGACGGCAGAGGTAGAAATACTTTGTCCTGAAATTAACCAAAACGGTAGCTTTATAGAAAATATCTCAAGCTTTTTCAGAAATGTTATTTTTACCAACTCATGGATTTCATCTACATAAAACATAAAATAAATTTTATTCTATATATCCCAAGTTAAATCAGGCTCTATCATGAATAATATTTAATCAGACACATACACTGACTTTGAATATTATTTTGCACTGGCAGTGGGTTAAAATACTTCGAGCCATCATGTAAAATCATGGCCTCCTATTAGTTTCTTTCTCGTTGATGGTAGAGAGATGTGATGAGTATCAGAAGGAAATGTCGACCCATTGTTTTTGATACAAGTCAGCCTAATATTGCCTCTTATTAATTCAGCCTACCAACTGTCCAATCTGCGCGGCCGCCATACTGCTCACTCTGGAGCTCATGGACGCTGTCCCCATAGCAGCACTTCTGATACCAGTTGGGAACAACTCCGCAGTGAATGTGTAGATGATCTGGAACGAGGCTGCTGCCCCCAGCTTTCCAATCAATGAGAGCACTGTCACAACTACCTTCAAATCTATATGTTTGAAAACATTATTACCAATAGAAACAATGACGCCGATTCTATATATACGGAGACCTCTTTGCATCTTTAGAAGGAACTGACATTCCATAAACAGGGCAAATGCTTAAAAACACCTGGTGCGTCACTTAAGGTGCATCGATATTTGAATCTGTTCTTTCGTTAGTTCATATTACTCTGAACGTATCATATTTTAAAATTGGCAGTATTTTTGAAATCACCAAATTCTTACCCAGTCTATATAAGAAAGGGATGGTAATAAGACATCCTATTCCCCCTGTAATTAGGGAAACCCCTAAAGGAATCTTCCTGCCGATTATACCCAGGATGTTGATGCATATAACCCACGCCAGAATATCTGTCATGGCGCTGATTAACGTGTTGAGGAAGACAATCCCTGCGAGATTACCGCTATTCAGTGCGAAACCATAGTACACCATCGATGTTACAATCCTATATATGAATAAGAAAAGAATTTAAGAAATGCTTGAAATATGTGTTTTGATTCGATATTAGACAGACTGTTAGATGCAACTCTAAAATCCCTTTCATGCACTATCACTACTTACCATATGAAAGCCATAATGATGAATCGTTTTCTTATGTTCGGTGTCCTGAATAGATCCACTATCGTACCCTTTGATCTATCAGCATCTTGTTCAGGTTCCATCTATAAATTATAATAGGCAATTTGCTCTACTAACATTCCAGTGCAGCACCATCTTTGTTCACTCGGTTCCCATGCGAAGATGATGCAACACATACACTGGCGGATCCAGAAGTTAACAATGGGGAAGACCAAAACAAATTGGGACCAAATTTTGAAAATGTAAGGCCCACCCCTGGATCCGCCAGTGACATAGTTGATATTTCCTCAATCCATCGAATTAGATCGAACAACCTAATTCTAGTGTCAAATATGCAAATTTCAGTGACAAGCAAAACTTTTTTTGACATGTAAAATACAATGTGACGTTCACTCACCTCGCCAATATCCTTTTCATCATCTGTCTTCACATCCTCGGAGAAATCTATTTTCTCAGGTAACGTATTACCATTGATTTCCGCCATCCTACGGAGGATAATCATGGCTTCCTCGGTCCTCCCTTGCGATACCAGCCATCTGGGAGATTCTGGCATAATCCTAAGGGGAAAATTGATAACCAAACAAAAATATCATGGACGTGCTAAAATGGGTATTTTGATGCATAAAATGGTACAAAATGAGAACAAACTGATAGAACAAAGGAGAGGTATCGATATGGAGAACTTTTTGAACACACGTTTCTCTTAAACCAGTCATAAAAAATCTAAATATTTAACACGTCGTCAATTTAATGGTCATCTTGTGAATGGTAACAATATAACTTGAAAAATATATATAAACTTTCATCTATATTTATCAAATATTTCTAAATAATTTTCGCATTAAATTGTTGTCAATCAGTCAACATTACATAAAATACCGTGTTTTTTTTACAAAATGTTTTCAATGATTGGTTTAAGAGAAAAACATTGTTGAATTCAGTTCTCCATATCGATACCACTCCTTTGTATAAAGAGGGTACGTGTCTTAAAAAGAAAGACAGGCGAATAGAAGGTTCCTACCATATATATGAGAAGAATACTACTCTTGGAACTGCCATGACTATTTGGAGTTTCTGAAAATCTCGAACTACAAAGGCGTAGAGTGAAAGTATACCGAATCCTGAGGCGAAGAATACGGAGAGATGGGCTTTGCTTCTGTATTTTGGCCCAATATTCTCCATAACTGCAAAATATAATTGAATGGAATATTCAAAATTATTGAATTGTGTCTACTCCGTATACTAAATTGGGCAAAGAACGGGCGATAGTTTACTTCATTTGATTATTCTACAGGAAAATCATATTTATCTATTGCCCTCGATCTTCGGTCTCAGTATACATTTGAGGGTATCATGCCAATCAAGCTTTGGAGAAGTCATTACTTGGATTTTCATATTGGAACTAGTTAGTAAATAATATCAAAAAGGAGGTACCCGTACAATGTACCTATCACAACCTACGTGTAACAAATGATATTATGTAGACGGCAAGAGTTGATGCGCCTACGCCAAATCTACACACACAGAACAATGCATAGGTCGGCATGAATGCTCCAGCTAACGCAAACACAAACTCAGTAAACATAAAGAGGATCATCCCTTTGTGGCGTCCGAATCTAAAATGATTATAAATGCAGATCATGTACAAGTCGATGTTCAACTTTTCCATCTTGACCCCGTGGGGTATTTCATGACTGTTTGAATGAACTCGTAAAACTGAAGTAAAATTACAATCTCGCGAACCGGAGTCGAACCAGTGACCTAAGGATGACAGTGTTTGAACTCTACAGTCCTCCGCTCTACCAACTGAGCTATCACGAGATGTGTTAGGTGAAATTGATATCAATTAAACATATTAATGAAAACAGCTTGCGGTCCTAATTATTGAAAATGAACAGGAAAACAGTTGTACAAGAAAAAATTATAATCTCGCGAACCGGAGTCGAACCAGTGACCTAAGGATGACAGTGTTTGAACTCTACAGTCATCCGCTCTACCAACTGAGCTATCACGAGATGTGTTAATTGAAATTGATATCAATTACACATAATAATGAAAGTCAGATTTGAACTTGGTCAATTTGAAGCAAATTGAAAAAAATTTTGACCTTCTTTTTTCACCTTGAGAAGGTCATTAAGGTACAAAACTTTTTTGACCTTGAGAAGGCCATGGAAGGTCAGATCTCAAATCTATAGTCAGATTTGAACTCTTGAGAACTTAGATTATTTTGAAAAAACAACAAGTCAATTTACAGATTTGAAGCAAGTTTAAAATAAAGTTCTGACCTTTTTAACCTTTTTTGACCTTGAGAATGTCATTGAAGGTCAAATCTTAAATCAGTCGGATTTGAACTTGTGAAAAGATGATTTTGAAAAATTGAAGTCAGTCTAAATAGTATTTAAGTTGGAAGTTGTAAGAATTTGTTATAGACGCCAACCACCAATCGCTTTTGGTGTCGATTTAAAAACTACAATCTCGCGAACCGGAGTCGAACCAGTGACCTAAGGATGACAGTGTTTGCACTCTACAGTCCTCCGCTCTACCAACTGAGCTATCACGAGATGATATAGATAATTGCGATACAATATCAATTAGTTTCAACTAATTGGTTTAATGATCTTCAAGAAAGTGACATCATTTGACTGCGATGATTGTAATCATTACTAATGATAAAGGTTGGCAATTATGTTTCCCTTTGACAACTTGTTTCCTCAATTATGAGGGGTATGACATACATATACAGGATCTTCAACACGTACAGTTTAACCTGTACGCCTTAGTTAACACATCTCCTTAATGAACATCTGTGCCTGGTGAACATCCCTTCTCAGCAAATACTCCACTATAATATAATCGCCCTTCTATAGTGAACACCTGCCTACAGTGAACACATGAACACATTTTATGGCTTGATGGGTGTTCACTTTACTCAGGTTTTACTGTAGTTCATTGCTGGGGAGTTGGTGTTGCCAAATTTTATGAGGGGAGGGTACAATAAAGGCTCATTGGTGGAAATGGATCATTCTTTGATGAAACGGTAAGAGCCGTAGATGCCACAATAGAAATGGGCGTAGAGGTACGAACCACACTGTCATACCTGTCCGATACTAGACCTGCCAGAAGGGAACCGACTAACATCCCACCAATGTAGATTGTAGATACAAGTGGTCCAAGATACTGCCTGTCGCAAACTGTGTCCCACTGGAGAAACATAAGGAAAACAAGGAATTCAAACGTTGAATCATGGATTTCATCATGTTTACATAGGCTTTTATGACTCTCATATTTTGTCTTAATTAAAGACTGAATTGAGTATTTGAAGAATCTTTTTGAATACGTGTATATGAAACAGGGAATACCATCATATTACCCCCCTATCAGACCAAACTAGTTCTTACCCATTCTTGCCAGTCCTACGAAAACGTCGTAAAATTGGCTCAATCTGGCTGTGGTCGGGAAATATATAAACAGTCTTCAATACGTCCATCTCATTCGCAGTTCGTTCAGGTCGCACCACGTCGGTGTGCAACGTCGTATAACGCGTTCCTTAGTCTCAAAGGTCATCATGACCTGATTACAGAACGTATGGTCGCCATCGAATTTTGAAAATCGTAAACAGACCGTAAAACGTTGTAGCTACGTTCATTCAGTTCGCACACAGTTTAAAACCGATTTGGCAACGTTTTGAAGAACGCAGTGACAACTGGTTCTGGTGTAATAGCTATTTTAGATCGGGTTAAATTGTGCGTTCGTTAACCCTACTATCACACCAAACTAGTTCTCACTACGTTCTCGAAAACGGGCTTCAACGGACTGGACGTACTAAGAACCGTTTGGGATCTATTTACAAACTTCATCGAACGTACTCGAATGGGTAGGTCCTCTAGAACTTCGACAATGCTCAAAATGTTCTCGTGGTCGTCACGTTCTACAATTAGAACGAGTGACAACGTACTAACGACCAGCTGGACGTACTACGAACGGAACCGTCGTACTTCAATCCTACTAGGGACGTTTTAACAACGAGTTGAACTGTCTGAGGACGTGTTGAGAACGAGGTAGAACTCATTGCAAACGGGTTTAAACTGATTAAGAACGTATTTAACACTGCTTATGAACGAGTTAGCAAAAATATAGCTATCACACCAAACAAGTTGCCACTGCGTTCCTCAAAACTGGTTCTAAACTATGTGCGAACGGAATGAACGTAGCTGCAACTTTCTAAGGTCTATTTACGAACTTTATGAACGTTCTCAGACGGGAATGTGATTTTAGAATTTTGAATCGATTCAAAATTCGATTGCGACCATACCGTTCTGTTATCAGGTCATGATGACCTTCTAGACTAAGGGACGCGTTCTACGGCGTTGTACACCGACGTGGTGCGACCTGAACGAGCTGCGAACGAGATGGACGTATTGAAGACTGTTTAAGAACGAAGAAGCTAATTATTTCAGACATATTTCCCGACCACAGCCAGATTGAGCCCGTTTTACGACGTTTTCGTAGGACTGGCAAGAACAGGACGTATTGAGAACGAGGTACAAAGTAAACTGGTTTAATAATTAAGGACGCAATTGAAATGTTGGATGCGTTGTGTATGTTACTATGAACCTTTATAAACGGGAAGGACGTTATTCGGTCGAGTTGGGTCAGTCTACGAACAGAATGAACGAGCTACAAACGGACTAGATTGGGGTACTCACGGCTGCAATTTACGCCTGACTACACAACGTCGTGATACGTCCCTAGTAGGATTGAAGTACGACACTTCCGTTCGTAGTGTGTCCCCAGTGCGTCTACTTACGTTGTCACTCGCTCTGATTGCAGAACGTGACGATCACCAGAAAATTTTGAGCATGCTCTAAGTTCTGGAGAACCTACTCGTTCGAGTGGTTTCATGAAGTTTGTAAACAGATCCCAAACGGTTCTTAGTGGGTTTTTAGTACGTCAAATCCGTTCGTGCACAGTTTAAGACCGTTTTCGAGAACGTTTGAGAACTAGTTTGATGTGATAGTAGGGTTATAGGCTCTTTCAAGATTGTTTGTCTTTACTAAAATGTATACAATAAGATGTAATATAGCTAAAAAAAATATGATGTACCCGTACCTTGCTGAGGACAGTAGAATAATGAAGACTCCTATCATATACCCAGCCATTGTTGCAGTCCACGGGTATTAGACCACCCAGCTGTACGCTTCTGTTCCAACCCAGAAGCTCGTCCCTGGAGAAATTCTCGTAAGAAATGTTATAATATTTACAAGAATTGTACTCGAACGATCCATCTTGTTTCTGGTCTAGAGGAATACTGATGTGCTTCTGTAGGGAGTGAGAGAGATTGCCCAGGGCCGGTATACTACACCAGTGTTTCTGTTTACCAACGAGGTAATTGTTGGCCATAGACTGCCATCCATTTGGCATAGCCCCTGGAAGAGAAGAAGTGAAGATGTGACTTGTCTGACAATATGCATATGAATCGAGAGGATTTTTTGCTTTTCATTTGATGATTATAATCATCTGATGCGCTTACAAAATAGCAATTGTTTACAGAAAAACAAAGTGAAGTTTACCTGTCGATTAAACCATAACATAATTTTCATTCAAAAGGCTACATAAATGTTGTAATTAATTTAAGATATACATTACCTAAACCCAGAAGAAAGAAAAGTGCCCATTGGTATGCCCCGAATGGCCCAACCAATTCAATGACGTCATCAAATTTCATACTGATCTTTTCCAGAAATTATTTGATTCTTTTGAAAATAACTTCGGGCATAGAATGTTGTCAGTGTTCTTAAGATTGAAGGTAAGAAATTGAATTCCAATATTTGATTAAAGATAAGTACGTCGTTTAAGTATAGATATATGCTAATCTATTGTCTAATTCTTCAGAAACTGATAAAAGTCCAAGACATCTTTCGAAAGTTAATGATTTATATGAAATAATTGTATAAATCTAATTGTATTGTATTGTATTGTATTGTATTTTATTCTCTATTTACCTCTTATATAAGAGAGTTACAATTGTACATTAATTGGGAGTTAATACATAAATAAGAAAATAGATAAATTATTTGTTCATGTTTATGAAATGCGCGAAGCTGTGAGCATTGCTTGTCTCTTAATATACATTGAATGGATTATTACGACAGCTTGCAATACATTACAATGCAAGATCGTCGTTTGATTCGATCTTTAACACTAATTGTATCGTTATATTTATAGATTTGTTTAGTGCTAACCTTTCTTGAATGGCAAAGAAAGTGTTAGATTAATAATAATGAGGTTACTACCCTGGCTTAGATTCCAAAATTATGATAATTGCCATGATAATGAATTATAAATTAAATAAGATAAATGAATTAAATAAATTGTATTCACGTATCATTATATATTTTTAACAGATGATGTTTTTAGATTCAGAAAAATGATGACCCTCATTGATAATATTTCACAAACAAAACATTGATTCCGGTTCTTGCATAACATGTTAGTGGAGCATTTGGAATTCATTCAGCTTTTAGACTGTGTTAGAACTGTATTGATAAAAAGATGGCGACTGAATAAACATAAATGGGTCTTGATTAGGCTATATTCTAGCAATTCTTAAATTGTCTATCAGTGACATCTTTAAAATAAGCATGGCACTACTTTTCACGAGTGAAGGTCTTTGTATTTTCTCAAAATTCAATGCCTCGCACAACGGAATTCAAAATCTGGCAGATCCCCAACCATAGTAAAAAAGTGATCATATAGAAAAAATCCACCCATTTGGCACAATTTTGATATTTGTTAAGATATGAACAAATTGCTTCTTTTAGGTCCACCATTCAATCATTATCTTAAAGGCAGGGCTCCACTATAAAAGCAGAAAGTCGGTTAGGAAATGATGTAATAGCATGTTTGAAAATTTAAATTTCAACAGAATCTGACACTTCAGTCCTGTTTTTCCACGTATCTCTGGTATTTTTGCATGGAATCAGCTAAACTTTGTCACAGTTGTCCATGAATATATTCTGAATCTGGTGGTAGTTTTAAATTCAAATAGTAGTTCCTATCTGGCTTGAAATATGTAGTGATAGCAGTTATATAATAGGCTACATCAAAATGTGGTTCTGGTTTTATTTAGCATGATAAGGAATCCTTGCCTCAATAGAATTAACTAGAAATTGGCAAATCAAAGTGAGAAATCACAAAGAGAAGTGTTTTTCTATGTTCATTCGTCTATGTTATCTTCTTCAAAAATTTTGATTCTCGACCATTTTAGAATTTAGAATACAAAATATCTGATACAACTTATTTATATCAAAAAAGTCGATTTAGACTCTCGGGTTCCCTGATAACTTTCCCATATTACAACATTTTTCATGGATTTTCATGTATGAGCATTTCTAACATACAAAACTTTTCAACGTTTTATTTTGAAGTTACAATTGTCAAGTTTGAAACCTGATTTTGTCAATTTTATTACTCGGGAAAATCGGGCGGCGTCTCACTTTTCAGCTTGTCTACAGGTTTCCAGCCAAACCATTTGAGGGATTCATCTGAAATTTTCAGGGATGTTTCTACATATCAACGTCAAGAACTGATTAGTTTTTGGGAATTCTGGGTTAATCTTAAGGTGGCCATTTTGGATTTTCCGTCCTAAAATCTTCACTTTCAAGACTTGTCTACAGGTTTCCAGCCAAACCATTTGAGGGATTCATCTGAAAGTTTCAGGGATGTTTCTACATATCAACTTCAAGAACTGATTAGTTTTTGGGCATTCTGGGTAAATCTTAAGGTGGCCATTTTGGATTTTCCGTCCTAAGATCTTCACTTTCAAGACTTGTCTACAGGTTTCCAGCCAAACCATTTGAGGGATTCATCTGAACTTTTCAGGGATGTTTCTACATATCAACGTCAAGAACTGATAAGTTTTTGGGCATTCTGGGTAAATTTTAAGGTGGCCATTTTGGATTTTCCGTCCTAAAATCTTCACTTTCAAGACTTGTCTACAGGTTTCCAGCCAAACCATTTGAGGGATTCATCTGAAATTTTCAGGGATGTTTCTACATATCAACGTCAAGAACTGATTAGTTTTTGGGCATTCTGGGTAAATTTTAAGGTGGCCATTTTGGATTTTCCGTCCTAAAATCTTCACTTTCAAGACTTGTCTACAGGTTTCCAGCCGAACCATTTGAGGGATTCATCTGAAATTTTCAGGGATGTTTCTACATATCAACGTCAAGAACTGATTAGTTTTTGGGCATTCTGGGTAAATTTTAAGGTGGCCATTTTGGATTTTCCGTCCTAAAATCTTCACTTTCAAGACTTGTCTACAGGTTTCCAGCCAAACCGTTCAAATTTTTACATATGTTACACAGTGATAAGTTCTAGAGCTGATTAACTTTTCTGCGGCCATCTTGCCCTCTTGGTCAACAAGACCACAATGCTGTGTTTTAGGTACGATATTGTTCACGTCTGTGCCTTGTTTAATTTCGAAAAGGGTTTTTTGAAGGACTTTTTGCTCAAAAATCATGAGTTTATTTTAAACTAAATGTTAGATGTCACACATACATTTTAATAAGCGATACACCACACCAATACCATGTAAGAACATACATCTTCACGTGTTTTTTGAAAAAATAAGAAAATTGATTTGCAATGGTGTTAAAAAGATTTGTTTTTTGCAGTGCAAATTGGAATATTTGATGATTAAAAAATTCAACTTTTATTTGAAAAAATGGCGGGATATTTGAATATTTGAAAAACATAAGCTGACAACTTTTTTCAAAAATGTTTTTCTCTCAAAAATCTTTAGAATAACTTTAAAAGTCATGACAAATAGTAAATGATTGATACATACATATTTTCAAACTCCATATGGGGCCTTTAAATGTTTTAAATGGTCACCTTTACTTACAGTTGAATATATTTAATTTTTCTACTTGTAAATCAATTTTTGTCTAAACTTTAAAAAATGTCCCCATTGTTACAAGAGTTTGTTCCTTCGTACACCATATCGCCCTTAAAATCGGTCTATCTGTTTCTCTAAATTTAAATTACTAGTATGAAAACCCCGAATTAAAAAAGTCAAGTTGATTTTTGAAACAATTGAATTTGAAATACAAGTTACTTTTGAGATCCAGCAGTTTGAATTACAATTTACAAAAAGTCATTGGACATAATGCAACTACAATAATGTAACGGTGAAAGGAGCATTGGACCTATTTTAGCAGTTATCAAAGATCAAAGACCAGTTACAATTGATCCCAGGCGAAGAATTAAACAGACGGCAGCATTATCATTGATAGGCCGCAACAAATTAATTACTTTAATTACAATAGACACAAAACAACACTCTATTATAAAATAATTTAAGTCTATTAATTCTTAGAGTTTGGTATATAAATCTTTGGCTCCCAACCTCGTGTCGATTATGATAGTGAATATAAAATGTCAGTTTTTTATTAAAAGTTCATAATGGATATTCAGATTGGATTTTATGGGTGTTACCCAAACTTCAGGAGCCCCAAGACATTTGGACCTACTTTTCAATTAGCCTGTCCTGGACACGTTACCGGTGATCAAAACTTCATTTTTTAACAATGTGAACTGTTTGCAAGTCTTTGAACGAATTAAAATGAGCTTTGTAGATATGACGTGGCGATGGTCGCTCTGGGGGAGGCTACATTGTCAATGGAAGAGTCCATTACACACTTTTATTGACGTTAGATATCAATCTTTAGATTGAACAAAAAATCTTCCATTTTGATTACTAATAATTGGAAGAATACAATGAATGGCGAACTGTCTATTTCCTGTGACAAGCATATGTAAAAATAATTCATATCTTGACACATGTTTTGTATCAATGTTTCACTTCTTTTTGTTATTCCGCAAAAACCGTAATTATCTTTGTTTGGATGCACTGTCAAGTCTGTCAGTGAAAAGTATTTAATTGTGAGTTAATTAAATCAGTTGTATTTCAAGGATGACCAGGTCACGAAGTCAAAATGCTGTGGACACGGAAGGCACTAAGACTGATGACAAAATACAAGAACAAGCAGTTGTAATTTATTCGTGTTTAGTACACAAAAAAGTACAACGCCGCATCATACGATGAGAGGTGTACTTTGAGAGGTGGAACAGATCGAAATCTTGAACTCAACTTATATTGGAAATGAGGGAGCAACACCTTAGTGACTTATCTTGGCGCATAGTTCAATATCGATGACCAGTTTAAAAACAGTTGCTCATAATTTATCATTTGCTATGATTCTGAACATTTTGAAGTCTTTGAACTTTAAATTGAATCATAGAAAATGTACTGGATGTTTAATTCTATATTTCTTACTCGATGAAGTTTTCAATTTTCGACTTTGAAATTTAAATTTTTCATAAAATTAATTTATCCTGATACTGATGATTTTTTCCTTTAAATAAAAAAAATTTGCCAATGGTATAAAATTTCTTAAACACTAACGCAATACTGTATTGTAAAATGTACTTTGACATGTTTTTTCTTCACTGAAATAAAATAATTAAATAAAAAAAACTTCTTTCTTTTGAAATACACTTTTGGGGAATTCTTTGAAATTGTCAAAAACCAAAAACGGCAAAAATTGAAAACGCTTTGTCAGAAATCATTTTAAGAACATGTAGCTTATAAATAGGAAGCTGACGTTTTTGTGTTTTCGAAACGTTACAAAAAAGTAAGATTTTGTTTTGAAGGATTGATAGTCCCGACCTGAAAAAATCTATTCAGAATCTTGCAAAGAAATAACAATTTTACTTTCAGCCTGGCATTGAATCGTCTCCCAA